TTAGCTGACAACGATATATGCGCACATTATCATTATCTGCAGAATGAAAATGTGTTCAATTATTGGTAATTTGGTCTCTTTTTAGTGATGATTATGTGGTTTAGCCATTCTAAGTATGTTATGTATGTTACTACACAGTAACCGACCGTTGTCTGCGCATATGCATGTTGCGTCTCAATTATTATTCCGTAACGGGTTTTGTGGCAAGCGCCCTCAATCGACAGCTACAAAGCACACACGGTCGTCGCTAGCGCTTCCGGATACTAGATTTGGTGAGCGAAATGCTTGTAATTTCACATTTTTTTTTATATTTCAGAGGTTTGATCCTATCTTTAGGTACCCAACTATATCAAAATAACACGTGTGAAATACGGGGGCCAAACATTTCGGGATGGGAGTCATTGGACGTCGAAAAATTGACAATTTTTGTTTACAAATCACACACGGGACTTGTGACAAGCATTACGGACACACTTTCGCAAAATGTGGTCCGGGTGCTTTCTATACAAAGACCTCGTTGGTTCGGGGTTTTGTACGTAAACCTTATCAGTCAGCCGATCACGCTCAATTGACTTCGGCCAAACCGCAGTCCCATCATAAGAAATAAGTTAACAATGTTATCCGGACCATTTTATCCGAGAGTGTGTCTGTAATGAGGGCATGAAGGGTGACGTGACCGTTCCGATTTTCAGTTAACTTTGACGGATTTCTTTTGTTAAAAAACAAATTGGACAGAAAATTTGACAGAATGGATTTTTTTTTTGCAGATTTCTTGCAGAATTCTGCACAAATGGTTATTTCAGGCATGCAACTCTTCCTCGGATCAGCTGATTTCCTCGTTTTTCACTTCAGACTTTTGCCATTTAAAATTAAAAAACACTGTACAAAGTCTTGTAAAATTTGGTATTTCCTCGTTTTTTTGTTAATTCCAAGTTGCATGCCTGTTATTTGGCCTGGCAGTAAAACAGGCGAGTCGAAAAAAGTGGTGCCGGGCCCCTAATTTGGTTTAAAAAGCTTCAATCTTTTCAAACAAACCCTTGCATAAGGGGACAGGTTGGCTGGCGTAGGTCGCCTGAGGTTCACTTGGAACTGGACTTTGTCATGACGCAACCTGTTGTTTTGCCTGAACTTTATGCAATTTCAAAACATCCATATGCAACTACATGTGTATAGGCCTAGATTGTTTACAAAGGCAACAACCACAACACCATCTGCATGTATTGTTATTTTAAGTGTTTATCATGTATTTCGAGTAATTATGGGGGATTTGGCAGATATTTGATCAATCTGACACATTGTTCAAGTTCATTCAGCAGAATTTGGCCATGACCTTACGGTCACCCTGCCTGTAACAGCCCCATAAATGTGGCTGTCATACTGGACTACCTCATTTTAGACCATGAAGTTAAACAGCTACACATTGTATGCCCTGTGCATGGAATGTTGGTCGCATTGCTACTTATGCTAGGGGAGCCGAAAATTGAATTGATCAAGTTGACTGAAATAAGGTAACATATATTCCATCCTAATGGAATGCATCCCCCCCCCGAAAAAAAAGTACCACACAAACACACAAATCCACACATAACTAAAAAAAAATTCCACATACAGTAAGTAAATATTTTGGAAATATAAAAACAAAACTACAAAGTAAATACTCCTAATCTATAGCCTAAACCCCCATGATTTTTATTGTATAATGTATTCCCTTGTGTCCTCAACAACATTTCTCGTTACTGTTAAATGTAAGCTGTGTAAAATCCTTTGTCATTTTAAAAAAAGGGCTGATGTGGTTGGTAATCGGAATCCCAATTGATAGTCCTATTCCTAACATTTCTCAAAAAACAAACAAAAAATTGAGATTGATATACATGGGTCATTCCATGTCAGACCAACGCACTTTTTTACCTCATGTCTTCCGATTTTGATAAAAATTGCTGTGCTTGTAGGTCCTGATGAGCAATGAATGCACACCAATTTTTAGCCCGATCCGACCTACCATATGGTCAGGGCAGAAACCACAAAAAACGGACATTTTTAGGGTAAAATACCACCCTTTTGGTAGAAATATGTCAAAACCATGTAAATTTTCATCGAATATATGCGAATTTGGTATCAAAATAATAAGAATTGCATGCTCAAATCAACTCTTTTGTAAAAATTAAATTTTGTGAAAAGTAGGTCACGTGACCTTTAATATGTTATCGTGACCTTTGACCCAATTTATGTACTAATGTATCATTCCAAAAATCAACGAAATGAAAATGACTTGATAGAGCATGTCTTCCTCTATCAGAATCTACTAAAAATCAATTGGGGTCTTTAAAATTTACAACTTTATGACTATTTTTGTATAGTTGGTAGGTTACAAATTAGTCAATTTATAGACTTTACATTAGAAATCCACCCGCACAACTTACTATTCTGTTTCTAAAGCTACTTAAATTAATCTTGGTTTGGGAATTTCTCATGTTTAGGGCTGATGAGGTATAACCAGACTCATAATATAAATTATCAGCAGTGGCGCACCCAGGATTTTGCTTTTGTGTGTGTGTGTGTGTGGGGGGGGGGGGGGGCTCATAATTTGTTTGTTTTCAAATTTCTGTAGAAGATTGAACAAAAAAAAATACCCCAAAATCAAACAAACAAATTGACAACCTTGGAGGGAGGGGGGGGGGGGGCTCCAGCCCCTCGAGCCCCCCCAGTTACTGTTTAGGGTACGCAACAGCTCTATGCTTTCTACCCGGACCCAGTACAGTAGACACACATCCAGGTGAAATTTATCTCGAAGGAAAAAAATGCCAAGTCTGTGAGACTCATTAAATTTCAAGAAGCGTAGTGATGAATGAGTAAGGTAACTTTGATTGCGATATTGAGTATTATCTTCAAGCAACCTTGAATCCTAGATCCTGATTAGTCCATCTATAGCAACAACAGTGTGATTTGATATAATACTGCACAGCTATATTGCGCCCCAAATATCGAATGTACATGTACATGTATGTATTGTGTTCTTTTTATTTGCTGCTGAACGGTCCGATACACTATGCACCTACATCTCTCGCCACGTGCAATGTACGCATTCGACATCAAGTTTGCTTGAAGATAAATTCGTTATGGCTCGTGGAACACGGAATAATGTAGTGTGTCGGGTGGCATATTGGTCACAGCAGCATTGCATTGTTTCATATTCCAATATTCCAAGCGCGCTCGTTGGATAACTAATTATCAGTGGCACGGGGGGGGGGGGGGGAATCAAGGGACTTGAACCCACCCCCCTCCAAGGTTGTCAATTTGTTTGTTTGATTTTTTTTCAATCTTCTACATAAATTTGACAACAAAATGCTATGAGCCCCCCCCCCCCAAAAAAAAAGCAAAATCCTGGGTGCGCCACTGCTGATAATTTATATTATGAGTCTGGTTACACCTCATCAGCCCTAAACATGAGAAATTCCCAAACCAAGATTAATTTAAGTACCTTTAGAAACAGAATAGTAAGTTGTGTGGGTGGATTTCTAATGTAAAGTCATAAATTAACTCGTTTGTAACCCACCAACTGTACAAAAATAGTCATAAAGTTGTTAATTTTAAAGACCCCAATTGATTTTTAGTAGATTCTGATAGAGGAAGACATGTTCTATCAAGTCATCTTCATTTCGTTGATTTTCGGAATGATACATTATTACATAAATTGGGTCAAAGGTCACAATAACATATTAAAGGTCACGTGACCTCCTTTTCACAAAATTTATTTTTTACAAAAGAGTTGATTTGAGCATGCGATTCTTATTATTTTAATACCAAATTTGCATATATTCGATGAAAATTAACACGGTTTTGACATATTTCTACCAAAAAGGTGGTATTTTGCTCTAAAAATGTCTGTTTTTTGTGGTTTCTGCCCTGACCACATGGTTGGTCGGATCGGGCTAAAAATTGGTGTGCATTCATTGCTCATCAGGACCTACAAGCACAGCAATTTTTATCAAAATCGGAAAACATGAGGTAAAAAAGTGCGTTGGTCTGACATGGAATGACCCACATGTATGGTGCAAGGCCTGAATTCTGTTCTCCACCTTGTATGAAGGACCAAACGAGGTCTGCCTGATTCTCCCGCTATCAATGTTCCCTAACTCTGATGTTCCCCGAAATCCTTAGGGTTAGGGTTAGGGTGAGGATTTGGGGGAACATTAGTATTGGGGAACATAGGTATGCACCCAGGACGATCAATCAAACACAATAAAGTTACACAAGGATCAGTACTGCTAGATTTGAAATTGGAAGCATTTTTAAGAAATAAACATGCCCATATGAACTGTACTCATATTTTTTTTGTATACCATGTACACGCACCATAAACCATGTTTGTCATTCATAAAAAAAATCTATGTATGAGCCCCAAAAGGCTTCAGTTGATTAAAGAAAACCAAAAAGTTCTGAATTTCTTCGTCTCTCTCTCGTCTTAATCAAATTGTGGCCCAAACACGATCACGTTGGGTATTATTCAACAAAGCATTAGAACCGGTTCATTTTGGTTTAATTTTTTTTCCTGAACTTAGGGTGTCAATCTGCTTTTTGACAACACCGACTACAAATTGACTTCCGTTGTGGCATCTCGTGAATCAGATCCAATCCCTGAGAAACCTCAGGAAAATCAACACATCCGGCCAATGTGATGATGCTTTCATAAGCTTGAAACATGCTGCCAAAAAACATTGGTTGGTTGTAATATTTGATGTTTCTATCAGCCCTCAAGAGGTTCCAAAACGAGGAGATGCAAGTAAAACTGTTACATTTGTTTTTTGCTACACCAAACTCTTCTCATCCAGCTTGATGATAAATTGTCACCAGAGGGTCCACTTTAAGTGAGACACTGTTTTCTTGTGAAGCTTGTGGTCAACCCACTGACGGACGAAATCTCCATAGGCTCAACAGACTGCATGCATGTACTTGGGTCTTGGGAGAAACTTTGTTGTTGCGATACCCGTTGAAAAGCCTTTCTTATCAACGGAGTCCAACCATGCACAAGAGGGTCCATTCTTCACATGAAGCTTGAAGCAAAATTGTCATCAGAGGAAGTGGAGACTGGTGGGAAAGTGTTTTCTTACGAGACTTGTGGTAAAAACCCACTGAGCGACAGAATCTACACTTATGCAAGAGACTGCATACGTGTACATGTAGGCCTACTTGTGTAAAACAATATTTTGCAAGAATTGTTGTAATAAGGCCTGTGTTATTAGAGGGGTCCAACCATTAAGAGGGTGGATCCACAGTGGTGATGAAAAACTATATGATTATGAGGCATGTGGAAAAGCCTTTTCTCTAAAAGGACATCTAAGCAGACACGAAAGGAGGTACATAGGTGAGAGGCCATATATGTTTGTGAGACCTGTGGTAAATCCTGTCTCGCTAAGGTGATCTAAATAGACATAAGAATGTACATCAATAAGAAACCATTTGTTTGTAAGACCTGTGATCAAGCCTTTTCTGTCAAAGGTAGTCTACAGGTACATGAAAGGGTGCATACTGGAGAAAAACCATTTGTTTGTGAGACCTGTGGTAAAGCCTTTCGTAAGCAATGTCATCTAAAATACATGAAAGAATACACAGCGGCGAGAAACCATTTGTTTGTGAGACCTGTGGTAAAGCCTTTTCTGACAAAGGTTATCTACGTAGACATACAAAAATACACACCGGTGTTAAACCATATGTTTGTGAGACCTGCGGTAAAGCCTTTTCTGCCATATGTCATCTACAGGGACATGAAAGGGTGCACACTGGAGAAAAACCATTTGTTTGTGAGACCTGTGGTAAAGCCTTTTCTGTCAAAGGTAATCTAAATAGACATGAAAGGGTGCATACTGGAGAAAGACCATTTGTCTGTGAAATCTGTGGTAAAGCCTGGTCTGGCAAGGGTGATCTCAATAGACATGAAAGGGTGCACACTGGAGAAAAACCATTTGTTTGTGAGACCTGTGGTAAAGCCTTTCGTAGGAAATGTAATCTACATGGACATGAAAGCGTGCACACTGGAGAAAAACCATTTGTTTGTGAGACCTGTGGTAAAGCCTTTCGTAGGAAATGTTATCTACAGGGACATGAAAGGGTGCACACTGGAGAAAAACCATTTGTTTGTGAGACCTGTGGTAAAGCCTTTTTTGAGAAATTTAATCTAAAAATACATGAAAGAAGACACACAGGTGAAAAACCATTTGTTTGTGAGACCTGTGGCAAAGCCTTTTCTGTCAAAGGTGATCTACAGCGACATAAAAGGGTGCATTCTGGAGAAAAACCATTTGTTTGTGAAATCTGTGGTAAAGCCTTTTCTGTCAAAGGTGATCTAGAAATACATGAAAGAAAACACACCGGTGAAAAACCATTTGTTTGTGAGACCTGTGGTAAAGCCTTTTCTGACAAAGGTAAACTACGTAGACATACAAAAATACACACCAGTGTTAAACCATATGTTTGTGAGACCTGTGGTAAAGCCTTTTCTGTCAAAGGAAATCTACAGATACATAAAAGGGTGCATACTGGAGAACGACCATTTGTCTGTGAAATCTGTGGTAAAGCCTGTTCTGGCAAGGGTGATCTCAATAGACATGAAAGAATGCACACCGGTGAAAAACCATTTGTTTGCGAGACCTTTGGTAAAGCCTTTCGTAAGAAATATCATCTAAAAATACATGAAAGAATACACAGCTGTGAGAAACCATTTGTTTGTGAGACCTGTGGTAAAGCCTTTTCTGTTAAAAGTACTCTAAGTGGACATGAAAAAATACATATCGGTGTTAAACCATATGTTTGTGAGACTTGCGGTAAAGCCTTTTCTGCCAAATGTCATCTACAGGTACATGAAAGAGTGCACACTGGAGAAAAACCATTTGTTTGTGAGACCTGTGGTAAAGCCTTTTCTGTTAAAAGTACTCTAAGTGGACATGAAAAAATACACATCGGTGTTAAACCATTTGTTTGTGAGACCTGTGGTAAAGCCTTTTCTGTTAAAAGTACTCTAAGTGGACATGAAAAAATACACATCGGTGTTAAACCATTTGTTTGTGAGACCCGTGGTAAAGCCTTTTCTGTCAAAGGCAGTCTACATGTACATGAAAGGGTGCATACTGGAGAAAAACCATTTGTCTGTAAAATATGTGGTAAAGCCTGTTCAGGCAAGGGTGATCTCACTAGACATGAAAGGGTGCACACTGGAGAAAAACCATTTGTTTGTGAGACCTGTGGTAAAGCCTTTCGTAGGAAATGTCATCTACAGGGACATGAAAGCGTGCACACTGGAGAAAAAACATTTGTTTGTGAGACCTGTGGTAAAGCCTTTTCTGTCCAAGGCAGTCTACATGTACATGAAAGGGTGCATACTGGAGAAAAAACATTTGTTTGTGAAATCTGTGGGAAAGCCTTTTCTAACCAGAATGAACTTACTAGACATGAAAGAATGCACACCGGTGAAAAACCATTTGTTTGTGAGACCTGTGGTAAAGCCTTTTCTGTCCAAGGCAGTCTACATGTACATGAAAGGGTGCATACTGGAGAAAAACCATTTGTTTGTGAAATCTGTGGGAAAGCCTTTTCTTACCAGAATGAACTCACTAGACATGAAAGAATGCACACCGGTGAAAAACCATTTATTTGTGAGACCTGCGGTAAAGCCTTTTCGTTCAGTTATATTCTAAGTAGACATGAACGAATTCACACCAATGAGAAACCATTTGTTTGTGAGACTTGCGGTAAAGCCTTTTCTGACACAGGTAGTCGAAACAGGCATGTAAAAATACACATCGGTAAACCATTGTTTATGTGACCTGCATGTGGTAAAGCCTTTCTTCAGAAATGTACTCTAAAAATACATGAAAGAAGACACACCGGTGAAAAACCATTTGTTTGTGAGACCTGTGGTATAGCCTTTCTGTCAAAGGTAATCTACATGTACATGAAAGGCTACATACTGGAGAAAAACCATTTGTCTGTGAAATCTGTGGTAAAGCCTTTTCTAGCCAGAGTGAACTCACTAGACATGAAAGAATGCACACCGGTGAAAAACCATTTGTTTGTGAGACCTGTGGTAAAGCCTTCTCCAACCAAGGTCATCTAATTAGACATGAACGAATTCACACTAATGAGAAACCATTTGTTTGCGAGACCTGTGGTAAAGCCTTTTCTAACACAGGTAGTCGAAACAGGCATGTAAAAATGCACATCGGTAAACCATTGTTTGTGTGACCTGCATGTGGTAAAGCCTTTCTTCAGAAATGTACTCTAAAAATACATGAAAGAAGACAAAGCGGTGAAAGCCATTTGTTTGTGAGACCTGTGGTAAAGCCTTTTCTGGCAAGGGTGATCTCACTAGACGTGAAAGAATGCACACCGGTGAAAAACCATTTGTTTACGAGACCTGTGTCAAAGGTAGTCGACACAGATAGTCGAAAAAAACAACATTTGTCTGTTAAATTTGTGGTAAAGCCTTTTCTGGTCAAAGTACTCGAGACAGGCATGAAATGATTCACAGTAGTGAGAAACCAATTGTTTGTGAGACCTGCGGTAAAGCCTTTTCTAACACAGGTAGTCGATACAGGCATGTAAAAATGCACATTGGTAAACCATTATGTTTCTATGACTGTCAAGCCTTTCTTGAGAAATGTCATCTAATAATACATGAAAGAAGACACACCGGTGAAAAACCATTTGTTTGTGAGACCTGTGGTAAAGTCTTTTCGGACAAAGGTAATCTAAGTGGACATGAAAAAATATACACATCGGTGATAAAACAATTTTTGTAAGACCTACGGTAAAGCCGTTTCTAACACAGTCGAAACAGGCATGCAAAAAAGCACATCGGTAAACCATTTGTTTGTGTGACATGTGGTAAAGCCTTTTCTGCCAAATGTCATCCACAGGGACGTGAAAGGGTGCATACTGGAGAAAAACCATTTGTCTGTAAAATCTGTGGTAAAGCATTTTCTGGTCAAAGTACTCGAAACAGGCACGAAATGATTCATTGCGTTGAGAAACCGTTTGTTTGCGAGACCTGTGGTTATGCCCATTCTGCCAAACGTAATCCAAAAAGACACGAAAGAATGCATATCGATGAGAAAAACACACCTTTGTAAGATCTAAACGAACGTAGACAGAAAGCTTAACATTGGTGAGAATGTTCATGTGCATGCATCTGTTCGTACTTGTATTGTGTGACATTATATTTCCAGTTGCAGTACTTTATTGTATATTTGGGAAATAGAAATTTCCTAAAAGTTTCCTATCCACAAGGGTACACGATCGAAATTGGCTGGTATTAATTGGTATGACCTCTGCAAGGCCACTGTTTGGGTCTTTGATCTAACCAAACCCTTTGTTTTAGAGGGACTTTCCCATGGCCTTGCCTGGCTACTTTAAGTAACACTATTATGTCACCTCCACTCACTGTGGAAACAAATCTATCAGATAATGAATAATGAAAGGTTTGCGGAAACACCATGTGCAAATAATTTCTCAATGAGGAGAATGGTTCTGAAAAGAACCAGAGGTATAAAATCTATTAGGTTTTGGAGGTTGTTGGGATCTGGAAGAGATCTGCTGGTCAGCAGATTCACCGCAAAGTTTATATTCAAATTACACAATGACATCATGGGGAAGGTCGAGCGGTCATATTGATATTTAGCCAATTGGCAAAAAGATGTAGTAGCCATATCGGGCGAGTTATCATTTTGTTATGTTAAGTTGTAAAATTGAAACTTCGTTCCTAGAGCTACTTTTGCTCTGTAGTTATGTTAGTGGAAATTCATTCTTTTATTTGGTTGTTCTTTATTTCGATCATTTGTCTTCATTTCTGTGAATGAAGTTGTCTACATCTCTTGAACTTTTAATGATTCAAACAGAAGAGATCTGCAAGATAGGTTTGACAGTCAACTTGAATTGAATCATGGGGGAACCATAAACATCGTTGGTGATGTGAATTGAAGTTGCTATTACATGTACATGTATATCAGTATCTACAGGTAATTGATATTTTATAGAACCGTTCATTTAAGAATCATTGTATTCTTTTGTATAGCTTCCACCTACAAATATGGTGACTTAGCTGATGTAGCAGGTCTGCTAGATATATCTAGGTTAGATGTTGACTTAAAGTGTTGTAATTCTTGATTCACACTTAACTAGTTTCGGATATTGTAAATTATGTTTTTGGAGACAATGCTTGCTTTTTTCCAATTGACAAGTCAAGACAATGAATTACTGATTCTGTTTTCAAGTTATTTTGTAGTTATTGCATGCACTGTGTTGTTTTTATCTTATTGTACAATCAATAATGTGTTGTACTTTTAAACACCTTAAGTTGAGGACAAGGACAATCAGTCTGGCTACCCAATAAAGTGTTATGTGATCTGTCATATTCCATCTATTGGATACCAGCTGATGTACTGTTTTATGGTGTTTAAATTACGAGTACTATGACCTTTGAACCGAGTGTCGTGATCTGTTGTACAGGGTGGATAAAAAAACGAAACCGAGATAATATTGCTTATTGGAACAGAAGTATGGCACATGTGAATCAAATGGAGATATCCTCTCTTAGGGTGGAGTCTCCTCTTTAAAATGACACCATGGTCATGTCATTACATACACGGTTGACTGAGCAGAGCCCATTTTATAACAGGGTCTATTTAGAGACTTGTGCCACTTTCCAATTGTGGTTTGTGTTGTGTCTTTTGTCTCAGTGTGAAAGGCTATGGTTGCCCATTAGGGCAGGTGTGGGGGAAAACAGAGATCTCAACGTGAAAAGTGGCGCAAGTCTCTCAATGGACCCTTTCATAAAATTAGTCACTGCTCAGTCAACCGTGAATGTATAAGGACACGTCATGATAAAGACGAGATTCAACCCTAACAGAGGATATCTCCCTTTGATTCACATGTGATCTACTTCTGTTCCAATTAGCAATAATATCTCGGTTTCGCTTTTTTGATTCACCCTCTATAATGACTGTAGTAGTACAATGTAGTATTTTAAACCCATGTTTTGCATTATTATTTCTTAATGTTACCGTCACGGACCACCCGTAAATTCCGCCAATGGACCATTAAACTCTAGGTCCATCGAGTTTTACCATCAGCACCAAATTGTCATCGGGGAAGGTACTGAATTTGGAAATTTTTAAGGGTATTTTGGAATGCCTTTTGGGTGTTATTCTAATGCGAATTTAGTATATTCATGGGCTAACGTGTGATAGGATCCACTAATCTCACACTGCACTGATCAGATAGTGTACTAAATCATGATTAGTGGTATTCGAATCTCGATATTTATGTCAGTGTGAAGTTTTCCTGGGCCAATGTATCGGATACAGTTTTTTTATATTTTAAATACAATCATTGAAAAGGTACCTTTGTGTCCATTTTAACCTTTTTGCAATCATCGCTGTTTTGCAAATTTCAATGGCAATTGAAGTGCTCTTTTCGTTTTGACCAGGCAAATAATAATGTCCATATTCTTAAGCAACAATGTGTCATTTCAGGCAGAAACTCACTAATGTCACATCTATTTCAGCATTAAAAAGCGGCCAGCATTTTTGATAATTGACTGTCGTATAGTTTATGCTCTATCTTGTCTTTTGTGATTGTGCGTGCCAGTCATCCTGTGAGCAAACATTTTGCACAGAATGTTTTCAATAAGCAAGTTTGAGATTCAGAGTTTGAAAAGAAAATTAACCTCTAAACTGAAAGTATCTCCCCAAATCACAGCAACAGCCCCCTCAGTTGTCCGGAAATCATGGACAGTTTAATAAACTTAACAAATTAACCGGTGTGGCAGTAATTCTGTCCCCCGTTAAAAGTGTCCGGGGGGACAGAATTACCTAGGTAAAAGTGTCCTCCCCGGCCCGTTAATTCTGTCCCCCTTCAGGTAATTCTGTCCCCTCCAGGTTTTTTTGTCCCCCTAGTTTTGCAACGCAGAAGGCCATTCTCTATATTGTTTTGATGAATTCAGTCTACAAACAAGGTATACATTTTTTACTTTTTAGTCTGACCTTCATGAAGATGAAAACAATTAATTTTTTGGTTTCTTTCTTAGATGTGAAATGTGAACACAATATGTTTCGATCGATTCGGACTGAGTACGGTGAAAATACAGCAAGGGCCACCGTAGAATAGGGCCACTGTAGTGCATGACCGGTCATGCACTACAGTGGCCCTATTCTACGGTGATCGCCTCATTGATATAACGCCTACTTGGATTGGTCTGCGTTCCCATCGTAGCGCGTAACGAGATTTCCTATTGGATGAATTTCCTTAGTGTAGCGGGATAGCATTATGTACACATGCGATAAACACTGCCACAAATCTTGCAGCATGTACTTGCGGCGATGCGCGCTCACGAGCACGACTCGTATCATCGCATGGGTGATACTTGCACGGGGACACATTTACCAGGGGGACACTTTCAACGTTGGGCAGGGGGACATATTTACCAGGGAGGGGGACAGATCTATCTAGGTAAATGTGTCCCCCGGACAGATTTACCGGGTCGCGACCCGGTAAATCTGTCCGGGGGGACACATTTACCAGGGGGGACAGAATTACCTGCCACACCGGAGTGTCAGAGAGTCGTACAATTTATGACCTAAAGCATCTCAGTTTCGTAGCAGTCGGTCATTTTTATTGGGGAGGGGGGGGGGGGGATGTAAAAAATTGTGAAAAGGGCACTTGCTCATCCGTGGTGAAAGGCAGACAGGTTTTTTTCTCTAGACATTTGGCTTCGTAAAATCAAAAAGCGCGGGGGGGGGCTTATTCCAACTGTCGATGGGGGCGCTGTTCAGAAACGACGATTATGCACAGAAACGCCAATAAATAGTGCTTTTAAGGGCGGTACATGTGCGCAATTCAGTAAAAAGAACCCAAAACAGTACGTCACAAAACAAGGGCACCACTTTTATGATATATATTGCAAAACATCGTGTAGGGATGGACAAAATTTAGCTGACAACGATATATGCGCACATTATCATTATCTGCAGAATGAAAATGTGTTCAATTATTGGTAATTTGGTCTCTTTTTAGTGATGATTATGTGGTTTAGCCATTCTAAGTATGTTATGTATGTTACTACACAGTAACCGACCGTTGTCTGCGCATATGCATGTTGCGTCTCAATTATTATTCCGTAACGGGTTTTGTGGCAAGCGCCCTCAATCGACAGCTACAAAGCACACACGGTCGTCGCTAGCGCTTCCGGATACTAGATTTGGTGAGCGAAATGCTTGTAATTTCACATTTTTTTTATATTTCAGAGGTTTGATCCTATCTTTAGGTGCCCAACTATATCAAAATAACACGTGTGAAATACGGGGGCCAAACATTTCGGGATGGGAGTCATTGGACGTCGAAAAATTGACAATTTTTGTTTACATGTACAAATCACACACGGGACTTGTGACAAGCATTACGGACACACTTTCGCAAAATGTGGTCCGGATGCTTTCTATACAAAAACCTAGTTGGTTCGGGGTTTTGTACGTAAACCTTATCAGTCAGCCGATCGCGCTCAATTGACTTCGGCCAAACCGCAGTCCCATCATAAGAAATAAGTTAACAATGTTATCCGGACCATTTTTTTCCGAGAGTGTGTCTGTAATGAGGGCATGAAGGGTGACGTGACCGTTCCGATTTTCAGTTAACTTTGACGGATTTCTTTTGTTAAAAAACAAATTGGACAGAAAATTTGACAGAATGGATTTTTTTTTTGCAGATTTCTTGCAGAATTCTGCACAAATGGTTATTTCAGGCATGCAACTCTTCCTCGGATCAGCTGATTTCCTCGTTTTTCACTTCAGACTTTTGCCATTTAAAATTAAAAAACACTGTACAAAGTCTTGTAAAATTTGGTATTTCCTCGTTTTTTTGTTAATTCCAAGTTGCATGCCTGTTATTTGGCCTGGCAGTAAAACAGGCGAGTCGAAAAAAGTGGTGCCGGGCCCCTAATTTGGTTTAAAAAGCTTCAATCTTTTCAAACAAACCCTTGCATAATGGGACAGGTTGGTTGGCGTAGGTCGCCTGAGGTTCACTTGGAACTGGACTTTGTCATGACGCAACCGGTTGTTTTGCCTGAACTTTATGCAATTTCAAAACATCCATATGCAACTACATGTGTATAGGTCTAGATTGTTTACAAAGGCAACAACCACAACACCATCTGCATGTATTGTTATTTTAAGTGTTTATCATGTATTTCGAGTAATTATGGGGGATTTGGCAGATATTTGATCAATCTGACAGATTGTTCAAGTTTATTCAGCAGAATTTGGCCATGACCTTACGGTCACCCTGCCTGTAACAGCCCCATCAATGTGGCTGTCATACTGGACTACCTCATTTTAGACCATGGAGTTAGACAGCTACACATTGTATGCCCTGTGCATGGAATGTTGGTCGCATTGCTACTTATGCTAGGGGAGCCGAAAATTGAATTGATCAAGTTGACTGAAATAAAATAACATATATTCCATCCTAATGGAATGCATCTCCCCCCCCCCAAAAAAAAGTACCACACAAACACACAAATCCACACATAACTAAAACAAAATTCCACATACAGTAAGTAAATATTTTGGAAATATAAAAACAAAACTACAAAGTAAATACTCCTAATCTATAGCCTAAACCCCCATGATTGTTATTGTATAATGTATTCCCTTGTGTCCTCAACAACATTTTTCGTTACTGTTAAATGTAAGCTGTGTAAAATCCTTTGTCATTTGAAAAAAAAGGGCTGATGTGGTTGGAAATCGGAATCCCAATTGATAGTCCTATTCCTAACATTTCTCCAAAAACAAACAAAAAATTGAGATTGATATACATGTATGGTGCAAGGCCTGAATTCTGTTCTCCACCTTGTACTGAAGGACCAACGAGGTCTGCTTGATACCTCCGCTATAAATTTTCCCTAACTCTGATGTTCCCCGAAATCCTTAGGGTTAGGGTTAGGGTGAGGATTTGGGGGAACATTAGTATTGAGGAACATAGGTATGCACCCAGGACCATCAATCAAACACAATAAAGTTACACAGGGATCAGTGCTGCTAGATTTGAAATTGGAAGCATTTTTAAGAAATAAACATGCCCATAGGAACTGTACTCATATTTTTTGTATACCATGTACACGCCCCATAAATCACGTTTTTCATTCATAAAAAAAATCTATGTACGAGCCCAAAAAGGCTACAGTTGATTAAAGAAAACCAAAAAGTTCTGAATTTCTTCGTCTCTCTCTCGTCTTAATCAAATTGTGGCCCAAACACGTCACGTTGGGTATTATTCAACAAAGCATTAGAACCGGTTCATTTTGTTTGTAATTTTTTTCCTGAACTTAGGGTGTCAATCTGCTTTTTGACAACACCGACTACAAATTGACTTCCGTTGTGGCATCTCGTGAATCAGATCCAATTACGGAGAAACCTGAGGAAAATCAACACATCCGGCCAATGTAATGATGCTTTCATAAGCTTGAAACATGCTGCCAAAAAACATTGGTTGGTTGTAATATTTGATGTTTCTATCAGCCCTCAAGAGGTTCCAAAACGAGGAGATGCAAGTAAAACTGTTACATTTGTTTTTCGCTACACCAAACTCTTCTCATCAAGCTTGATGATTAATTGTCACCAGAGGGTCCACTTTAAGTGAGAAACTGTTTTCTTGTGAAGCTTGTGGTCAACCCACTGACGGACGAAATCTCCATAGGCTCAACAGACTGCATGCATGTACTGGGGTCTTGGGAGAAACTTTGTTGTTGCGATACCTGTTGTAAAGCCTTTCTTATCAACGGAGTCCAACCATGCACAATAGGGTCCATTCTTCACACGAAGCTTGAAGCAAAATTGTCATCAGAGGAAGTGGAGACTGGTGGGAAACCGTTTTCTTGTGAGACTTGTGGTAAAAACCCACTGAGCGACAGAATCAACTGCATACGTGTACATGTAGGCCTACTTGTGTAAAACAATATTTTGCAAGAATTGTTGTAATAAGGCCTGTGTTATTAGAGGGGTCCAACTATTAAGAGGGTGGATCCACAGTGGTGATGAAAAATTATATGATTATGAGGCTTGTGGAAAGCCTTTTCTCATAAAGGACACCTAAGCAGACACGAAAGGAGGTACATAGGTGAGAGGCCATATGTTTGTGAGACCTGTGGTAAATCCTGTCTCGCAAAGGTGATCTAAATAAACATAAGAATGTACATCAATAAGAAACCATTTGTTTGTAAGACCTGTGATCAAGCCTTTTCTGTCAAAGGTAGTCTACAGGTACATGAAAGGGTGCAAACTGGAGAAAAACCATTTGTTTGTGAGACCTGTGGTAAAGCCTTTCGTAAGCAATGTCATCTAAAAATACATGAAAGAATACACAGCGGTGAGAAACCATTTGTTTGTGAGACCTGTGGTAAAGCCTTTTCTGACAAAGGTTATCTACGTAGACATACAAAAATACACACCGGTGTTAAACCATATGTTTGTGAGACCTGCGGTAAAGCCTTTTCTGCCAAATGTCATCTACAGGGACATGAAAGGGTGCACACTGGAGAAAAACCATTTGTTTGTGAGACCTGTGGTAAAGCCTTTTCTGTCAAAGGTAATCTACAGATACATAAAAGGGTGCATACTGGAGAAAGACCATTTGTCTGTGAAATCTGTGGTAAAGCCTGTTCTGGCAAGGGTGATCTCAATAGACATGAAAGGGTGCACACTGGAGAAAAACCATTTGTTTGTGAGACCTGTGGTAAAGCCTTTCTTGAGAAATTTAATCTAAAAATACATGAAAGAAGACACACCGGTGAAAAACCATTTGTTAATGAGACCTGTGGTGAAGCCTTTTCTGTCAAAGGTGATCTAGAAATACATGAAAGAATACACACCGGTGTTAAACCATATGTTTGTGAGACCTGCGGTAAAGCTTTTCTGCCAAATGTCATCTACAGGGACATGAAAGGGTGCACACTGGAGAAAAACCATTTGTTTGTGAGACCTGTGGTAAAGCCTTTCCTGTCAAAGGCAGTCTACATGTACATGAAAGGGTGCATACTGGAGAAAAACCTTTTGTTTGTGAAATCTGTGGTAAAGCCTTTTCTAACCAGAATGCACTCACTAGACATGAAAGAATGCACACCGGTGAAAAACCATTTATTTGTGGGACCTGCGGTAAAGCCTTTTCGTTCAGTTGTAGTCTAAGTAGACATGAACGAATTCACACTAATGAGAAACCATTTGTTTGTGAGACTTGCGGTAAAGCCTTTTCTAACACAGGTAGTCGAAACAGGCATGTAAAAATGCACATCTGTAAACCATTGTTTGTGTGACCTGCATGTGGTAAAGCCTTTCTTCAGAAATGTACTCTAAAAATACATGAAAGAAGACACACCGGTGAAAAACCATTTGTTTGTGAGACCTGTGGTAAAGCCTTTTCTGGCAAGGGTGATCTCACTAGACATGAAAGAATGCACACCGGTGAAAAACCATTTGTTTACGAGACCTGTGGTAAAGCCTTTTCCGACAAAGGTTGTCTATAAGTAGACATTAAAAAAAAAAATCGGTGTTAAACCATATGTTTGTGAGACCTGCGGCAAAGCCTTTTCTGCCAAGTGTTATCTACAGGAACATGAAAGGGTGCACACTGGAGAAAAACCATTTGTTTGTGAGACCTGTGGTGTAGCCTTTCTGTCAAAGGTAATCTACATGTACATGAAAGGCTACATACTGGAGAAAAACCATTTGTTTGTGAGACCTGTGGTAAAGCCTTTTCTGGCAAGGGTGATCTCACTAGACATGAAAGAATGCACACCGGTGAAAAACCATTTGTTTACGAGACCTGTGGTAAAGCCTTTTCCGACAAAGGTTGTCTATAAGTAGACATTAAAAAAAAAAATCGGTGTTAAACCATATGTTTGTGAGACCTGCGGCAAAGCCTTTTCTGCCAAGTGTTATCTACAGGAACATGAAAGGGTGCACACTGGAGAAAAACCATTTGTTTGTGAGACCTGTGGTGTAGCATTTCTGTCAAAGGTAATCTACGTGTACATGAAAGGCTACATACTGGAGAAAAACCATTTGTCTGTGAAATCTGTGGTAAAGCCTTTTCTAGCCAGAGTGAACTCACTATACATGAAAGAATGCACACCGGTGAAAAACCATTTGTTTGTGAGACCTGTGGTCAAGCCTTTTCTAACACAGGTAGTCGAAACAGTCATGCAAAACAATGCACATCGGTAAACCATTTGTTTGTGTGACCTGTGGTAAAGACTTCTCCAACCAAGGTCATCTAATTAGACATGAACGAATTCACACTAATGAGAAACCATTTGTTTGCGAGACCTGTGGTAAAGCCTTTTCTAACACAGGTAGTCGAAACAGGCATGTAAAAATGCACATCGGTAAACCATTGTTTGTGTGACCTGCATGTGGTAAAGCCTTTCTTCAGAAATGTACTCTAAAAATACATGAAAGAAGACAAACCGGTGAAAAACCATTTGTTTGTGAGACCTGTGGTAAAGCCTTTTCTGGCAAGGGTGATCTCACTAGACATGAAAGAATGCACGCCGGTGAAAAACCATTTGTTTACGAGACCTGTGTCAAAGGTAGTCGACACAGATGTGAAATTTGTGGTAAAGCCTTTTCTGGTCAAAGTACTCGAGACAGGCATGAAATGATTCACAGTAGTGAGAAACCATTTGTTTGCGAGACCTTCTGTAAAGCCTTTTCTAACACAGGTAGTCGATACAGGCATGTAAAAATGCACATTGGTAAACCATTATGTTTCTATGACTGTAAAGCCTTTCTTGAGAAATGTCATCTAATAATACATGAAAGAAGACACACCGGTGAAAAACCATTTGTTTGTGAGACCTGTGGTAAAGCCTTTTCTGACAAAGGTAATCTAAGTGGACATGAAAAAATATACACATCGGTGATAAAACAATTTTTGTAAGACCTACGGAAAAGCCGTTTCTAACACAGTCGAAACAGGCATGCAAAAAAGCACATCGGTAAACCATTTGTTTGTGTGACATGTGGTAAAGCCTTTTCTGCCAAATGTCATCCACAGGGACGTGAAAGGGTGCATACTGGAGAAAAACCATTTGTCTGTAAAATCTGTGGTAAAGCATTTTCTGGTCAAGTACTCTGGTCAAAAACAGGAACGAAATGATTCACAGCGTTGAGAACCGTTTGTTTGCGAGACCTGTGGTTATGCCCATTCTGCCAAACGTAATCTAAAAAGACACGAAAGAATGCATATCGATGAGAAAAACACACCTTTGTAAGATCTAAACGGACGTAGACAGAAAGCTTAACATTGGTGAGAATGGTCATGTGCATGCATCTGTTCGTACTTGTATTGTGTGACATTATATTTCCAGTTGCAGTACTTGTATATTTGGGAAATGAAAATTTCCTAAACGTTTCCTATCCACAAGGATACATGAAGCCTTACACGATCGAAATTGGCTGGTATTAATTGGTATGACCTCTGCAAGGCCACTGTTTGGGTCTTTGGTCTAACCCTTTGTTTTAGAGGGACTTTCCCATGGCCTTGCCTGGCTACTTTAAGTAACACTATTATGTCACCTCCACTCACTGTGGAAACAAATCTATCAGATAATGAATAATGAAAGGTTTGCGGAAACACCATGTGCAAATAATTTCTCAATTAGGAGAATGGTTCTGAAAAGAACCAGAGGTATAAAATCTATTAGGTTTTGGAGGTTGTTGGGATCTGGAAGAGATCTTGCTGGTCAGCAGATTCACCGCAAAGTTTATATTCAAATTACACAATGACATCATGGGGAAGGTCGAGCGGTCATATTGATATTTAGCCAATTGGCAAAAAGATGTAGTAGCCATATCGGGTGAGTTATCATTTTGTTATGTTAAGTTGTAAAATTGAAACTTAGTTCCTAGAGCTACTTTTGCTCTTTAGTTATGTTAGTGGAAATTCATTCTTTTATTTGGTTGTTCTTTATTTCGATCATTTGTCTTCATTTCTGTGAATGAAGTTGTCTACATCTCTTGAACTTTTAATGATTCAAACAGAAGAGATCTGCAAGATAGGTTTGACAGTCAACTTGAATTGAATCATGGGGGAACCATAAACATCGATGGTGATGTGAATTGAAGTTGCTATTACATGTACATGTATATCAGTATCTACAGGTAATTGATATTTTATAGAACCGTTCATTTAAGAATCATTGTAATCCAATTGTGGTTTGTGTTGTGTCTTTTGTCTCAGTGTGAAAACAGAGATCTCAACGTGAAAAGTGGCGCAAGTCTCTCAATGGACCCTTTCATAAAATTAGTCACTGCTCAGTCAACCGTGAATGTATAAGGACACGTCATGATAAAGACGAGATTCAACCCTAACACAGGATATCTCCCTTTGATTCACATGTGCCCTACTTCTGTTCCAATTAGCAATAATATCTCGGTTTCGCTTTTTTGATTCACCCTCTATAATGACTGTAGTAGTACAATGTAGTATTTTAAACCCATGTTTTGCATTATTATTTCTTAATGTTACCGTCACGGACCACCCATAAATTCCGCCAATGGACCATTAAACTCTAGGTCCATCGAGTTTTACCATCAGCACCAAATTGTCATCGGGGAAGGTACTGAATTTGGAAATTTTTAAGGGTATTTTGGAATGCCTTTTGGGTGTTATTCTAATGCGAATTTAGTATATTCATGGGCTAACGTGTGATAGGATCCACTAATCTCACACTGCACTGATCAGATAGTGTACTAAATCATGATTAGTGGTATTCGAATCTCGATATTTATGTCAGTGTGAAGTTTTCCTGGGCCAATGTATCGGATACAGTTTTTTTATATTTTAAATACAATCATTGAAAAGGTACCTTTGTGTCCATTTTAACCTTTTTGCAATCATCGCTGTTTTGCAAATTTCAATGGCAATTGAAGTGCTCTTTTCGTTTTGACCAGGCAAATAATAATGTCCATATTCTTAAGCAACAATGTGTCATTTCAGGCAGAAACTCACTAATGTCACATCTATTTCAGCATTAAAAAGCGGCCAGCATTTTTGATAATTGACTGTCGTATAGTTTATGCTCTATCTTGTCTTTTGTGATTGTGCGTGCCAGTCATCCTGTGAGCAAACATTTTGCACAGAATGTTTTCAATAAGCAAGTTTGAGATTCAGAGTTTGAAAAGAAAATTAACCTCTAAACTGAAAGTATCTCCCCAAATCACAGCAACAGCCCCCTCAGTTGTCCGGAAATCATGGACAGTTTAATAAACTTAACAAATTAACCGGTGTGGCAGTAATTCTGTCCCCCGTTAAAAGTGTCCGGGGGGACAGAATTACCTAGGTAAAAGTGTCCTCCCCGGCCCGTTAATTCTGTCCCCCTTCAGGTAATTCTGTCCCCTCCAGGTTTTTTGTCCCCCTAGTTTTGCAACGCAGAAGGCCATTCTCTATATTGTTTTGATGAATTCAGTCTACAAACAAGGTATACATTTTTTACTTTTTAGTCTGACCTTCATGAAGATGAAAACAATTAACTTTTTGGTCTCTTTCTTAGATGTGAAATGTGAACACAATATGTTTCGATCGATTCGGACTGAGTACGGTGAAAATACAGCAAGGGCCACCGTAGAATAGGGCCACTGTAGTGCATGACCGGTCATGCACTACAGTGGCCCTATTCTACGGTGATCGCCTCATTGATATAACGCCTACTTGATTGGTCTGCGTTCCCATCGTAGCGCGTAACGAGATTTCCTATTGGATGAATTTCCTTAGTGTAGCGGGATAGCATTATGTACACATGCGATAAACACTGCCACAAATCTTGCAGCATGTACTTGCGGCGATGCGCGCTCACGAGCACGACTCGTATCATCGCATGGGTGATACTTGCACGGGGACACATTTACCAGGGGGACACTTTCAACGTTGGGCAGGGGGACATATTTACCAGGGAGGGGGACAGATCTATCTAGGTAAATGTGTCCCCCGGACAGATTTACCGGGTCGCGACCCGGTAAATCTGTCCGGGGGGACACATTTACCAGGGGGGACAGAATTACCTGCCACACCGGAGTGTCAGAGAGTCGTACAATTTATGACCTTAAGCATCTCAGTGGCGTAGCAGGCGGTCATTTTTATTGGGGAGGGGGGGGGGGGATGTAAAAAATTGTGAAAAGGGCACTTGCTCATCCGTGGTGAAAGGCAGACAAGTTTTTTTCTCTAGACATTTGGCTTCGTAAAATCAAAAAGCGCGGGGGGGGGGGGGGCTTATTCCAACTGTCGATGGGGGCGCTGTTCAGAAACGACGATTATGCACAGAAACGCCAATAAATAGTGCTTTTAAGGGCGGTACATGTGCGCAATTCAGTAAAAAGAACCCAAAACAGTACGTCACAAAACAAGGGCACCACTTTTATGATATATATTTCAAAACATCGTGTATGGATGGGACAAAATTTAGCTGACAACGATATATGCGCACATTATCATTATCTGCAGAATGAAAATGTGTTCAATTATTGGTAATTTGGTCTCTTTTTAGTGATGATTATGTGGTTTAGCCATTCTAAGTATGTTATGTATGTTACTACACAGTACCGACCGTTGTCTGCGCATATGCATGTTGCGTCTCAATTATTATTCCGTAACGGGTTTTGTGGCAAGCGCCCTCAATCGACAGCTACAAAGCACACACGGTCGTCGCTAGCGCTTCCGGATACTAGATTTGGTGAGCGAAATGCTTGTAATTTCACATTTTTTTTATATTTCAGAGGTTTGATCCTATCTTTAGGTGCCCAACTATATCAAAATAACACGTGTGAAATACGGGGGCCAAACATTTCGGGATGGGAGTCATTGGACGTCGAAAAATTGACAATTTTTGTTTACAAATCACACACGGGACTTGTGACAAGCATTACGGACACACTTTCGCAAAATGTGGTCCGGATGCTTTCTATACAAAAACCTCGTTGGTTCGGGGTTTTGTATGTAAACCTTATCAGTCAGCCGATCACGCTCAATTGACTTCGGCCAAACCGCAGTCCCATCATAAGAAATAAGTTAACAATGTTATCCGGACCATTTTTTCCGAGAGTGTGTCTGTAATGAGGGCATGAAGGGTGACGTGACCGTTCCGATTTTCAGTTAACTTTGACGGATTTCTTTTGTTAAAAAACAAATTGGACAGAAAATTTGACAGAATGGATTTTTTTTTTTGCAGATTTCTTGCAGTCGAATTCTGCACAAATGGTTATTTCAGGCATGCAACTCTTCCTCGGATCAGCTGATTTCCTCGTTTTTCACTTCAGACTTTTGCCATTTAAATTAAAAAACACTGTACAAAGTCTTGTAAAATTTGGTATTTCCTCGTTTTTTTTTGTTAATTCCAAGTTGCATGCCTGTTATTTGGCCTGGCAGTAAAACAGGCGAGTCGAAAAAAGTGGTGCCGGGCCCCTAATTTGGTTTAAAAAGCTTCAATCTTTTCAAACAAACCCTTGCATAATGGGACAGGTTGGCTGGCGTAGGTCGCCTGAGGTTCACTTGGAACTGGACTTTGTCATGACGCAACCTGTTGTTTTGCCTGAACTTTATGCAATTTCAAAACATCCATATGCAACTACATGTGTATAGGCCTAGATTGTTTACAAAGGCAACAACCACAACACCATCTGCATGTATTGTTATTTTAAGTGTTTATCATGTATTTCGAGTAATTATGGGGGATTTGGCAGATATTTGATCAATCTGACACATTGTTCAAGTTCATTCAGCAGAATTTGGCCATGACCTTACGGTCACCCTGCCTGTAACAGCCCCATCAATGTGGCTGTCATACTGGACTACCTCATTTTAGACCATGGAGTTAGACAGCTACACATTGTATGCCCTGTGCATGGATTGTTGGTCACATTGCTACTTATGCTAGGGGAGCCGAAAATCAATTTGAAATTGCAACTTCATGTATTTTGTCACTTTATACTTACATAATCTGACAGTGCCGTCTACGAAGTGCTGCTTAATACATAGCAACAAAACGACGAATTCATTACCTACAGAGGTCTAGTTATCTTGTAATTTTAGGTTGAATTGGGACGATTTTTGGCTGCCATTGTTCACGAAAGCAACGTGCTGCAAATCACGCCCTCACTTGCGTGCATCAAAATAATGTTGACAATGCTCATTCGTACGGCTGTTGCCTGTCACTCAGTATTGGTCAAAAGTGCATTAATGCGGGCGCAGTTTTGACCAATACTGTCATGGCTGTGTTGTGATTATTGTCGTGTGCTTGTGCCGATCAGCCAATCAAAAATTGCCTTGATTATTTATGCTGAGTAGGACACCAACGGCTGTTGGATGTCCTCAGTATTTATAAGTGAGTGAGGCATCATTTCTGCTGCAAATAACAAAGTTAATATAGCTCTCGAGCTTTCCGGTCGACATCCCGATAACGTTGTACAGTGGTACATATGTGTATGATTCATAATTGTGATACGATCAATTCTGTCATTTACATACATTAAATAATTGAGTAAAACTACATTTTGTAGCAGGTGGATTCAATTGGATGCATCAATGCATTCTCCAGGTGGTAAACTGCGGACAACCGAGTCCTGTCCTGATCCTGTGTGGAATCGGCTGATTCTGAATTGATCAAAATGACTGAAATAAGGTAACATATAATCCTTCCTAATGGTGAATCCTCAATAAAGACATTATTATATTGTTGTTGGCACCACGGAGCAGGCCACACCTAAAGAGAGGCAGACCACCCCTAATGTTGCGCAGGCCACCCCTAATGTTGCGCAGGCGCAGGCTACCCCTAATATTGCGCGGTCTACCCCTAATGTTGCGCAGGCCACCCCTAATGTTGCGCAGGCCACCCCTTAATATTGTGCGGTCCACCCCTAATGTTGTGCAGTCCACCCATAACGTGGTGTGGACCTGCCCTAATGTGGCACGGGCCAACCCTAACGTGGCGTGTGCCACCCCTAATGTGGCGCGACCCCTAACTTGGCATGCACCTTTTAATTTTTTTTTGCCTCAAGTGCTTTGCTAGCAGCATCCCCCCCCCCCAAAAAAAAAAAAACCCAACCACACAGACACACACAAATCCACACATAACTAAAAAAATGTCCACATACAGTAAGTAAATATTTTGGAAATATAAAAACAAAACTACAAAGTAAGTACTCCTAATCTATAGCCTAAACCCCCATGATTTTTATTGTATAATGTATTCCCTTGTGTCCTCAACAACATTTTTCGTTACTGTTAAATGTAAGCTGCGTAAAATCCTTTGTCATTTGAAAAAAAAGGGCTGATGTGGTTGGAAATCGGAATCCCAATTGATAGTCCTATTCCTAACATTTCTCCAAAAACAAACACAAAATTGAGCTTGATATACATGTATGGTGCAAGGCCTGAATTCTGTTCTCCACCTTGTATGAAGGACCAACGAGGTCTGCTTGATGTTCCCCGAAATCCTTAGGGTTAGGGTTAGGGTGAGGATTTTGAGGAACATTAGTATTGAGGAACATAGGTATGCACACAGGACCATCAATCAAACACAATAAAGTTACACAAGGATCAGTGCTGCTAGATTTGAAATTGGAAGCATTTTTAAGAAATAAACATGCCCATAGGAACTGTACTCATATTTTTTTGTATACCATGTACACGCACCATCATGTTTTTCATTCATAAAAAAATCTATGTACGAGCCCAAAAAGGCTACATTTGATTAAAGAAAACCAAAAAGTTCTGAATTTCTTTGTCTCTCTCTCGTCTTAATCAAATTGTGGCCCAAACACGTCACGGTGGATATTATTCACTAAAGCATTAGAACCGGTTCATTTTGTTTTTAATTTTTTCCCTGAACTTAGGGTGTCAATCTGCTTTTTGACAACACCGACTACAAATTGACTTCCGTTGTGGCATCTTGTGAATCAGATCCAATCCCTGAGAAACCTGAGGAAAATCAACACATCCGGCCAATGTGATGATGCTTCGTAAGCTTGAAACATGCTGCCAAAAAAAATTGGTTGGTTGTAATATTTGATGTTTCTATCAGCCCTCAAGAGGTTCCAAAACGAGGAGATGCAAGTAAAACTGTTACATTTGTTTTTCGCTACACCAAACTCTTCTCATCAAGCTTGATGATAAATTCTCACCAGAGGGTCCACTTTAAGTGAGAAACTGTTTTCTTGTGAAGCTTGTGGTCAACCCACTGACGGACGAAATCTCCATAGGCTCAACAGACTGCATGCATGTACTTGGGTCTTGGGAGAAACTTTGTTGTTGCGATACCCGTTGTAAAGCCTTTCTTATCAACGGAGTCCAACCATGCACAAGAGGTTCACACGAAGCTTGAAGCAAAATTGTCATCAGAGGAAGTGGAGACTGGTGGGAAACCGTTTTCTTGTGAGACTTGTGGTAAAAACCCACTGAGCGACAGAATCAACTGCATACGTGTACATGTAGGCCTACTTGTGTAAAACAATATTTTGCAAGAATTGTTGTAATAAGGCCTGTGTTATTAGAGGGGTCCAGCCATTAAGAGGGTGGATCCACAGTGGTGATGAAAAACTATATGATTATGAGGCTTGTGGAAAAGCCTTTTCTCACAAAAGACATCTAAGCAGCACGAAAGGAGGTAAATAGGTGAGAGGCCATATGTTTGTGGGACCTGTGGTAAATCCTGTCTCGCAAAGGTGATCTAAATAGACATAAGAATGTACATCAATAAGAAACCATTTGTTTGTAAGACCTGTGGTAAAGCCTTTTCTGTCAAAGGTAGTCTACAGGTACATGAAAGGGTGCATACTGGAGAAAAACTATTTGTTTGTGAGACCTGTGGTAAAGCCTTCCGTAAGCAATGTCATCTAAAAATACATGAAAGAATACACAGCGGTGAGAAACCATTTGTTTGTGAGACCTGTGGTAAAGCCTTTTCTGTCAAAGGTAGTCTTAGTAGACATGAAAAAATACACATCGGTGCTAAAGCCTTTTCTGCCAAATGTCATCTACAGGGACATGAAAAGGTGCACACTGGAGAAAAACCATTTGTTTGTGAGACCTGTGGTAAAGCCTTTCGTAGGAAATGTCATCTACAGGGACATGAAAGGGTGCACACTGGAGAAAAACCATTTGTTTGTGAGACCTGTGGTAAAGCCTTTCTTGAGAAATTTAATCTAAAAATACATGAAAGAAGACACACCAGTGAAAAACCATTTGTTTGTGGGACCTGTGGTAAAGCCTTTTCTGTCAAAGGTTATCTACAGCGACATAAAAGGGTGCATTCTGGAGAAAAAACATTTGTTTGTGAAATCTGTAGTAAAGCCTTTTTTGTCAAAGGTGATCTAGAAAAACATGAAAGAATACACACCGGTGAAAAACCATTTGTTTGTAAGACCTGTGGTAAAGCCTTCTCTGACATAGGTAATCTACGTAGACATACAAAGTTACACACCGGTGTTAAACCATATGTTTGTGAGACCTGCGGTAAAGCCTTTTCTGCCAAATGTCATCTACAGGGACATGAAAGGGTGCACACTGGAGAAAAACCATTTGTTTGTGAGACCTGTGGTAAAGCCTTTTCTGTCAAAGGAAATCTACAGATACATAAAAGGGTGCATACTGGAGAAAGACCATTTGTCTGTGAAATCTGTGGTAAAGCCTGTTCTGGCAAGGGTGATCTCACTAGACATGAAAGAGTGCACACCGGTGAAAAACCATTTGTTTGCGAGACCTGTGGTAAAGCCTTTCGTAAGAAATACCATCTAAAAATACATGAAAGAATACACAGCGGTGAGAAACCATTTGTTTGTGAGACCTGTGGTAAAGCCTTTTCTGTTAAAAATAGTCTAAGTGGACATGAAAAAATACACAGCGGTGTTAAACCATATGTTTGTGAGACCTGCGGTAAAGCCTTTTCTACCAAATGTCATCTACAGGGACATGAAAGGGTGCACACCGGTGAAAAACCATTTGTTTGTGAGACCTGCGGTAAAGCCTTTCGTAAGAACTATCATCTAAAAATACATGAAAGAATACACAGCGGTGAGAAACCATTTGTTTGTGAGACCTGTGGTAAAGCCTTTTCTGTTAAAAGTAGTCTAAGTGGACATGAAAAAATACACAGCGGTGTTAAACCATATGTTTGTGAGACCTGTGGTAAAGCATTTTCTGCCAAATGTCATCTACAGGGACATGAAAGGGTGCACACCGGTGAAAAACCATTTGTTTGTGAGACCTGTGGTAAAGCCTTTTCTAACACAGGTAGTCGAAACAGGCATGCAAAACAATGCACATCGGTAAACCATTTGTTTATGTGACCTGTGGTAAAGCCTTCTCCAACCAAGGTCATCTAATTAGACATGAACGAAATCACACTAATGAGAAACCATTTGTTTGCGAGACCTGTGGTAATAAACCTTTTCTGTCAAAGGTAGTCGACACAGATAGTCGAAAAACCATTTGTCTGTGAAATTTGTGGTAAAGCCTTTTCTGGTCAAAGTACTCGAGACAGGCATGAAATGATTCACAGTAGTGAGAAACCATTTGTTTGCGAGACCTTCTGTAAAGCCTTTTCTAACACAGGTAGTCTATACAGGCACGTAAAAATGCACATTGGTAAACCATTATGTTTCTATGACTGTAAAGCCTTTCTTGAGAAATGTCATCTAATAATACATGAAAGAAGACACACCGGTGAAAAACCATTTGTTTGTGAGACCTGTGGTAAAGCCTTTTCTGACAAAGGTAATCTAAGTGGACATGAACAAATACACATCGGTGATAAAACAATTTTTGTAAGACCTACTGTAAAGCCGTTTCTAACACAGTCGAAACAGGCATGCAAAAAAGCACATCGGTAAACCATTTGTTTGTGTGACATGTGGTAAAGCCTTTTCTGCCAAATGTCATCCACAGGGACGTGAAAGGGTGCATACTGGAGAAAAACCATGTCTGTAAAATCTGTGGTAAAGCATTTTCTGGTCAAAGTACTCGAAACAGGCACGAAATGATTCACAGCGTTGAGAAACCGTTTGTTTGCGAGACCTGTGGTAAAGCCCATTCTGCCAAACGTAATCTAAAAAGACACGAAAGAATGCATATCGATGAGAAAAACACACCTTTGTAAGATCTAAACGGACGTAGACAGAAAGCTTAACATTGGTGAGAATGTTCATGTGCATGCATCTGTTCGTACTTGTATTGTGTGACATTATATTTCCAGTTGCAGTACTTTATTGTATATTTGGGAAATGGAAATTTCCTAAAAGTTTCCTATCCACATGAGGGTACACGATCGAAATTGGCTGGTATTAATTGGTATGACTTCTGCAAGGCCACTGTTTGGGTCTTTGATCTAACCAAACCCTTTGTTTTAGAGGGACTTTCCCATGGCCTTGCCTGGCTACTTTAAGTAACACTATTATGTCACCTCCACTCACTGTGGAAACAAATCTATCAGATAATGAATAATGAAAGGTTTGCGGAAACACCATGTGCCAATAATTTCTCAATTAGGAGAATGGTTCTGAAAAGAACCAGAGGTATAAAATCCATTAGGTTTTGGAGGTTGTTGGGATCTGGAAGAGATCTTGCTGGTCAGCAGATTCACCGCAAAGTTTATATTCATATTTCACAATGACATGGGGAAGGAGCGGTCATATTGATATTTAGCCAATTGGCAAAAAGATGTGGTAGCCATATCGGGTGAGTTATCATTTTGTTATGTTAAGTTGTAATATTGAAACTTAGTTCCTAGAGCTACTTTTGCTCTGTAGTTATGTTAGTGGAAATTCATTCTTTTATTTGGTTGTTCTTTATTTCGATCATTTGTCTTCATTTCTGTGAATGAAGTTGTCTACATCTCTTGAACTTTTAATGATTCAAACAGAAGAGATCTGCAAGATAGGTTTGACAGTCAACTTGAATTGAATCATGGGGGAACCATAAACATCGTTGGTGATGTGAATTGAAGTTGCTATTACATGTACATGTATATCAGTATCTACAGGTAATTGATATTTTATAGAACCGTTCATTTAAGAATCATTGTATTCTTTTGTATAGCTTCCACCTACAAATATGGTGACTTAGCTGATGTAGCAGGTCTGCTAGATATATCTAGGTTATATGTTGACTTAAAGTGTTCTAATTCTTGATTCACACTTAACTAGGTTCGGATATTGTAAATTATGTTTTTGGAGCAATGCTTGCTTTTTTCCAATTGACAAGTCAAGACAATGAATTACTGATTCTGTTTTCAAGTTATTTTGTAGTTATTGCATGCACTGTGTTGTTTTTATCTTATTGTACAATCAATAATGTGTTGTACTTTTAAACACCTTAAGTTGAGGACAAGGACAATCAGTCTGGCTACCCAATAAAGTGTTATGTGATCTGTCATATTCCATCTATTGGATACCAGCTGATGTACTGTTTTATGGTGTTTAAATTAGGAGTACTATGACCTTTGAACTGAGTGTCGTGATCTGTTGTACAGGGTGGATAAAAAAACGAAACCGAGATAATATTGCTTATTGGAACAGAAGTATGGCACATGTGAATCAAATGGAGATATCCTCTCTTAGGGTGGAGTCTCCTCTTTAAAATGACACCATGGTCATGTCATTACATACACGGTTGACTGAGCAGAGCCCATTTTATAAAAGGGTCTATTTAGAGACTTGTGCCACTTTCCAATTGTGGTTTGTGTTGTGTCTTTTGTCTCAGTGTGAAAGGCTATGGTTGCCCATTAGGGCAGGTGTGGGGGAAAACAGAGATCTCAACGTGAAAAGTGGCGCAAGTCTCTCAATGGACCATTTCATAAAATTAGTCACTGCTCAGTCAACCGTGAATGTATAAGGACACGTCATGATAAAGACGAGATTCAACCCTAACAGAGGATATCTCCCTTTGATTCACATGTGCCCTACTTCTGTTCCAATTAGCAATAATATCTCGGTTTCGCTTTTTTGATTCACCCTCTATAATGACTGTAGTAGTACAATGTAGTATTTTAAACCCATGTTTTGCATTATTATTTCTTAATGTTACCGTCACGGACCACCCGTAAATTCCGCCAATGGACCATTAAACTCTAGGTCCATCGAGTTTTACCATCAGCACCAAATTGTCATCGGGGAAGGTACTGAATTTGGAAATTTTTAAGGGTATTTTGGAATGCCTTTTGGGTGTTATTCTAATGCGAATTTAGTATATTCATGGGCTAACGTGTGATAGGATCCACTAATCTCACACTGCACTGATCAGATAGTGTACTAAATCATGATTAGTGGTATTCGAATATCTCGATATGTATGTCAGTGTGAAGTTTTCCTGGGCCAATGTATCGGATACAGTTTTTTTATATTTTAAATACAATCATTGAAAAGGTACCTTTGTGTCCATTTTAACCTTTTTGCAATCATCGCTGTTTTGCAAATTTCAATGGCAATTGAAGTGCTCTTTTCGTTTTGACCAGGCAAATAATAATGTCCATATTCTTAAGGAACAATGTGTCATTTCAGGCAGAAACTCACTAATGTCACATCTATTTCAGCATTTAAAAGCGGCCAGCATTTTTGATAATTGACTGCCGTATAGTTTATGCTCTATCTTGTCTTTTGTGATTGTGCGTGCCAGTCATCCTGTGAGCAAACATTTTGCACAGAATGTTTTCAATAAGCAAGTTTGAGATTCAGAGTTTGAAAAGAAAATTAACCTCTAAACTGAAAGTATCTCCCCAAATCACAGCAACAGCCCCCTCAGTTGTCCGGAAATCATGGACAGTTTAATAAACTTAACAAATTAACCGGTGTGGCAGTAATTCTGTCCCCCGTTAAAAGTGTCCGGGGGGACAGAATTACCTAGGTAAAAGTGTCCTCCCCGGCCCGTTAATTCTGTCCCCCTTCAGGTAATTCTGTTCCCTCCAGGTTTTTTTGTCCCCCTAGTTTTGCAACGCAGAAGGCCATTCTCTATATTGTTTTGATGAATTCAGTCTACAAACAAGGTATACATTTTTTACTTTTTAGTCTGACCTTCATGAAGATGAAAACAATTAACTTTTTGGTCTCTTTCTTAGATGTGAAATGTGAACACAATATGTTTCGATCGATTCGGACCGAGTACGGTGAAAATACAGCAAGGGCCACCGTAGAATAGGGCCACTGTAGTGCATGACCGGTCATGCACTACAGTGGCCCTATTCTACGGTGATCGCCTCATTGATATAACGCCTACTTGGATTGGTCTGCGTTCCCATCGTAGCGCGTAACGAGATTTCCTATTGGATGAATTTCCTTAGTGTAGCGGGATAGCATTATGTACACATGCGATAAACACTGCCACAAATCTTGCAGCATGTACTTGCGGCGATGCGCGCTCACGAGCACGACTCGTATCATCGCATGGGTGATACTTGCACGGGGACACATTTACCAGGGGGACACTTTCAACGTTGGGCAGGGGGACATATTTACCAGGGAGGGGGACAGATCTATCTAGGTAAATGTGTCCCCCGGACAGATTTACCGGGTCGCGACCCGGTAAATCTGTCCGGGGGGACACATTTACCAGGGGGGACAGAATTACCTGCCACACCGGAGTGTCAGAGAGTCGTACAATTTATGACCTAAAGCATCTCAGTGGCGTAGCAGGCGGTCATTTTTATTGGGGGGGGGGGGGGGGGGATGTAAAAAATTGTGAAAAGGGCACTTGCTCATCCGTGGTGAAAGGCAGACAGGTTTTTTCTCTAGACATTTGGCTTCGTAAAATCAAAAAGCGCGGGGGGGGGCTTATTCCAACTGTCGATGGGGGCGCTGTTCAGAAACGACGATTATGCACAGAAACGCCAATAAATAGTGCTTTTAAGGGCGGTACATGTGCGCAATTCAGTAAAAAGAACCCAAAACAGTACGTCACAAAACAAGGGCACCACTTTTATGATATATATTGCAAAACATCGTGTATGGATGGGACAAAATTTAGCTGACAACGATATATGCGCACATTATCATTATCTGCAGAATGAAAATGTGTTCAATTATTGGTAATTTGGTCTCTTTTTAGTGATGATTATGTGGTTTAGCCATTCTAAGTATGTTATGTATGTTATTACACAGTAACCGACCGTTGTCTGCGCATATGCATGTTGCGTCTCAATTATTATTCCGTAACGGGTTTTGTGGCAAGCGCCCTCAATCGACAGCTACAAAGCACACACGGTCGTCGCTAGCGCTTCCGGATACTAGATTTGGTGAGCGAAATGCTTGTAATTTCACTTTTTTTTTTATATTTCAGAGGTTTGATCCTATCTTTAGGTACCCAACTATATCAAAATAACACGTGTGAAATACGGGGGCCAAACATTTCGGGATGGGAGTCATTGGACGTCGAAAAATTGACAACTTTTGTTTACAAATCACACACGGGACTTGTGACAAGCATTACGGACACACTTTCGCAAAAATGTGGTCCGGGTGCTTTCTATACAAAAACCTCGTTGGTTCGGGGTTTTGTACGTAAACCTTATCAGTCAGCCGATCACGCTCAATTGACTTCGGCCAAACCGCAGTCCCATCATAAGAAATAAGTTAACAATGTTATCCGGACCATTTTTTCCGAGAGTGTGTCTGTAATGAGGGCATGAAGGGTGACGTGACCGTTCCGATTTTCAGTTAACTTTGACGGATTTCTTTTGTTAAAAAACAAATTGGACAGAAAATTTGACAGAATGGATTTTTTTTTTGCAAATTTCTTGCAGAATTCTGCACAAATGGTTATTTCAGGCATGCAACTCTTCCTCGGATCAGCTGATTTCCTCGTTTTTCACTTCAGACTTTTGCCATTTAAAATTAAAAAACACAGTACAAAGTCTTGTAAAATTTGGTATTTCCTCGTTTTTTTGTTAATTCCAAGTTGCATGCCTGTTATTTGGCCTGGCAGTAAAACAGGCGAGTCGAAAAAAGTGGTGCCGGGCCCCTAATTTGGTTTAAAAAGCTTCAATCTTTTCAAACAAACCCTTGCATAATGGGACAGGTTGGCTGGCGTAGGTCGCCTGAGGTTCACTTGGAACTGGACTTTGTCATGACGCAACCGGTTGTTTTGCCTGAACTTTATGCAATTTCAAAACATCCATATGCAACTACATGTGTATAGGCCTAGATTGTTTACAAAGGCAACAACCACAACACCATCTGCATGTATTGTTATTTTAAGTGTTTATCATGTATTTCGAATCTTGGGATTTGGCAGATATTTGATCAATCTGACAGATTGTTCAAGTGCATTTAGCAGAATTTGGCCATGACCTTACGGTCACCCTGCCTGTAACAGCCCCATAAATGTGGCTGTCATACTGGACTACCTCATTTTAGACCATGAAGTTAAACAGCTACACATTGTATGCCCTGTGCATGGAATGTTGGTCGCATTGCTACTTATGCTAGGGGAGCCGAAAATTGAATTGATCAAGTTGACTGAAATAAGGTAACATATATTCCATCCTAATGGAATGCATCCCCCTCCCCCGAAAAAAAAGTACCACACAAACACACAAATCCACACATAACTAAAAAAAAATTTCACATACAGTAAGTAAATATTTTGGAAATATAAAAACAAAACTACAAAGTAAATACTCCTAATCTATAGCCTAAACCCCCATGATTTTTATTGTATAATGTATTCCCTTGTGCCCTCAACAACATTTCTCGTTACTGTTAAATGTAAGCTGTGTAAAATCCTTTGTCATTTGAAAAAAAAAGGGCTGATGTGGTTGGTAATCGGAATCCCAATTGATAGTCCTATTCCTAACATTTCTCCAAAAACAAACAAAAAATTGAGATTGATATACATGTATGGTGCAAGGCCTGAATTCTGTTCTCCACCTTGTATGAAGGACCAAACGAGGTCTGCCTGATTCTCCCGCTATCAATGTTCCCTAACTCTGATGTTCCCCGAAATCCTTAGGGTTAGGGTTAGGGTGAGGATTTGGGGGAACATTAGTATTGGGGAACATAGGTATGCACCCAGGACCATCAATCAAACACAATAAAGTTACACAGGGATCAGTGCTGCTAGATTTGAAATTGGAAGCATTTTTAAGAAATAAACATGCCCATAGGAACTGTACTCATATTTTTTGTATACCATGTACACGCACAATAAATCACGTTTTTCATTCATAAAAATTTTTATGTACGAGCCCAAAAAGGCTACAGTTGATTAAAGAAAACCAAAAAGTTCTGAATTTCTTCGTCTCTCTCTCGTCTTAATCAAATTGTGGCCCAAACACGTCACGTTGGGTATTATTCAACAAAGCATTAGAACCGGTTCATTTTGTTTGTAATTTTTTTCCTGAACTTAGGGTGTCAATCTGCTTTTTGACAACACCGACTACAAATTGACTTCCGTTGTGGCATCTCGTGAATCAGATCCAATCCCTGAGAAACCTGAGGAAAATCAACACATCCGGCCAATGTAATGATGCTTTCATAAGCTTGAAACATGCTGCCAAAAAACATTGGTTGGTTGTAATATTTGATGTTTCTATCAGCCCTCAAGAGGTTCCAAAACGAGGAGATGCAAGTAAAACTGTTACATTTGTTTTTCGCTTCACCAAACTCTTCTCATCAAGCTTGATGATAAATTGTCACCAGAGGGTCCACTTTAAGCGAGAAACTGTTTTCTTGTGAAGCTTGTGGTCAAACCCACTGATGGACGAAATCTCCATAGGCTCAACTGACTGCATGCATGTACTGGGTCTTGGGAGAAACTTTGTTGTTGCGATACCTGTTGTAAAGCCTTTCTTATCAACGGAGTCCAACCATGCACAAGAGGGTCCATTCTTCACATGAAGCTTGAAGCAAAATTGTCATCAGAGGAAGTGGAGACTGGTGGGAAAGTGTTTTCTTACGAGACTTGTGGTAAAAACCCACTGAGCGACAGAATCTACACTTATGCAAGAGACTGCATACGTGTACATGTAGGCCTACTTGTGTAAAACAATATTTTGCAAGAATTGTTGTAATAAGGCCTGTGTTATTAGAGAGGTCCAACCATTAAGAGGGTGGATCCACAGTGGTGATGAAAAACTATATGATTATGAGGCTTGTGGAAAAGCCTTTTCTCTAAAAGGACATCTAAGCAGACACGAAAGGAGGTACTTAGGTGAGAGGCCATATGTTTGTGAGACCTGTGGTAAATCCTGTCTCGCAAAGGTGATCTAAATAGACATAAGAATGTACATCAATAAGAAACCATTTGTTTGTAAGACCTGTGATCAAGCCTTTTCTGTCAAAGGTAGTCTACAGGTACATGAAAGGGTGCATACTGGAGAAAAACCATTTGTTTGTGAGACCTGTGGTAAAGCCTTTCGTAAGCAATGTCATCTAAAATACATGAAAGAATACACAGCGGCGAGAAACCATTTGTTTGTGAGACCTGTGGTAAAGCCTTTTCTGACAAAGGTTATCTACGTAGACATACAAAAATACACACCGGTGTTAAACCATATGTTTGTGAGACCTGCGGTAAAGCCTTTTCTGCCATATGTCATCTACAGGGACATGAAAGGGTGCACACTGGAGAAAAACCATTTGTTTGTGAGACCTGTGGTAAAGCCTTTTCTGTCAAAGGTAATCTAAATAGACATGAAAGGGTGCATACTGGAGAAAGACCATTTGTCTGTGAAATCTGTGGTAAAGCCTGGTCTGGCAAGGGTGATCTCAATAGACATGAAAGGGTGCACACTGGAGAAAAACCATTTGTTTGTGAGACCTGTGGTAAAGCCTTTCGTAGGAAATGTAATCTACATGGACATGAAAGCGTGCACACTGGAGAAAAACCATTTGTTTGTGAGACCTGTGGTAAAGCCTTTCGTAGGAAATGTTATCTACAGGGACATGAAAGGGTGCACACTGGAGAAAAACCATTTGTTTGTGAGACCTGTGGTAAAGCCTTTTTTGAGAAATTTAATCTAAAAATACATGAAAGAAGACACACAGGTGAAAAACCATTTGTTTGTGAGACCTGTGGCAAAGCCTTTTCTGTCAAAGGTGATCTACAGCGACATAAAAGGGTGCATTCTGGAGAAAAACCATTTGTTTGTGAAATCTGTGGTAAAGCCTTTTCTGTCAAAGGTGATCTAGAAATACATGAAAGAAAACACACCGGTGAAAAACCATTTGTTTGTGAGACCTGTGGTAAAGCCTTTTCTGACAAAGGTAAACTACGTAGACATACAAAAATACACACCAGTGTTAAACCATATGTTTGTGAGACCTGTGGTAAAGCCTTTTCTGTCAAAGGAAATCTACAGATACATAAAAGGGTGCATACTGGAGAACGACCATTTGTCTGTGAAATCTGTGGTAAAGCCTGTTCTGGCAAGGGTGATCTCAATAGACATGAAAGAATGCACACCGGTGAAAAACCATTTGTTTGCGAGACCTTTGGTAAAGCCTTTCGTAAGAAATATCATCTAAAAATACATGAAAGAATACACAGCTGTGAGAAACCATTTGTTTGTGAGACCTGTGGTAAAGCCTTTTCTGTTAAAAGTACTCTAAGTGGACATGAAAAAATACACATCGGTGTTAAACCATATGTTTGTGAGACTTGCAGTAAAGCCTTTTCTGCCAAATGTCATCTACAGGTACATGAAAGAGTGCACACTGGAGAAAAACCATTTGTTTGTGAGACCTGTGGTAAAGCCTTTTCTGTTAAAAGTACTCTAAGTGGACATGAAAAAATACACATCGGTGTTAAACCATTTGTTTGTGAGACCCGTGGTAAAGCCTTTTCTGTCAAAGGCAGTCTACATGTACATGAAAGGGTGCATACTGGAGAAAAACCATTTGTCTGTAAAATATGTGGTAAAGCCTGTTCAGGCAAGGGTGATCTCACTAGACATGAAAGGGTGCACACTGGAGAAAAACCATTTGTTTGTGAGACCTGTGGTAAAGCCTTTCGTAGGAAATGTCATCTACAGGGACATGAAAGCGTGCACACTGGAGAAAAACCATTTGTTTGTGAGACCTGTGGTAAAGCCTTTTCTGTCCAAGGCAGTCTACATGTACATGAAAGGGTGCATACTGGAGAAAAACCATTTGTTTGTGAAATCTGTGGGAAAGCCTTTTTCTTACCAGAATGAACTCACTAGACATGAAAGAATGCACACCGGTGAAAAACCATTTATTTGTGAGACCTGCGGCAAAGCCTTTTCGTTCAGTTATAGTCTAAGTAGACATGAACGAATTCACACCAATGAGAAACCATTTGTTTGTGAGACTTGCGGTAAAGCCTTTTCTGACACAGGTAGTCGAAACAGGCATGTAAAAATACACATCGGTAAACCATTGTTTGTGTGACCTGCATGTGGTAAAGCCTTTCTTCAGAAATGTACTCTAAAAATACATGAAAGAAGACACACCGGTGAAAAACCATTTGTTTGTGAGACCTGTGGTATAGCCTTTCTGTCAAAGGTAATCTACATGTACATGAAAGGCTACATACTGGAGAAAAACCATTTGTCTGTGAAATCTGTGGTAAAGCCTTTTCTAGCCAGAGTGAACTCACTAGACATGAAAGAATGCACACCGGTGAAAAACCATTTGTTTGTGAGACCTGTGGTAAAGCCTTCTCCAACCAAGGTCATCTAATTAGACATGAACGAATTCACACTAATGAGAAACCATTTGTTTGCGAGACCTGTGGTAAAGCCTTTTCTAACACAGGTAGTCGAAACAAGCATGTAAAACAATGCACATCGGTAAACCATTTGTTTGTGTGACCTGTGGTAAAGCCTTCTCCAACCAAGGTCATCTAATTAGACATGAACGAATTCACACTAATGAGAAACCATTTGTTTGCGAGACCTGTGGTAAAGCCTTTTCTAACACAGGTAGTCGAAACAGGCATGTAAAAATGCACATCGGTAAACCATTGTTTGTGTGACCTGCATGTGGTAAAGCCTTTCTTCAGAAATGTACTCTAAAAATACATGAAAGAAGACAAACCGGTGAAAGCCATTTGTTTGTGAGACCTGTGGTAAAGCCTTTTCTGGCAAGGGTGATCTCACTAGACGTGAAAGAATGCACACCGGTGAAAAACCATTTGTTTACGAGACCTGTGTCAAAGGTAGTCGACACAGATAGTCGAAAAAAACAACATTTGTCTGTTAAATTTGTGGTAAAACCTTTTCTGGTCAAAGTACTCGAGACAGGCATGAAATGATTCACAGTAGTGAGAAACCAATTGTTTGTGAGACCTGCGGTAAAGCCTTTTCTAACACAGGTAGTCGATACAGGCATGTAAAAATGCACATTGGTAAACCATTATGTTTCTATGACTGTCAAGCCTTTCTTGAGAAATGTCATCTAATAATACATGAAAGAAGACACACCGGTGAAAAACCATTTGTTTGTGAGACCTGTGGTAAAGTCTTTTCGACAAAGGTAATCTAAGTGGACATGAAAAAAATATACACATCGGTGATAAAACAATTTTTGTAAGACCTACGGTAAAGCCGTTTCTAACACAGTCGAAACAGGCATGCAAAAAAGCACATCGGTAAACCATTTGTTTGTGTGACATGTGGTAAAGCCTTTTCTGCCAAATGTCATCCACAGGGACGTGAAAGGGTGCGTACTGGAGAAAAACCATTTGTCTGTAAAATCTGTGGTAAAGCATTTTCTGGTCAAAGTACTCGAAACAGGCACGAAATGATTCACAGCGTTGAGAACCGTTTGTTTGCGAGACCTGTGGTTATGCCCATTCTGCCAAACGTAATCTAAAAAGACACGAAAGAATGCATATCGATGAGAAAAACACACCTTTGTAAGATCTAAACGGACGTAGACAGAAAGCTTAACATTGGTGAGAATGTTCATGTGCATGCATCTGTTCGTACTTGTATTGTGTGACATTATATTTCCAGTTGCAGTACTTGTATATTTGGGAAATGAAAATTTCCTAAACGTTTCCTATCCACAAGGATACATGAAGCCTTACACGATCGAAATTGGCTGGTATTAATTGGTATGACCTCTGCAAGGCCACTGTTTGGGTCTTTGGTCTAACCCTTTGTTTTAGAGGGACTTTCCCATGGCCTTGCCTGGCTACTTTAAGTAACACCATTATGTCACCTCCACTCACTGTGGAAACAAATCTATCAGATAATGAATAATGAAAGGTTTGCGGAAACACCATGTGCAAATAATTTCTCAATTAGGAGAATGGTTCTGAAAAGAACCAGAGGTATAAAATCTATTAGGTTTTGGAGGTTGTTGGGATCTGGAAGAGATCTTGCTGGTCAGCAGATTCACCGCAAAGTTTATATTCAAATTACACAATGACATCATGGGGAAGGTCGAGCGGTCAAATTGATATTTAGCCAATTGGCAAAAAGATGTAGTAGCCATATCGGGCGAGTTATTATTTTGTTATGTTAAGTTGTAAAATTGAAACTTAGTTCCTAGAGCTACTTTTGCTCTTTAGTTATGTTAGTGGAAATTCATTCTTTTATTTGGTTGTTCTTTATTTCGATCATTTGTCTTCATTTCTGTGAATGAAGTTGTCTACATCTCTTGAACTTTTAATGATTCAAACAGAAGAGATCTGCAAGATAGGTTTGACAGTCAACTTGAATTGAATCATGGGGAACCATAAACATCGTTGGTGATGTGAATTGAAGTTGCTATTACATGTACATGTATATCAGTATCTACAGGTAATTGATATTTTATAGAACCGTTCATTTAAGAATCATTGTATTCTTTTGTATAGCTTCCACCTACAAATATGGTGACTTAGCTGATGTAGCAGGTCTGCTGGATATATCTAGGTTAGATGTTGACTTAAAGTGTTCTAATTCTTGATTCACACTTAACTAGTTTCAGATATTGTAAATTATGTTTTTGGAGCAATGCTTGCTTTTTTCCAATTGACAAGTCAAGACAATGAATTACTGATTCTTTTTTCAAGTTATTTTGTAGTTATTGCATGCACTGTGTTGTTTTTATCTTATTGTACAAACAATAATGTGTTGTACTTTTAAACACCTTAAGTTGAGGACAAGGACAATCAGTCTGGCTACCCAAGAAAGTGTTATGTGATCTGTCATACTCCATCTATTGGATACTAGCTGATGTACTGTTTTATGGTGTTTTAGTTACGAGTACTATGACCTTTGAACTGAGTGTCGTGATCTGTTGTACAGGGTGGATAAAAAAACGAAACCGAGATAATATTGCTTATTGGAACAGAAGTATGGCACATGTGAATCAAATGGAGATATCCTCTCTTAGGGTGGAGTCTCCTCTTTAAAATGACACCATGGTCATGTCATTACATACACGGTTGACTGAGCAGAGCCCATTTTATAACAGGGTCTATTTAGAGACTTGTGCCACTTTCCAATTGTGGTTTGTGTTGTGTCTTTTGTCTCAGTGTGAAAGGCTATGGTTGCCCATTAGGGCAGGTGTGGGGGAAAACAGAGATCTCAACGTGAAAAGTGGCGCAAGTCTCTCAATGGACCCTTTCATAAAATTAGTCACTGCTCAGTCAACCGTGAATGTATAAGGACACGTCATGATAAAGACGAGATTCAACCCTAACAGAGGATATCTCCCTTTGATTCACATGTGCCCTACTTCTGTTCCAATTAGCAATAATATCTCGGTTTCGCTTTTTTGATTCACCCTCTATAATGACTGTAGTAGTACAATGTAGTATTTTAAACCCATGTTTTGCATTATTATTTCTTAATGTTACCGTCACGGACCACCCGTAAATTCCGCCAATGGACCATTAAACTCTAGGTCCATCGAGTTTTACCATCAGCACCAAATTGTCATCGGGGAAGGTACTGAATTTGGAAATTTTTAAGGGTATTTTGGAATGCCTTTTGGGTGTTATTCTAATGCGAATTTAGTATATTCATGGGCTAACGTGTGATAGGATCCACTAATCTCACACTGCACTGATCAGATAGTGTACTAAATCATGATTAGTGGTATTCGAATCTCGATATTTATGTCAGTGTGAAGTTTTCCTGGGCCAATGTATCGGATACAGTTTTTTTTATATTTTAAATACAATCATTGAAAAGGTACCTTTGTGTCCATTTTAACCTTTTTGCAATCATCGCTGTTTTGCAAATTTCAATGGCAATTGAAGTGCCCTTTTCGTTTTGACCAGGCAAATAATAATGTCCATATTCTTAAGCAACAATGTGTCATTTCAGGCAGAAACTCACTAATGTCACATCTATTTCAGCATTAAAAAGCGGCCAGCATTGTTGATAATTGACTGTCGTATAGTTTATGCTCTATCTTGTCTTTTGTGATTGTGCGTGCCAGTCATCCTGTGAGCAAACATTTTGCACAGAATGTTTTCAATAAGCAAGTTTGAGATTCAGAGTTTGAAAAGAAAATTAACCTCTAAACTGAAAGTATCTCCCCAAATCACAGCAACAGCCCCCTCAGTTGTCCGGAAATCATGGACAGTTTAATAAACTTAACAAATTAACCGGTGTGGCAGTAATTCTGTCCCCCGTTAAAAGTGTCCGGGGGACAGAATTACCTAGGTAAAAGTGTCCTCCCCGGCCCGTTAATTCTGTCCCCCTTCAGGTAATTCTGTCCCCTCCAGGTTTTTTTGTCCCCCTAGTTTTGCAACGCAGAAGGCCATTCTCTATATTGTTTTGATGAATTCAGTCTACAAACAAGGTATACATTTTTTACTTTTTAGTCTGACCTTCATGAAGATGAAAACAATTAACTTTTTGGTCTCTTTCTTAGATGTGAAATGTGAACACAATATGTTTCGATCGATTCGGACTGAGTACGGTGAAAATACAGCAAGGGCCACCGTAGAATAGGGCCACTGTAGTGCATGACCGGTCATGCACTACAGTGGCCCTATTCTACGGTGATCGCCTCATTGATATAACGCCTACTTGGATTGGTCTGCGTTCCCATCGTAGCGCGTAACGAGATTTCCTATTGGATGAATTTCCTTAGTGTAGCGGGATAGCATTATGTACACATGCGATAAACACTGCCACAAATCTTGCAGCATGTACTTGCGGCGATGCGCGCTCACGAGCACGACTCGTATCATCGCATGGGTGATACTTGCACGGGGACACATTTACCAGGGGGACACTTTCAACGTTGGGCAGGGGGACATATTTACCAGGGAGGGGGACAGATCTATCTAGGTAAATGTGTCCCCCGGACAGATTTACCGGGTCGCGACCCGGTAAATCTGTCCGGGGGGACACATTTACCAGGGGGGACAGAATTACCTGCCACACCGGAGTGTCAGAGAGTCGTACAATTTATGACCTAAAGCATCTCCGTGGCGTAGCAGGCGGTCATTTTTATTGGGGAGGGGGGGATGTAAAAAATTGTGAAAAGGGCACTTGCTCATCCGTGGTGAAAGGCAGACAGATTTTTTCTCTAGACATTTGGCTTCGTAAAATCAAAAAGCGCGGGGGGGGGGGGCTTATTCCAACTGTCGATGGGGGCGCTGTTCAGAAACGACGATTATGCACAGAAACGCCAATAAATAGTGCTTTTAAGGGCGGTACATGTGCGCAATTCAGTAAAAAGAACCCAAAACAGTACGTCACAAAACAAGGGCACCACTTTTATGATATATATTGCAAAACATCGTGTAGGGATGGGACAAAATTTAGCTGACAACGATATATGCGCACATTATCATTATCTGCAGAATGAAAATGTGTTCAATTATTGGTAATTTGGTCTCTTTTTAGTGATGATTATGTGGTTTAGCCATTCTAAGTATGTTATGTATGTTACTACACAGTAACCGACCGTTGTCTGCGCATATGCATGTTGCGTCTCAATTATTATTCCGTAACGGGTTTTGTGGCAAGCGCCCTCAATCGACAGCTACAAAGCACACACGGTCGTCGCTAGCGCTTCCGGATACTAGATTTGGTGAGCGAAATTCTTGTAATTTCACATTTTTTTGTATATTTCAGAGGTTTGATCCCACCTTTAGGTACCCAACTATATCAAAATAACACGTGTGAAATACGGGGGCCGAACATTTCGTGATGGGAGTCATTGGAGGTCGAAAAAATTGACAATTTTTGTTTACAAATTACACACGGGACTTGTGACAAGTGCATGAAGGGTGACGTGACCGTTCCGATTTTCAGTTAACTTTGATCTTTTGTTAAAAAAACGAATTGGACAGAAAATTTAACAGAATGGATTTTTTTTAAATTTGTTTTAAAATGCTTCAATCTTTTCGCGATCGATCATGCATATATATATCCCATGAGCATCCCATGGGATTCCCATGGGGTCCCATGGGATTCCCATGGGACCCCATGGGAAACCCATGGGGTCATCAAGAACACCATGTAAGTTAAATGATCACCATGGGAGATTTTATGCTCATCATGGGAAACCCATGGGAACACCATGGAGATTGCATGGACAACATGGGAACACCATGGGGATTTTACGAGCTCCATTGGAACACCATGGGAACACCATGAGGATTTTATGAGCTCCATGGGAACACCATGGGGATTTTACGGACACCATGGGAACACCATGGGGATTTTAAGGACATCATGGGAACACCATGTGGAATTAATGAACACCATGGGAACACCATGGGAATTTATGAACACCATGGGAACCCCATGGCGATTTTATGGACACCATGGGAACACCATTGGGATTGTATGTCACCATGGGAACACCATGGGGATTTACTGGACACCATGGGAACATCATGGGGATTTTAGACACATGGGTACACCATGAGGATTCGGACGCCATGGGAACACCATAATATGGGTGATATAAATTATGGACACAATGGGAACACCATGGAGATTTAAAAGGCAGCACGGGGACACTGCCGGGTTATACTGGAGAACATGCATGTGCCATGGAAAACCATCATAGACCCAATTGCACTCCCAAGCTATAGGAAAACCTGTCTTTGATTTAATTACTTATTCGCCTAGCTGTAAATTTGAATTCAATAAATATTTCCCTTGTGGTCATAGATGTTATCAAGAATTCTAATTGGATGTTCACCAACTGAACTCAATGGGATAAACACCATGGGACACCATGGGAACACCATGGGAACACCATGGGACACCATGGGACCACCATGGGACCACCATGGGACATTTTTGTGAGAATCGCTTACAATAACGAGTGTTGTAATTGCACCATTTTTAATTTTTCTGTTGATAAGTGAAGTTAAATGATGCATACAGTATTTTTCTATGTGGAAAATGTGTCATTCAAACTTTGGATACTATTGATTCACACGTTATTACGGTTGGAAACATTGATGAGAAAATAAATTGGGAACACTGTGATAATATGGTACAACTTGACAAGTGGTATGGGAGCAATAATGTGGAGATTGGTCACAGAGTGCATAAGCCATTCCTGTTACGTGGAACAATCCCTATCGGGATTGTTCCGTAATGTGCTTTACCTATTCGGTGAATAGGACTTAACACACAGAGTTAAAATGTATTAAGGAGGTTGTTATTGAAAAATACCATGGAGCAATACATTTTTTGAGAAATGAAAGGTAACCATACATGGGAAAAAACCCATACAAAATTTCCCATGGGAAAAAGCCCATGGGAAAACTCCCATGGGAAAAATCCCATGCTACATGGTGCCCAATTCACCATGCAATTCCCATGGGGTCCCTTGGGAAAATTTCCCATGGGAATTACATGGGAGATTTCTGTAAGGAAACCCTTGCATAATGGGACAGGTTGGCTGGCGTAGGTCGCCTGAGGTTCACTTGGAACTGGACTTTGTCATGACGCAACCTGTTGTTTTGCCTGAACTTTATGCAATTTCAAAACATCCATATGCAACTACATGTGTATAGGCCTAGATTGTTTATAAAGGCATCCACAACACCATCTGCATGCATTGTTATTTTAAGTGTTTATCATGTATTTCAAGTAATTATGGGGGATTTGGCAGATATTTGATCAATCTGACAGATTGTTGAAGTGCATTTAGCAGAATTTGGCCATGACCTTACGGTCACCCTGCCTGTAACAGCCCCATAAATGTGGCTGTCATACTGGACTACCTCATTTTAGACCATGGAGTTAGACAGCTACACATTGTATGCCCTGTGCATGGAATGTTGGTCACATTGCTACTTATGCTAGGGGAGCCGAAAATCAATTTGAAATTGCAACTTCATGTATTTTGTCACTTAAACCTCACACAATCTGACAGTGCCACCCCTAATGTTGCGCAGGCCACCCCTAATATTGCGCAGTCCACCCCTAATGTTGTGCAGTCCACCCATAACGTGGTGTGGACCTGCCCTTATATGTGGCACGGGCCAACCCTAACGTGGCGTGTGCCACCCCTAATGTGGCGCGACCCCTAACTTGGCATGCACCTTTTAAATTTTTTTTTGCATCAAGTGCTTTGCTAGCAGCATCCCCCCCCCCCAAAAAAAAAATACACAAAAAAACAACCACACACAAACAAATCCACACATAACTAAAAAAAAAATTCCACATACAGTAAGTAAATATTTTGGAAATATAAAAACAAAACTACAAAGTAAATACTCCTAATCTATAGCCTAAACCCCATGATTTTTATTGTATAATGTATTCCCTTGTGTCCTCAACAACATTTTTCGTTACTGTTAAATGTAAGCTGTGTAAAATCCTTTGTCATTTGAGAAAAAAAAAGGCTGATGTGGTTGGGAATCGGAATCCCAATTGATAGTCCTATTCCTAACATTTCTCCAAAAACAAACAAAAAATTGAGATTGATATACATGTATGGTGCAAGGCCTGAATTCTGTTCTCCACCTTGTATGAAGGACCAACGAGGTCTGCTTGATACCTCCGCTATAAATGTTCCCTAACTCTGATGTTCCCCGAAATCCTTAGGGTTAGGGTTAGGGTGAGGATTTGGGGGAACATTAGTATTGAGGAACATAGGTATGCACCCAGGACCATCAATCAAACACAATAAAGTTACACGAGGATCAGTGCTGCTAGATTTGAAATTGGAAGCATTTTTAAGAAATAAACATGCCCATAGGAACTGTACTCATATTTTTTGTATACCATGTACACGCACCATAAACCATGTTTGTCATTCATAAAAAAATCTATGTACGAGCCCAAAAAGGCTACAGTTGATTAAAGAAAACCAAAAGTTCTGAATTTCTCTCGTCTTAATCAAATTGTGGCCCAAACACGTCACGGTGGGTATTATTCAACAAAGCATTAGAACCGGTTCATTTTGGTTTTAATTTTTTTCCTGAACTTAGGGTGTCAATCTGCTTTTTGACGACACCGACTACAAATTGACTTCCGTTGTGGCATCTCGTGAATCAGATCCAATCCCTGAGAAACCTGAGGAAAATCAACACATCCGGCCAATGTGATGATGCTTCATAAGCTTGAAACATGCTGCCAAAAAACATTGGTTGGTTGTAATATTTGATGTTTCTATCAGCCCTCAAGAGGTTCCAAAACGAGGAGATGCAAGTAAAACTGTTACATTTGTTTTTCGCTACACCAAACTCTTCTCATCAAGCTTGATGATTAATTGTCACCAGAGGGTCCACTTTAAGTGAGAAACTGTTTTCTTGTGAAGCTTGTGGTCAACCCACTGACGGACGAAATCTCCATAGGCTCAACAGACTGCATGCATGTACTGGGGTCTTGGGAGAAACTTTGTTGTTGCGATACCTGTTGTAAAGCCTTTCTTATCAACGGAGTCCAACCATGCACAAGAGGGTCCATTCTTCACACGAAGCTTGAAGCAAAATTGTCATCAGAGGAAGTGGAGACTGGTGGGAAACCGTTTTCTTGTGAGACTTGTGGTAAAAACCCACTGAGCGACAGAATCAACTGCATACGTGTACATGTAGGCCTACTTGTGTAAAACAATATTTTGCAAGAATTGTTGTAATAAGGCCTGTGTTATTAGAGGGGTCCAACTATTAAGAGGGTGGATCCACAGTGGTGATGAAAAATTATATGATTATGAGGCTTGTGGAAAGCCTTTTCTCATAAAGGACACCTAAGCAGACACGAAAGGAGGTACATAGGTGAGAGGCCATATGTTTGTGAGACCTGTGGTAAATCCTGTCTCGCAAAGGTGATCTAAATAGACATAAGAATGTACATCAATAAGAAACCATTTGCTTGTAAGACCTGTGATCAAGCCTTTTCTGTCAAAGGTAGTCTACAGGTACATGAAAGGGTGCATACTGGAGAAAAACCATTTGTTTGTGAGACCTGTGGTAAAGCCTTTCGTAAGCAATGTCATCTAAAAATACATGAAAGAATACACAGCGGTGAGAAACCATTTGTTTGTGAGACCTGTGGTAAAGCCTTTTCTGACAAAGGTTATCTACGTAGACATACAAAAATGCACACCGGTGTTAAACCATATGTTTGTGAGACCTGCGGTAAAGCCTTTTCTGCCAAATGTCATCTACAGGGACATGAAAGGGTGCACACTGGAGAAAAACCATTTGTTTGTGAGACCTGTGGTAAAGCCTTTTCTGTCAAAGGTAATCTACAGATACATGAAAGGGTGCACACTGGAGAAAAACCATTTGTTTGTGAGACCTGTGGTAAAGCCTTTCTTGAGAAATTTAATCTAAAAATACATGAAAGAATACACACCGGTGTTAAACCATATGTTTGTGAGACCTGCGGTAAAGCCTTTTCTGCCAAATGTCATCTACAGGGACATGAAAGGGTGCACACTGGAGAAAAACCATTTGTTTGTGAGACCTGTGGTAAAGCCTTTCCTGTCAAAGGCAGTCTACATGTACATGAAAGGGTGCATACTGGAGAAAAACCATTTGTTTGTGAAATCTGTGGTAAAGCCTTTTCTAACCGGAATGAACTCACTAGACATGAAAGAATGCACACCGGTGAAAAACCATTTATTTGTGAGACCTGCGGTAAAGCCTTTTCGTTCAGTTGTAGTCTAAGTAGACATGAACGAATTCACACTAATGAGAAACCATTTGTTTGTGAGACTTGCGGTAAAGCCTTTTCTAACACAGGTAGTCGAAACAGGCATGTAAAAATGCACATCTGTAAACCATTGTTTGTGTGACCTGCATGTGGTAAAGCCTTTCTTCAGAAATGTACTCTAAAAATACATGAAAGAAGACACACCGGTGAAAAACCATTTGTTTGTGAGACCTGTGGTAAAGCCTTTTCTGGCAAGGGTGATCTCACTAGACATGAAAGAATGCACACCGGTGAAAAACCATTTGTTTACGAGACCTGTGGTAAAGCCTTTTCCGACAAAGGTTGTCTATAAGTAGACATTAAAAAAAAAAATCGGTGTTAAACCATATGTTTGTGAGACCTGCGGCAAAGCCTTTTCTGCCAAGTGTTATCTACAGGAACATGAAAGGGTGCACACTGGAGAAAAACCATTTGTTTGTGAGACCTGTGGTGTAGCCTTTCTGTCAAAGGTAATCTACATGTACATGAAAGGCTACATACTGGAGAAAAACCATTTGTCTGTGAAATCTGTGGTAAAGCCTTTTCTAGCCAGAGTGAACTCACTATACATGAAAGAATGCACACCGGTGAAAAACCATTTGTTTGTGTGACCTGTGGTCAAGCCTTCTCCAACCAAGGTCATCTAATTAGACATGAACGAATTCACACTAATGAGAAACCATTTGTTTGCGAGACCTGTGGTAAAGCCTTTTCTAACACAGGTAGTCGAAACAGGCATGTAAAAATGCACATCGGTAAACCATTGTTTGTGTGACCTGCATGTGGTAAAGCCTTTCTTCAGAAATGTACTCTAAAAATACATGAAAGAAGACAAACCGGTGAAAAACCATTTGTTTGTGAGACCTGTGGTAAAGCCTTTTCTGGCAAGGGTGATCTCACTAGACATGAAAGAATGCACGCCGGTGAAAAACCATTTGTTTACGAGACCTGTGTCAAAGGTAGTCGACACAGATGTGAAATTTGTGGTAAAGCCTTTTCTGGTCAAAGTACTCGAGACAGGCATGAAATGATTCACAGTAGTGAGAAACCATTTGTTTGCGAGACCTTCTGTAAAGCCTTTTCTAACACAGGTAGTCGAAACAGGCATGTAAAAATGCACATTGGTAAACCATTATGTTTCTATGACTGTAAAGCCTTTCTTGAGAAATGTCATCTAAAAATACATGAAGGAAGACACACCGGTGAAAACCATTTGTTTGTGAGACCTGTGGTAAAGCCTTTTCTGACAAAGGTAATCTAAGTGGACATGAAAAAATATACACATCGGTGATAAAACAATTTTTGTAAGACCTACGGAAAAGCCGTTTCTAACACAGTCGAAACAGGCATGCAAAAAAGCACATCGATAAACCATTTGTTTGTGTGACATGTGGTAAAGCCTTTTCTGCAAAATGTCATCCACAGGGACGTGAAAGGGTGCATACTGGAGAAAAACCATGTCTGTAAAATCTGTGGTAAAGCATTTTCTGGTCAAAGTACTCGAAACAGGAACGAAATGATTCACAGCGTTGAGAACCGTTTGTTTGCGAGACCTGTGGTTATGCCCATTCTGCCAAACGTAATCTAAAAAGACACGAAAGAATGCATATCGATGAGAAAAACACACCTTTGTAAGATCTAAACGGACGTAGACAGAAAGCTTAACATTGGTGAGAATGGTCATGTGCATGCATCTGTTCGTACTTGTATTGTGTGACATTATATTTCCAGTTGCAGTACTTTATTGTATATTTGGGAAATGGAAATTTCCTAAAAGTTTCCTATCCACAAGGGTACACGATCGAAATTGGCTGGTATTAATTGGTATGACTTCTGCAAGGCCACTGTTTGGGTCTTTGATCTAACCAAACCCTTTGTTTTAGAGGGACTTTCCCATGGCCTTGCCTGGCCACTTTAAGTAACACTATTATGTCACCTCCACTCACTGTGGAAACAAATCTATCAGATAATGAATAATGAAAGGTTTGCGGAAACACCATGTGCAAATAATTTCTCAATGAGGAGAATGGTTCTGAAAAGAACCAGACGTATAAAATATATTAGGTTTTGGAGGTTGTTGGGATCTGGAAGAGATCTGCTGGTCAGCAGATTCACCGCAAAGTTTATATTCAAATTACACAATGACATCATGGGGAAGGTCGAGCGGTCATATTGATATTTAGCCAATTGGCAAAAAGATGTAGTAGCCATATCGGGCGAGTTATCATTTTGTTATGTTAAGTTGTAAAATTGAAACTTCGTTCCTAGAGCTACTTTTGCTCTGTAGTTATGTTAGTGGAAATTCATTCTTTTATTTGGTTGTTCTTTATTTCGATCATTTGACTTCATTTCTGTGAATGAAGTTGTCTACATCTCTTAAAGTTTTAATGATTCAAACAGAAGAGATCTCGCAAGATAGGTTTGGTAGTCAACTTGAATTGAATCATGGGGGAACCATAAACATCGTTGGTGATGTGAAGTGAAGTTGCTATTACATGTACATGTATATCAGTATCTACAGGTAATGGATATTTTATAGAACCGTTCATTTAAGAATCATTGTATTCTTTTGTATAGCTTCCACCTACAAATATGGTGACTTAGCTGATGTAGCAGGTCTGCTGGATATATCTAGGTTAGATGTTGACTTAAAGTGTTCTAATTCTTGATTCACACTTAACTAGTTTCAGATATTGTAAATTATGTTTTTGGAGACAATGCTTGCTTTTTTCCAATTGACAAGTCCAGACAATGAATTACTGATTCTGTTTTCAACTTATTTTGTAGTTATTGCATGCACTGTGTTGTTTTTATCTTATTGTACAATTAATAATGTGTTGTTGTACTTTTAAACACCTTAACTTGAGGACAAGGACAATCAGTCTGGCTACCCAATAAAGTGTTATGTGATCTGTCATATTCCATCTATTGGATACCAGCTGATGTACTGTTTTATGGTGTTTTAGTTACGAGTACTATGACCTTTGAACTGAGTGTCGTGATCTGTTGTACAGGGTGGATAAAAAAACGAAACCGAGATAATATTGCTTATTGGAACAGAAGTATGGCACATGTGAATCACAGGGAGATATCCTCTCGTAGGGTGGAGTCTCCTCTTTAAAATGACACCCCGGTCTTGTCATTACATTCACGGTTGACTGAGCAGAGCCCATTTTATAAAAGGGTCTATTTAGAGACTTGTGCCACTTTTCAATTGTGGTTTGTGTTGTGTGTTTTGTCTCAGTGTGAAAGGCTATGGTTGCCCATTAGGGCAGGTGTGGGGGAAAACAGAGATCTCAACGTGAAAAGTGGCGCAAGTCTCTCAATGGACCCTTTCATAAAATAGTCACTGCTCAGTCAACCGTGAATGTATAAGGACACGTCATGTTAAAGACGAGATTCAACCCTAACAGATGATATCTCCCCTTGATTTACATTTGCCCTACTTCTGTTCCAATTAGCAATAATATCTCGGTTTCGCTTTTTTGATCCACCCTCTATAATGACTGTAGTAGTACAATGTAGTATTTTAAACCCATGTTTTGCATTATTATTTCTTATTGTTACCGTCACGGACCACCCGTAAATTCCGCCAATGGACCGTTAAACTCTAGGTCCATCGAGTTTTACCATCAGCACCAAATTGTTTTCAGGGAAGGTACTGAATTTGGAAATTTTTAAGGGTATTTTGGAATGCCTTTTGGGTTTTATTCTAATGCGAATTTAGAATATTCATGGGCTAACGTGTGATAGGATCCACTAATCTCACACTGCACTGATCAGACAGTGTACTGAATCATGATTAGTAGTATTCGAATATCGATATCTATGTCAGTGTGAAGTTTTCCTGGGCCAATGTTGTATCGGATACAGTTTTTTATATTTTAAATACAATCATTGAAAAGGTACCTTTGTGTCCATTTTAACCTTTTGGCAATCATCGCTGTTTTGCAAATTTCAATGGCAATTGAGGTGCTCTTTTCGTTTTGACCATGCAAATAATAATGTCCATATTCGTAAGCAACTATGTGTCATTTCAGGCAGAAACTCACTAATGTCACAGCTTTTTCAGCATTAAAAAGCGGCCAGCATTTTTGATAATTGACTGTCGTATAGTTTATGCTCTATCTTGTCTTTTGTGATTGTGCGTGCCAGTCATCCTGTGAGCAAACATTTTGCACAGAATGTTTTCAATAAGCAAGTTTGAGATTCAGAGTTTGAAAAGAAAATTAACCTCTAAACTGAAAGTATCTCCCCAAATCACAGCAACAGCCCCCTCAGTTGTCCGGAAATCATGGACAGTTTAATAAAATTAACAAATTAACCGGTGTGGACGGTAATTCTGTCCCCCGTTAAAAGTGTCCGGGGGACAGAATTACCTAGGTAAAAGTGTCCTCTCCGGCCCGTTAATTCTGTCCCCCTTCAGGTAATTCTGTCCCCTCCAGGTTTTTTTGTCCCCCTAGTTTTGCAACGCAGAAGGCCATTTCTCTATATTGTTTTGATGAATTCAGTCTACAAACAAGGTATACATTTTTTACTTTTTAGTCTGACCTTCATGAAGATGAAAACAATTAACTTTTTGGTCTCTTTCTTAGATGTGAAATGTGAACACAATATGTTTCGATCGATTCGGTACTGAGTACGGTGAAAATACAGCAAGGGCCACCGTAGAATAGGGCCACTTTAGTGCATGACCAGTCATGCACTACAGTGGCCCAACCTCGTCCCCAGGGTGTCGAGCAGTACGCGCCCACCACCTCCTGCTCTCTCACCCTGGTATTGGATCATTTGCATGTGTAAGATTTTTGCACACGTATGCAAATGAGGAACAGTCTGGTGCCTGGATATGCGTTACACATTTGCGTTTGTTTTTGTATGGGGTGTCTGGGGTAAAAACAGAGTCAATTCGTAGCAGCGCGAGCACGGCGTGAGTTACGAAAACACGATTTTTGAAATCAAACTGTTACGATCTTATCGAGACAACATGCAGTATCATATTTCATATTAATATGAGCAAATTGGAAAGGAAATTAGTGTTTTCGAGAAGGCGTGGACGAATGATCGCGAAAACACGTACTGCACGTTGTGAATATATAGCACCAAGTACACGAAAAAAATCCATTACTAGCCAATTGCGGTATCCAATCAGGATACAGGAAGAAAGTTTCCTATCCAGGGTTTACTATTGGAAACGCGGTTGGAAATAAAGTAAGCACTGGGGACGAGGTTGACAGTGGCCCTATTCTACGGTGATCGCCTCATTGATATTACGCCTACTTGGATTGGTCTGCGTTCCCATCGTAGCGCGTAACGAGATTTCCTATTGGATGAATTTCCTTAGTGTAGCGGGATAGCATTATGTACACATGCGATAAACACTGCCACAAATCTTGCAGCATGTACTTGCGGCGATGCGCGCTCACGAGCACGACTCGTATCATCGCATGGGTGATACTTGCACGGGGACACATTTACCAGGGGGACACTTTCAACGTTGGGCAGGGGGACATATTTACCAGGGAGGGGGACAGATCTATCTAGGTAAATGTGTCCCCCCGGACAGATTTACCGGGTCGCGACCCGGTAAATCTGTCCGGGGGGGGGGGACACATTTACCAGGGGGGACAGAATTACCTGCCACACCGGATGTCAGAGAGTCGTACAATTTATGACCTAAAGCATCTCAGTGGCGTAGCAGGCGGTCATTTTTATTGGGGAGGGGGGGGGGATGTAAAAAATTGTGAAAAGGGCACTTGCACATCCGTGGTGAAAGGTAGACAGGTTTTTTTCTCTGGACATTTGGCTTCGTAAAATCAAAAAGCGCGGGGGGGGGAGGCTTATTTCAACTGTCGATGGGGCGCTGTTCAGAAACGACGATTATGCACACAAACGCCAATAATAGTGCTTTTCAGGGCAGTACATTTGCGAAATTCAGTAAAAAGAACCCAAAACAGAACGTCACAAAACAAGGGCACCACTTTTATGATATATATTGCAAAACATCGTGTATGGAGCTGGGACAAAATTTAGCCGACAACGATATATGCGCACATTATCATTGTCTGTAGAATGAAAACGTGTTCAATTATTGGTAATTTTGTCTCTTTTTAGTGATGATTATATGGTTTAGCCATTCTATGTATGTTACTACACAGTAACCGACCGTTGTCTGCGCGTATGCATGTTGCGTCTCAATTATTATTCCGTAACGGGTTTGGTGGCAAGCGCCCTCAATCGACAGCTACAAAGCACACACGGTCGTCGCTAACTTCCGGATACTAGATTTGGTGAGCGAAATGCTTGTAATTTCACATTTTTTTATATTTCAGAGGTTTGATCCCAGCTTTAGGTACCCAACTATATCAAAATAATACGTGTGAAATACGGGGGCCGAACATTTCGTGATGGGAGTCATTGGAGGTCGAAAAAATTGACAATTTTTGTTTACAAATCACACACGGGACTTGTGACAATTAAGGGCATGAAGAGTGACGTGACCGTTCCGATTTTCAGTTAACTTTGATCTTTTGTTAAAAAACGAATTGGACAGAAAATTTGACAGAATGGATTTTTTTTTTGCAGATTTCTTGCAGAATTCTGCAAAAATAGTTATTTCAGGCATGCAACTCTTCCTCCGATGAGCTGATTTCCTCGTTTTTCACTTAAGACTTTTGCCATTTAAAATAAAAAAAACACTGTACAAAGTCTTGTAAAATTTGGTATTTCCTCGTTTTTTTGTTAATTCCAAGTTGCATGCCTGTTATTTGGCCTGGCAGAAAAACGGGCGAGTCGAAAAAAGTGGTGCCGGGCCCCTAATTTGTTTTAAAATGCTTCAATCTTTTCAAACAAACCCTTGCATAATGGGACAGGTTGGCTGGCCTAGGTCGCCTGAGGTTCACTTGGAACTGGACTTTGTCATGACGCAACCCGTTGTTTTGCCTGAACTTTATGCAATTTCAAAACATCCATATGCAACTACATGTGTATAGGCCTAGATTGTTTACAAAGGCAACAACCACAACACCATCTGCATGTATTGTTATTTTAAGTGTTTATCATGTATTTCAAGTAATTATCATGGATTTGGCAGATATTTGATAGATCTGACAGATTGTTGAAGTGCATTTAGCAGAATTTGGCCATGACCTTACGGCCACCCTGCCTGTAACAGCCCCATAAATGTGGCTGTCATACTGGACTACCTCATTTTAGACCATGGAGTTAGACAGCTACACATTGTATGCCCTGTGCATGGAATGTTGGTCGCATTGCTACTTATGCTAGGGGAGCCGAAAATCAATTTGAAATTGCAACTTCATGTATTTTGTCACTTTATACTCACACAATCTGACCATGCCGTCTACGAAGTGCTGCTTAATACATAGCAACAAAACGATGAATTCATTACCTACAGAGGTCTAGTTATCTTGTAATTTTGGGTTGAATTGGGACGATTTTTGGCTGCCATTGTTCACGAAAGCAACGTGCTGCAAATCCCGCCCTCACTTGCGTGCATCAAATGTTGACAATGTTCATTCGTACGGCTGTTGCCTGTCACTCAGTATTGGTCAAAAGTGCATTAATGCGGGCGCATTTTTGACCAATACTGTCATGGCTGTGTTGTGATTATTGTCGTGTGCTTGTGCCGATCAGCCAATCAAAAAATGCCTTGATTATTTATGCTGAGTAGGACACCAACGGCTGTTGGATGTCCTCAGTATTTATAAGTGAGTGAGGCATCATTTCTGCTGCAAATAACAAAGTTAATATAGCTCTCGAGCTTTCCGGTCGACATCCCGATAACGTTGTACATGTGGTACATGTGTATGATTCATATAAATTGTGATACGATCAATTCTGTCATATACATACATTAAATAATTGAGTAAAACTACATTTTGTAGCAGGTGGATTCAATTGGATGCATCAATGCATTCTCCAGGTGGTAAACTGCGGACAACCGAGTCCTGTCCTGCTCCTGTGTGGAATCGGCTGATTCTGAATTGATCAAAATGACTGAAATAAGGTAACATATAATCCTTCCTAATGGTGAATCCTCAATAAAGACATTATTATATTGTTGTTGGCACCACGGAGCAGGCCACACCTAAAGAGATGCAGACCACCCCTAATGTTGCGCAGGCCACCCCTAATGCTGCGCAGGCGCAGGCTACCCCTAATATTGCGCGGTCTACCCCTAATGTTGCGCAGGCCACCCCTAATGTTGCGCAGGCCACCCCTTAATATTGTGCGGTCCACCCCTAATGTTGTGCAGTCCACCCATAACGTGGTGTGGACCTGCCCTAATGTGGCACGGGCCAACCCTAACGTGGCGTGTGCCACCCCTAATGTGGCGCGACCCCTAACTTGGCATGCACCTTTTAATTTTTTTTTGCCTCAAGTGCTTTGCTAGCAGCATCCCCCCCCCAAAAAAAAAACCCAACCACACAGACACACACAAATCCACACATAACTAAAAAAAATGTCCACATACAGTAAGTAAATATTTTGGAAATATAAAAACAAAACTACAAAGTAAATACTCCTAATCTATAGCCTAAACCCCCATGATTTTTATTGTATAATGTATTCCCTTGTGTCCTCAACAACATTTTTCGTTACTGTTAAATGTAAGCTGTGTAGAATCCTTTGTCATTTGAAAAAAAAGGGCTGATGTGGTTGGTAATCGGAATCCCAATTGATAGTCCTATTCCTAACATTTCTCCAAAAACAAACAAAAAATTGAGATTGATATACATGTATGGTGCAAGGCCTGAATTCTGTTCTCCACCTTGTATGAAGGACCAACGAGGTCTGCCTGATACTCCCGCTATCAATGTTCCCTAACTCTGATGTTCCCCGAAATCCTTAGGGTTAGGGTTAGGGTGAGGATTTGGGGGAACATTAGTATTGAGGAACATAGGTATGCACCCAGGACCATCAATCAAACACAATAAAGTTACACAGGGATCAGTGCTGCTAGATTTGAAATTGGAAGCATTTTTAAGAAATAAACATGCCCATAGGAACTGTACTCATATTTTTTGTATACCATGTACACGCACCATAAATCACGTTTTTCATTCATAAAAAAAATCTATGTACGAGCCCAAAAAGGCTACAGTTGATTAAAGAAAACCAAAAAGTTCTGAATTTCTTCGTCTCTCTCTCGTCTTAATCAAATTGTGGCCCAAACACGTCACGTTGGGTATTATTCAACAAAGCATTAGAACCGGTTCATTTTGTTTGTAATTTTTTTCCTGAACTTAGGGTGTCAATCTGCTTTTTGACAACACCGACTACAAATTGACTTCCGTTGTGGCATCTCGTGAATCAGATCCAATCCCTGAGAAACCTGAGGAAAATCAACACATCCGGCCAATGTAATGATGCTTTCATAAGCTTGAAACATGCTGCCAAAAAACATTGGTTGGTTGTAATATTTGATGTTTCTATCAGCCCTCAAGAGGTTCCAAAACGAGGAGATGCAAGTAAAACTGTTACATTTGTTTTTCGCTACACCAAACTCTTCTCATCAAGCTTGATGATAAATTGTCACCAGAGGGTCCACTTTAAGTGAGACACTGTTTTCTTGTGAAGCTTGTGGTCAACCCACTGACGGACGAAATCTCCATAGGCTCAACAGACTGCATGCATGTACTTGGGTCTTGGGAGAAACTTTGTTGTTGCGATACCCGTTGTAAAGCCTTTCTTATCAACGGAGTCCAACCATGCACAAGAGGGTCCATTCTTCACATGAAGCTTGAAGCAAAATTGTCATCAGAGGAAGTGGAGATTGGTGGGAAAGTGTTTTCTTGCGAGACTTGTGGTAAAAAAAACCTGAGCGACAGAATCTACACTTCTGCAAGAGACAGCATACGTGTACATGTAGGCCTACTTGTGTAAAACAATATTTTGCAAGAATTGTTGTAATAAGGCCTGTGTTATTAGAGAGGTCCAACCATTAAGAGGGTGGATCCACAGTGGTGATGAAAAACTATATGATTATGAGGCTTGTGGAAAAGCCTTTTCTCTAAAAGGACATCTAAGCAGACACGAAAGGAGGTACTTAGGTGAGAGGCCATATGTTTGTGAGACCTGTGGTAAATCCTGTCTCGCAAAGGTGATCTAAATAGACATAAGAATGTACATCAATAAGAAACCATTTGTTTGTAAGACCTGTGGTAAAGCCTTTTCTGTCAAAGGTAGTCTACAGGTACATGAAAGGGTGCATACTGGAGAAAAACTATTTGTTTGTGAGACCTGTGGTAAAGCCTTCCGTAAGCAATGTCATCTAAAAATACATGAAAGAATACACAGCGGTGAGAAACCATTTGTTTGTGAGACCTGTGGTAAAGCCTTTTCTGTCAAAGGTAGTCTTAGTAGACATGAAAAAATACACATCGGTGTTAAAGCCTTTTCTGCCAAATGTCATCTACAGGGACATGAAAATGTGCACACTGGAGAAAAACCATTTGTTTGTGAGACCTGTGGTAAAGCCTTTCGTAGGAAATGTCATCTACAGGGACATGAAAGGGTGCACACTGGAGAAAAACCATTTGTTTGTGAGACCTGTGGTAAAGCCTTTCTTGAGAAATTTAATCTAAAAATACATGAAAGAAGACACATCAGTGAAAAACCATTTGTTTGTGAGACCTGTGGTAAAGCCTTTTCTGTCAAAGGTTATCTACAGCGACATAAAAGGGTGCATTCTGGAGAAAAAACATTTGTTTGTGAAATCTGTAGTAAAGCCTTTTTTGTCAAAGGTGATCTAGAAAAACATGAAAGAATACACACCGGTGAAAAACCATTTGTTTGTAAGACCTGTGGTAAAGCCTTCTCTGACATAGGTAATCTACGTAGACATACAAAGTTACACACCGGTGTTAAACCATATGTTTGTGAGACCTGCGGTAAAGCCTTTGCTGCCAAATGTCATCTACAGGGACATGAAAGGGTGCACACTGGGGAAAAACCATTTGTTTGTGAGACCTGTGGTAAAGCCTTTTCTGTCAAAGGAAATCTACAGATACATAAAAGGGTGCATACTGGAGAAAGACCATTTGTCTGTGAAATCTGTGGTAAAGCCTGTTCTGGCAAGGGTGATCTCACTAGACATGAAAGAGTGCACACCGGTGAAAAACCATTTGTTTGCGAGACCTGTGGTAAAGCCTTTCGTAAGAAATATCATCTAAAAATGCATGAAAGAATACACAGCGGTGAGAAACCATTTGTTTGTGAGACCTGTGGTAAAGCCTTTTCTGTTAAAAGTAGTCTAAGTGGACATGAAAAAATACACAGCGGTGTTAAACCATATGTTTGTGAGACCTGCGGTAAAGCCTTTTCTACCAAATGTCATCTACAGGGACATGAAAGGGTGCACACCGGTGAAAAACCATTTGTTTGTGAGACCTGTGGTAAAGCCTTTTCTAACACAGGTAGTCGAAACAGGCATGCAAAACAATGCACATCAGTAAACCATTTGTTTGTGTGACCTGTTGTAAAGCCTTCTCCAACCAAGGTCATCTAATTAGACATGAACGAAATCACACTAATGAGAAACCATTTGTTTGCCAGACCTGTGGTAAAACCTTTTCTGTCAAAGGTAGTCGACACGGATAGTCGAAAAACCATTTGTCTGTGAAATTTGTGGTAAAGCCTTTTCTGGTCAAAGTACTCGAGACAGGCATGAAATGATTCACAGTAGTGAGAAACCATTTGTTTGCGAGACCTGCGGTAAAGCCTTTTCTAACACAAAAAGATGTAGTAGCCATATCGGGCGAGTTATCATTTTGTTATGTTAAGTTGTAAAATTGAAACTTAGTTCCTAGAGCTACTTTTGCTCTGTAGTTATGTTAGTGGAAATTCATTCTTTTATTTGGTTGTTCTTTATATCGATCATTTGTCTTCATTTCTGTGAATGAAGTTGTCTACATCTCTTGAACTTTTAATGATTCAAACAGAAGAGATCTGCAAGATAGGTTTGACAGTCAACTTGAATTGAATCATGGGGAACCATAAACATCGTTGGTGATGTGAATTGAAGTTGCTATTACATGTACATGTATATCAGTATCTACAGGTAATTGATATTTTATAGAACCGTTCATTTAAGAATCATTGTATTCTTTTGTATAGCTTCCACCTACAAATATGGTGACTTAGCTGATGTAGCAGGTCTGCTAGATATATCTAGGTTAGATGTTGACTGAAAGTGTTCTAATTCTTGATTCACAGTTAACTAGTTTCAGATATTGTAAATTATGTTTTTGGAGACAATGCTTGCTTTTTTTCCAATTGACAAGTCAAGACAATGAATTACTGATTCTGTTTTCAAGTTATTTTGTAGTTATTGCATGCACTGTGTTGTTTTTATCGTATTGTACAATCAATGACGTGTTGTACTTTTAAACACCTTAAGTTGAGGACAAGGACAATCAGTCTGGCTACCCAATAAAGTGTTATGTGATCTGTCATATTCCATCTATTGGATACCAGCTGATGTACTGTCAACACGGTTGACTGAGCAGAGCCCATTTTATAAAAGGGTCTATTTAGAGACTTGCGCCACTTTCCAATTGTGGTTGTGTTGTGTCTTTCGTCACAGTGTGAAAGGCTAAGGTTGCCCATCATTGCAGGTGTTGGGGGGGGGGGGGATTTCACCGTAAAAAGTGGCGCAAGTCTCTCAATAGACCCTTTCATAAAATAGGTCACTGCTCAGTCAACTGTGAATGAAATGTAAGGACACGTCATATTTAAGAGGAGATTCAACCCTAACATAGGATATCTCCCTTTGATTCACATGTGCCCTACTTCTGTTCCAATTTAGCAATAATATCTCGGTTTCGCTTTTTTGATCCACCCTCTATAATGACTGTAGTAGTAGTACATTGTAGTATTTTAAACCCATGTTTTTCATAATTATTTCTTAATGTAAATCCGTAAATTCCGTCACTTGACCGTTAAACTAGGTCCATCGAGTTTTATCATCAGCGCCGAAGTGTCAGTCAGGGAGGTTTGTCAGCAATAAAACTTCAGAAATATTGAATCGCAGAACTGTGTCGTATTAAAGCCCGAGTCCATCATTTGCAGCTATCCAAAAAAGTAACTGGCGTAATTATAGTTGAAAAACATACTGGTTGAAAGATAGTAAGGGGACTAAACTCCCTGTGAAATTATTCTTTCTGGCAAGCTCTCATTTTGAAGAAATCAACGAAAGAAGGCATTTCCAACTGTGCTTCTTAAGAAGCACCGTAGGAAAATTTAAATTAGTTGTTCGTTTTGTTATTCGGCGCAGCGCGCACAAGCATTGGAACGACGCACAGGCGCGCGCGGTTGCTATAATTCGTCGGATCAGTGCACGACATCGCGTAAAGCTGCAATTCAAAACAATTCGAAACATGATTTAGCAACTATTGATTTGAAATTGAGATCCTAGAATGCTGTTTTTCTCGGAATATGAAGCTGAAGCTGAGCTGAAAGTAAGTTGTTCAGTATCCTTCATTAGATCTTGAACACTTTTGTTGCTTCAAACGAAGCACTATGCACTAATTACAAATGATGGACTATAGCTTTAAGGAGTTGTTGTATCTCGACTCGAACCCTGCGTTGAAGAACGCTAAACTTTACAATCCGCTGCGAGGATTATACAACATTGTTGTAGTGTTTCATGTTGTAGCTTTGTGTTCTACTCGCACTGATCAAACAGGTTTGCTTTGGAAATTGCAGGATATAATACATAGTTATGGGGTTTCCATTACACATGCATACACATAAATCTATTCCTTCGTCCATGGTTCAGAATCACATGAAACAACTAGCACACACGATGCTGGTTGGAGATGTAAAACCGAAAAGATACGTTTGCTTTGTGAGTCGTTCAAAAAGTGAACCAAATACATTTGTAGGTTGTTGCAGTGTTCGTTCCCAGACATACATTTACATATACATGTACATAATGTAAATTGTTAAGATAGTTTTGTTGCAGGACATGATGTTTGTTGACTTTGTTATGATAGTTTTGTCGCGAAGGAGCCGTGTGGTTTAACTACTAAGAAAGCAACTGAAACAACTGTTGGATATATTGTTTTATCCAAAATTATGGACTGTGTGTTGCTACAACACGTGCCAAAAGTAAGATTTAGAGACAGCTCAGTTAAATGAAATTAGTTGTATTTATACTTCAGTTATTATAGAACTTTTGGAAATTTGCAAGGTAATACAGTTTTGTTAATCACTTTTGTTAGGACATATCAAAATTGTATAATGTTTACTCCGTTATTTACTTGATCATATACTGAATAATAATAACTATTAGTAGCTGGAACATGCCGAATGTGTGGTGAGAGTGAGTTCAGAAATTCGGGGAAAATACTCACAAATCTCCAAGGTGTTCGAGACGCACATCAAATTAAAGCTTATTTCGTCATCTTTCATTTTCTTTTCATTTTTTTTTGGGGGGGGGGGGGGTAACTGATGACTTTTAGGAGAAATTTCCATCCAAAGATGACAATATAATATAGATGAAAATAGTCCTGAAGCCCATCGCCTCTTTGAAAAACCATGACTCCATTGCAAAATAGCTAGAGCGCTTAAAGGGTCCCAATTTCATCCAAATTGAACGGAACAACAAGCTCCCAGTCCTGTGCACGGCTTCGACACATATTATTATTATTATTATTGTTTTTTTTTTTTACAAATCCTCACGTTCATGGCCCACACCATGCTCAAATACTGAAGATTCGTGATTTGGCCGGCGCAACTAGCTAGGCAATTTCGGACCGACTTACTCTGCAACCTTACATTTAACGCTAGCGCCCTCAATCGACAGCTAGACGACGATGACAGACCATGCCGACGGTCCGCTGGCTGGCTTTAGTCCTGTGATTTGGTGAGCGAAATTCTGGTAATTTCACCTTTTTGTTTGACATGTCAAAGATTTGAACCCGCCCTATAGGTGCCTAACCATATCAAAAATATGCACAGATAGACTGGGGCTGAACATTTCGTGACGAGAGAGTTTGGAAGTCGAAACAAAATTGTCAATTTCCTGCCTCGGCTAGCCTTAGTAATAGTATAGCCCCATAAATGTGGCCTATTTACTGGACTGCCTCCGTAAACATAGGCCACACATCCACATGTACAAAAAACGTGTCGACTTTGCCAAATTTTGATTTTCACATTTAGGCTTACTTTGTAGATTTTTTTTGCTTTAGAAGCATTCTCACCCTCTATATAGGCTAATCAGAAAGTGCTGCCTTTTTCAGATGTTTAATTTTTGTGAAATTTCATGTTGAAATTTTGATACGCAAACGTGTGCAAATGTATCTGGAAATTTCACGAAAAATGAACATCTGAAAAAGGCAGCACTTTCTGATTAGCCTATATAGAGGGTGAAAATGCTTCTAAAGCAAAAAAAATCTACAAAGTAAGCCTAAATGTGAAAATCAAAATTTGGCTAAGTCGACACGTTTTTTGTACATGTGGATGTGTGGCCTATGTTTACGGAGGCAGTCCAGTAAATAGGCCACATTTATGGGGCTAACCTTAGTAATACTAGTAATACTAATAGTAATACTAATACTAGGTGAATCGTAATAGTTAAACATAGGCACGTCTCTCGTGTTGAAGCATTGTGATTTTTCGGGGGTCATGCAGTACGCTACGGCTTTTGGAAATGCACTCATAGGCCTAGACGAAATACCTTTGGAATTCTATTGGAAAGAATGTTGCAACGTGATGCTATTTAGGCGATTGCGTACAAAGTCTATGGTCTATGGAGATTCAAGAATAAGAAAAGTATTTCTTAAAGGGAATATACATCATTTGCTTTTGCTGTAATTTTCAGAAATGGATGGAATTGGGGGGTTGGAAATATATAGCAAATATAGTTACACTGACTTTTTAGAGGTTTTGGGTTCGAAAATGCTATAAAAACCAAGAAAAACAATCATTTTCCTGTAGTCTGGTTCCCTGACTCCATATAAGAAGAAACAGAGCAGTTTACATACATTGGGGAATTGTAAGGTCAGGGAACCAGTCTAGCTGGCTTGTACCCGTTCATAGGTGTGTAATCGATTGCAAACAAGTGCGATGATCAATTGGGGCCAGTATTTGGAGAAAAAAAACAGCTTTTTCCAACGCTGATCGGCCGATCAGCGTTGGAAATTGATACAAAAATAGCACTTTTCTTGAAAATGACAGTATATCAGGTGCCATGATTTTACAGGATGCTTTACACTGTCATTCACTAACAGTCTAGCAGGGTATTTCAAAATGATTTGGTAGTTTTATTTTTTGATGTTTGCAAATGTTGTATTTTCCCTTTAACAAAATTGGAATTTTTTCAGTCAAGTCCCAGATTCATGTCTTAACTCTTATCGTCATTTTTGCAATGACTAACCTTCATTGAGATGATATATGAAAAAAAACCGGCAGTGTCAGCCGTCAGGTTGCAACATTCTGTCCATTCCATTTTCCGAAACACAAATCCTCCCAAAAAGTTGCCCTGGTTGATCCATAACTCTTCAAATGTTTTGAAACAGTTGACATTTGGGTCATGGGACAATATTTTGGTGGAAAATCTGAGTTTTCACTCACCACCATCAGTTTTCAACATCGCGAACGTTTAGCACTCTCGATGCAAACGAGCTGTACGCATATGATGCGGCTGTAGTTATGATCGCATCATGTGCGGGAAAAAAAATCAAAATGTTGGTGTGATATCCTTCGTGTGTGTACCGGTATGTTAAAGGAATGGGATTCTAGTTTGGGTCAGGAAACCAGATTTAATTACTCCATGCAGCTCAGTTTGCGTCAAGTGTGTGCTCAACGTACGCGATGTCGAAAAACTGATTCTTCAGAAAAACCTTTCTGAGCTGTGCTATACAGTCATGGCTGTTTTGTGGTCAGCCAATCAAAGAACGCCTTGATCATTAAAGGGAATGTACATCATTGGCTCTTGCTGTAATTTTCAGAAATGAACTATTTGAGGGGTTAGTATAATAGATCAAATATTGTTACACTGACATGTTTGAAGTTTTGTGTTCGAAAATGCTGGAAAAAACAAAAAAAACCAAAAATGTTCAAGTAGTCTGGTTCCTTGACTCCACTAAAGATAAAATGGATCAATTTATAGATGCCGTAAAATTGTATGGTAAGCGAACCAGTCTAGCTGGCCTGCACCCGTTCATGAACATGTAACCAATAGCAAACAAAATTTGGACTGAAAAAAGTGTTAAGTTGGAGCAGTAGTTGAAAAATAGTTAGGTTTTTCCAACGGTGGTCGGCCGACCACCGTTGGAAATGTATACAAAAATACCATTTTCTTGAAAATGACTTCACACCAGGTGCTATAATTTTACAGGATGCTTTAGACTGTCATTTACCAACATCCTAGTAAGGTATTTCGTAAAAACTTGGTAGTTTTATTTTTCGATGTTTGCAAATGTTGTATATTCCCTTTAATGCTGTGTCAGTGTAGGACATCGAACAGCCATCGGGTCAGCGGTACATTCTGCATACACTCTACCACGAGTAAAGTCCACTGACCCGACTGCTGTTGAATGTCCTACTCATAATAATTGAGGGATCATCTTTGCTCACATTGGCACAGTTATTGCTCTGGAGCTTTCTGGTAATGTCACCGTCACGGTGACATTGTACGGTACATATGGAGGATTCTATAATTGAGTTGTGATCAATGTTGTCATTGCAAGTTTGTATTTAATAAATGGGTAAAGCATTTTGTAGCATGTGGATTGAATCAGATAGTTTCATTTAAATGTTCTCAATGCATTCTCCAGGTGGTGAACTGCGGACAACGGAGTCCTGTCCTGATCCTGTGTGGAATCAGCTGATTCTGAATTGATCAAGTTGACTGAAATAAGGTAACATAAATTATTCAATCCATCCAAATGATGATTCCTCAATTAACGTGATTAAGACATAATTCTATATTTGGCTTCATGGAGCGGGCAACCCCAGGCGCGGACCACCCTGCACAGGCCACCTCTAACGTGGCGCAAACCATGCCTGATAATATGGTGGGGGCCACCCCTATCGTGGCACAGACCACCCCTAACGTGGCGTGGGCCATCCCTCACGTGTTGCGAACCATCCCCTACGTCGCACATCCCCAAGGGCGGATCCGGGGGGGGGGGGGGGGGGGGGGGGGGGGGGGGGGGGGGGCAAAGGGGGCCATGGCCCCCCCCAAAAAAAAACCCCGAAACCAATTGTTGTTGTTTTTTATGTGACGTCGCAATAAAGGCAGGCAAAAGCAACCAAAAAAGCAAAAAAAAGCAACCAAAAAAGCAAAAGGCCCGGAAAAGCAAACCAAAAGGAAGAAAAAAAAAGAAAAAAAAGAAAAGAAAAAGGGGCGAAGTCATAACTGTGTAAATTTAATGGGGGGGGGGGGCTAAATGTCCCTGCCCACCTCTAAAACCGATAAATTTAGAATGTGTTGAGAAATACAGGCATTTATTGGGGCAAAAATATGTTTTGCCCCCCCCCTAGAAAAAATCCTGGTGACGCCCATGTTTGTGATGCGATCAAGCTGAATAAGTCGTTTGTCAGGAACTTTCATTTGGAGATACAGGCCAAAATAGGGCCACTTAATCACACCACTTCATCACATCTCTTGGTGTTCTGGCTTCCATAATTTCTTAAGTAAAGATGGTTATTCTATACGCGCTGCATTTTGCTAACCGACAGGAGAGCTTATTTTGTGTCTAGGTTTTATTAAATGTCTATGGGAGTGGGCCACCATGTGGCGCAGCCCCTAACTTGGTACACCTTTATATTTTTGGCCACAAGTGCTTCACTATAGAGTATGCTCCCCAAAAACATTTCCACATAAATAACCAAAGGCTTTTGAAATACATGTAACAACAAAACCACAAAGTAAATTTTGAAAATGTGTATTCATGCAGATACCAGTACTCCTAATCCATAGCCTTAACCCCCATGAGTGTTATTTCATAACATGTTTCCTCATGCCTCACTGAACAATGGTCAATTGCCCACAACAACATTTTTGGATGCTGTGTAAAATCCTTCATGTTGTGAAAAAAAGGGCTGATGTGGTTTGGGATTGGAATCATTTGCTCTTGAGCATTAATCTGAGGTCTTGACATGGTGACTGACAGCCATCAGGCAAATGATTCCGATCCCAAACCACAATCTGTTTTTACAACAGAACAGGTTTTACACAATTTTAGGTCCAAGTCTTTGTTTTTCTTTGTTTTCCATTACTATTAATGCAAGGTTCATGTACCTGTAATAACAAGGTAATTCGTCAAGTCCAAAGGACCTTGTTATAAAGGTGTTCAACTGTACTTTTAAAGGTGCAAGGCCTGATTTCTGTTCTCCCCCTTGTATGAAGGACCATCAATCAAACATTATAGGTTACACAAGGATCAGTGCTGCTGGTTATGAAATTAGTCTGAGCGTCTTTATGACATGAACATATCCATGGTGAACTGTACTCATATTTGTTTGAATACCATGTACACATACCATAAATCGCATTTTTCATTCATATCCATACAATGTATCTCAGCTGTATCAATCAAGCAAGCGATCCGCCTTTAAAGTATATTCAGTTGTAATGTACCATTGACTCGATGAGGTAGACTACTTGTTGATGAAATCAAATGATTTTGTAAATCACTTATTCAACACAATCCTTTTCAAAAATTATTTATCAATTTATCAAGTTTTGTGGATGATGGGTATTATAGGAACCTGTAACTTCTTAATAGTGATTAGTGAAAAACTGTAAGGGTGCATGGGGAGAGTTTACACATATCAATTTTTGGAAAGTTAAATAATCAAACAAATCTGATTTAAATAAAAAATTATTTCAAGAGGAAAATTCTAATTTAAATAAATAAACAAATCTGAATTTTTTTATTTAAAAATAATTCGCCAACCTTGATAAGATACAGTAAAATCTTTGTGCGAGCCCAAAAAGACTACACTTGATACCCTAACCCTGCTGAATCCAACAGGATCCAACTCTGTCACATACCCGATGGAGCCTGTTGGATTGAGCAGTAAACCTCTTGTGAACATTCCTCATGCCAAATGTTGGATTCAGCAGGCAACTGAACTGCATTATAACGCCATGTTGGACTCCGTTGGATTCAGCAGACAACTGAAAATGAGGCACAGTGGGTTGAGCAGGACACTCCGGTTGGACTCTGTTGGATTTAGCAGGGTAGTCCTGAGGAAGTACTAGGGGTTAGGGTTTTAAGTAAAGAAAACCAAAAAGTTCTGAATTTCTTCATCTCTCTCGTGTTAATCAAATTGTGGCCCAAACACGTCATGTTGGGTATTACCCAACAAAGCATTAGCACCAGTTCATTTTTATTTTATTTTCTGAACTTAGGGTGTCCATCTGCTTTTTGACAACGACGACCACAAATTGACATCCATTGTGGCATCTCGTGAATCAGATCCAATCACTGAGGAACCTGAGGAAGATCAACATATCCAGTGTGATGATGCTTTCATAATTTTGAGTGTGCCGCAAACAAGATAGATGGTTATCATACTTGATGTAAATGTCAGTCATAACAGTTTCAGGAACGTGGAGACGCAAGTAAAAACATTCTGTGCAACAAATTCTTCTCATCAAGCTTGAAGCTAAATTGTCTCCAGAGGGTCCACACTGGTGAGCAACTGTTCTTGTGATAACTGTGGTAAACACTTTTTCTGAGTGTCGAAATCTACACCTACCGCAACAGACTGCCTACTTGTACATGTGTACTACATGTGGTCTACAATGGTGAGAAACCATTTGTTTACGAGACCTGTGGTAAAGCTTATTCTGACTGGTAGTCGAAACAATGATGGAAAAAAATGCATACTTGTGATTAACCATTTGTTTGCGAGGATTGTGGTTAAGCCTCTCCTATCCAAAATCGTTTAAGCAGACATAAAAGGATGCACACCGGTGGAAAAACTGTTTGTTTGTGAGACCTGTGGTAAAGCTTTTTTCAAGCAAGGTCTTCTAAATAGACATGAAAGGATACACACCGGTGAAATTTATTTGTTTGTGAGACCAGTGGTAAAGCCTTCTCCTACCAAGATCATCTGAAAAGACATGAGCGAATTCACACTAATGAGAAACCATTTGTTTGCGTGACCTGTGGTAAAGCCTTTTCTGAGAAAAGTTATCTAAAAAGACATAAAAGAATACACACTGGTGAGAAGCTATTTGTTTGTGAGACCTGTGGTAAAGCCTTTTCTAACAAAGTTCATCTAAATAGACATGAAAGAATGCACACCGGTGAGAAATCATTTGTTTACGAGACCGGTGGTAAAGCCTTTTCTGACTGCGGAAGTCGAAACAAACACGAGCAAATGCGTACTTGCGATAAACCATTTGTTTGCGAGAATTTTGGTGAAACCTTTCCTACCCAAAATCATCCAAGCAGACATAAAAGGATGCACACCGTTGAAAAACTATTTTTTTGTGAGACCTGTGGTAAAGCCTTCATCCACCTAGGTCATCTAAATAGACATGAACGAATTCACACTAATGAGAAACCATTTGTTTGCGAGACCTGTGGTAAATCCTTCCCCAACCAAGGTCACCTGAATAGACATGAACGAATTCACACTAATGACAAACCATTTGTTTGCGAGACCTGTGGTAAAGCCTTTCCTGATAAATATGATCTAAAAAGACATAAAAGAATACACACCGGTGAGAAACCATTTGTTTGTGGGACCTGTGGTAAAGCCTTTTCTAAGAAAGCTCATCTAAATAGACATGAAAGAATGCACACCGGTGAGAAACCATTTGTTTGCCAGACCTGTGGTAAAGCCTTTTCTGATAAAGGTGTTCTAAAGAGACATAATAGAATACACACCGGTGAGAAGCCATTTGATTGTGAGACCTGTGATAGAGCCTTTTCTGACAAAGCACATCTAAATAGACACCGAGGAATGCACACCGGTGAAAAAAAACATTTTTGTGTAAGAGCTGTGGAAAAGGCTTCTCCAACCAAGGTAAAGGACGCACACCTGTAGAAAAACTGCTTGTTTGTGAGACCTGTGGTGAAGCCTTCTCCAACCAAGGTCATCTAAATAGACATGAAAGGAGGCACACCAGTGAAAAACTGCTTGTTTGTGTGACCTGTGGTAAAGCCTTCTGCAACCAATGTGTTCTAAATAGACATTAAAGGATGCACAGCAGTGAAAAACTGCTTGTTTGTGAGACCTGCGGTAACCATTTGTTTGTGAGACCTGTGGTAAAGCCTTTTCTGATAGGTAAAGGTAAAGATCACATAGCCATTACTGGCCGTAGGGGCAGTGGGATGTTAGAGGTCCATCGTGTCTTGGGCGCGGCATATGAGTGGCGGGGCCCAGTCCTCTCCTCTCGCCGTCTTACCTTCCCTGAACGAATCGGGTACCCATTTTACTGTTGGGTCGTCAGAAAGAGTTTTCCAGTTTTTGGTTCGAATGGGATTCGAACCGCCAACCTTCCACTCCGTAGCGCCACGCTCTAACCGCTCGGCTACGAGGCCCCTCTATGTTATGTGGACTAATAAGCGTGTCCACATAACGTTTCGCCCTCTCTGGAAAACGGATTTGGAGGCATTTTGGGGTTAGGGTTATCAGTTGCAGAATGAAGAGAAACATTCCAGGAAATCAAAAAAAAATACAAAAAAGAATTGGGGGTTGAAAGAGTTTTCACAGTTTAAGTAAAGTTATATTTGGTACCGAGTTTTTTTTTTTAACTAGACGAAAACAAAGGAATGTCCACATAGCGTATGTAAAACAAACGTGTGTGTACGCGCCTGTGCGCGCTGTCTGAAGCTCAATACCCGGGCAATTTCTATTATAAAAGGCGATGGAAACAACACTTTCAAGAGTTGGGACGGTCAAGGTAATATACCCCTTGGGGTACATCACTCATGTACCACAGGGTGTTCCCTGCGTGTTTGTGGCACATCACGTGCTTGGTTGTCGACCAAATAAACATCACGATCTATTACCGTGGTATAACAATGTTTAATGTTTGTTCAGTTTGTCGCAAATTAGCCGTTACGAACTTTTCGTACTGCTATTAATGCAACTGAAGCAACTATTGGATGTATTGTTTTACCAAAATTATGCTACAGGCCTACAACATGCGCCAAAGCAAGATTTAGAAACATCTTTTATTGAAAACACATGGTTTCTGATGTAGAAAAACATTTGGTTGGCTTTATTAGATTTATTAAAAATGAGTTGTATTAAGAAATTAGTTATTATTGAACTTTTGGAAAGTGGCAGGGTAATGCAGTATTGTAAATCAATTCTGGTAGTACATATTAAATTTGTGTGATGTTTACTCCGTAATTTACTTTTTAACATAGTCTTGTGAAAGCGTAATTATGACTAGTAAAGCCAACACTTGAAGGATATGGACATTTTATTTGTGACCGAATTTCTCATGCATGACGTCATCAGACGGGAAGGTGTACAGTAACAATTGTCTTAGCAGAAGTTCAAGGTTAGGTGGATCCCAAAATACAGACACCTGACAGAAACATAACCAAATTGTGCATACTTGTCATTGATGTCATAGAGCACTGCAGGAAAGTTACAAGTGAAAAACGAGCGTATTTTTTCCGCTGAATTCTTTTGCCGCTGCTATTGCTAGTGGTGCTTTTTTGGGGTGCCAAGTCGGTAATTGTTTCACGTAAGGTTACTGGCTACTGGAGAACGGTTACTGCAGAGTTCGACCGAAGTTCACGGACAAAATGCTTTTTTGCTTTGGCCGTCTTGCGTGAAATTGTACAATAACCCACTTGGTCGTGATTGTCAATGGAAATAAGAATTTCCCATTTTGTTGAAAGACACAATGCAAAATAATAGTGAATTTCATAATGCAATTGTACCCTCGACCAGTCTTTGGCCCCGATACTCATAAAATGAAACAGGGCCAGAGGCAGGGGTGATGTCTAGTGACGGGTGTATGGAAACCCCTTGTCCTATCTGCCTAAAGTTCGTAGCAAATACCACGCGGCTATCACATTACCACACATTAATTTTTCCTCAATTCAAACAAATTCATAAACAATGCCACGAATTGTTATGTAGCAACTTTATTACATTAATTTTGTACATATAAAACATTCCTTAGAAATGCCGCGCATTCTTTATGTATATAGGTCATGATGAGTTACCCAGAATGCCATCCCCAATTCTTCACAAGATTCTGTGCAGCTCATCATCCCTTCCGATCGATCCCATCCAAGCGCCCTGCTGTTTTCAGGGCGGGGATACGAGTGAACTTGGCCGCCCGGCCGGCCGTAACTATATACCCCCTCGGTTCCCTAACGTGGCGCACTTCGATGTTTCCCCGACTTTCCTCATTCAGTTAGTGCAATGTTGAACGATACGTACGTAGCGTCCGGTAATTGGGCATAAATTGGGCCGAGATGGTGTTCCCTAAGGGTGCACGCCTGTAAGCTGGCCAAAAATCCGACCACCGAGCTCATGAATAAAAGTTATACCCTCAAAAAATACTATATTACCACACATTCTTTTATTATATTACAGATTTTTGAGAGCCATAAAATTGGGGAATTGAAGAGATATGGTAATGAAACTCTGACCCGGACTAGGGGCTTCCAATTCCGAGCATTTTGGATGTTATTGGTTCGAAAGTGGCGCTATTTTGCCATGTTATGTGGGGATATCGTTTTTCAAGATGGCTACTTTTCCGTTCTAGGGAAATACGGGTCGTCTTCTTTAGGTGAGAATATCACGAAAAGTCCATGGTCAACCCACCAAAAAATGGAAAGAAGATGAAAGATGACACATCGATCATCATTTTTTTGTGCATGCAGCTTGAATATCTGTGAAAGTTCTGAAAAGAATTCTGAAGTATGCGCGCACATTTAGCACTAGTGTCTAGGGGGAATTTTATTGCAGGGTTGCAATTAAATGCTTGTATTTTAAAGGTATCAACAAGGGCTGTTCCGTAACAGATGCTCCCAAATCGTAAGGGAGTCGTAGGCAATCAGCCGATTACAGCAATTGCGAGTTGAAAGGGGGGGGGGGGCATTTTGAACTTCAAAGTAACTAAAACTCATTAAATTGTCGTTGGGGCGCTCTACAGCTAGCAGGTGCAAACAAAGTAACTATATGCGGGCCAAAGTTTGACCTCGGATAATATTTTTTTAATTTTTTGGTCAAAATAATGACTTTGGAGATATCCTGCTTTTGAATGTGTTTTTGTGTCAAGATTTGAACGTTGCCTGCTATTAAAGGGTGCACGCCTGTAAGTAGGCCAAAAATCCGTCCGCCAAGCTCATTAATAAAAGTTATACCCTCAAAAGAGTTTTGGGAGCCACAAAATTGGGGAATGGAAGAAATATGGGTTAGAAAGTGGCGCTATTTTGCCATGTTGTGGAGGGATCGTTTTTGCGCCTTGGGGAAATAGGGGTCGTCTCTATGGGTGAGAATATCTCGTAAAGTCAATGGTCAACCCTCCAAAAATGGAAAGAAAACGAAAGATGACATGTTGATCATCATTTTTCTGTTCAGCTTGAATACCTATGAGAATTTTGAGTATTTTAAAAGACTTTTGAAGTATGGGCATTTAACACTATATAGTGTCTATAGGAATTTATTTGCAGGGTTGCGCCCGTACGGTCGATCCGTAGCGCCCTCAATCGACAGTTAGACAGCGACAATGGCGGTGATGAGAAGCTATTTGTTTGTGAGACCTGTGGTAAAGCTGTTCCTAGAAAAAGTGAACTATAGTACACAAAAGGGTACATACTGGAGAAAAAAACATTTGTGAGACCCGTGGTAAACCCTTTTCCCCGGCGGTGTCAAGTTAAAACACATGATAAAGGATGCATACTGTAAAAAAAAAACAACAACAACATTTGTATGTGAAATCTGCGGGAAAGCCTTTTCTACCCTTTTCTACCCTTTTCTACACCTTTTCGATTTTGCTGGTTCACTAGATCATCGGTACATCGTACAGAGGTTTGCGTTGAAAATTCGGACCGATCTGACTGGGCGAGCAGATGAAATCAAACATGTTTAATATTTTGGTATCCGATTTTCACCGGACGCAATATTTATGTAGACCAATCAGATTCACGAAGAAAGTTACATGTTGTTATGTGACTGATATAATCATGTGACTGATTAGCATGTGACCGATTAAAGGACGGAATCGGGCGTGCGGTTAAATTAAAGACGTACCGTCCCGGTGATGGGTGATTCCTGAAACCGGTAAAATCCGGAAGGTGTGCGCTGAGCTTAAAGACCCTTTGGCGAGATCTAGAAGCTTCTTCTCAGGGACGTCCAAAGCATGTACATTTGTAAAGGTCACAGACTGGTAACAGTCTATTTTTTTTGTAGAGTTGTGGTAAAACTGGGTAGAATTATAGACATAAACATGACTGGGGAGAAACCTTACATTCACCATAGACAAGTGGGGAAAACCCATTCCGATTGAAATTATCTGAGGAAACGCTGGAGGGTTCACACATTTATACCCAGCACGACAAAGGGGTACTCCCTAGTCCCTATATACCCTATAAACACGCTAGACTTTTGATAGCTAGCACACCCCCGCCTGCGTAATTTTTATTCCTAGGAGGGTTAGGGGCAATGTCATGAATAATTCATGTTTATCCATGAGAACGGACAATGACATCAACAGCATTGTTGTTAGTTACTCAACTAGTTACAATACATTAAAGCATTTTAAAGAACGGTTGTCGTCGAGCTACCACACAGTAGCCTAGTGGATAGCGAGATGAGCTATGGATACAAAGATCGATCCCTGGTTCGAATTCACGTCGTCGCTGCTCATTTTCATCAGCTATTTTTCTTCTCCAAATTTATTACTGAGATAATTTTAAATTAAGGGGAAAATAGAACGAGAACCTAAGTCTTGCAATGATTCAAAGGAAAAACTGAATTATTCATGAAATTGCCCCTAACCCTCCTAGGAAAAAAAATTACGCCCCGCCTTTGATATCTCCTGAGATGACAATGACCAACAGAAAAGAATGGATGCAGTCACTGGTCAAAGTTCAACTTTCCAGCTCTTGCACGAAACTTTACCCGAAACTGTTCGTTTATTTACTCCACTGCGCATGTCTGTCATCACACGAGGAGCGGGCGCGAGTAAGGCCGTGTCCGAAACGGGTTTCCAGAGCTACGGCTACGTCTATTGTCAGCGCGTTCCGCGTATTTTCGATGGGCTTGGACCTAGACCTAGCTAGCTCTAGACGGTTGATTCGGATGCAGCCTAAGCTGGGGGAAGTAATCGAACGCACTCATAGTCATTATTACCCAGGCATCTTTGCGCCCTCTCGCGCCGTGCATACCCTTCGGCTGTCGCAGGTGAGACTTTTGCTCTCAGAATGAGTCTTTTTTACAGTTGCTTCTCGATACTGTTTTATTGTCTCAATATGTTGAACTGGTTCATCAATATATGTAGATAACCTTGATTGGGTCAATCGGCACAGGATTTGTGGACTTGTGTGGTTAAGGGATGCACTAATTTTTCGCACCTAAGTTTGCAACTATGGCCACGTATATACATGTAGGCCTACGGGGTCACGCATAATATTACGCAATGGCGACCACATGTGGTTACTGTACAATGTCGCTTCTCGTTCATTGTAATGTGCATTATGGCGTGTGCACTAGACCGTGTATGGATGCTGTGTTCAATGTTGCGTTGTATCGGCGTGCATATGCGCCGTGTCCTATGTTGGCAAGGCACATTACATACTTAATATACATGTAGGTACATGTAAATTTTTATGTACATAATGCATTCTGGGCAATGCTGTTCGTATATTGGTCAATTCCAAAGATCTTATAGCGCCGAAGGCGCAAGATGGGGAACTCCATAGAAATTGGGAAATCGTCATGGACGCCATTCGAGCAAGCAAACCATTGTGCAAACCATTTGTTTGCACCATGGTTTGCTTACTCGAAGCAAACCATTGTGCAAACAATGGTTTGCACAATGGTGTGCTTACCTGAATGGCGTCCATGACGATTTCGCAATTTCTATGGAGTTCCCCCATCTTGCGCCTTCGGCGCTATAAGATCTTAAGACCATTAATGTGCGTTGTTAAGTACACTATGAACCTGTTTATACTTAATACATGTATTTGCATACTGCACTGTGGAGTGTGAACATGTGTATTGGACATTGCTATTACGCGTTTTGTCTAATTTTATCTTACATTTCATAGACCTGACAGGCTACTTGACATGAGCTGGCTGCTCTTAAACACTTTACCAGTGTCGCATGAAATTTTGACTACCATGAAACCCGGTGCCTTTTACCGTCTCTGTGCGCATGCGCAATACAACCAGCGTATAAGTATTTCATAGTCCGAAATTTACACGACACAAGCCCAGCTGCGTTTTGCGCAATACACGCGACGCGCACACAAATCTGCATATCATAAGGTAAGGAGTTATAGAGGGACATTCCATATTATAGTCCGAGGGGGGTTTCATAAAACATAAGAGTAAAATTGTTGAACAAAATGGTTGGTTACGTCTAGATCATTTTTTGACTGTTTTGATTTTTGGACGGAAAAGAATTGATTTTTTAACCGAAAAGGTATTTATGAATGGGAATAAAAATGTGCTTGGTCGGTATTAAACATTCTGTTTAAGACCGGTTGGAGTCTCGAGTGCTGATAATTACCCTCAGCTTCGTCTTTGGTAATTATAACATATCCAGACTCCTACCGGTCTTATACAGAGTATTTAATACCTCCCAAACACACGTTCATTCCCTTAGTAAAGGTGTGCTTGCTTAAATATCAAGATCATATGACCCTTACTTCCGGTGTTACCGGAATTCAATTATTTATGATTATGATATCAATTTGAAAGAGAGACAATTTTTGATATATCATTCAATCATTTTGTACCGTCTAAAAGACAATCAACGCAACAAATTGGGAACAGCCTTGTGATTGTTCAGTTTCGTCAACATTCTGTAGTTTTTTTTTAATTGTGTTTTAACATTTTTCCTGAACTTAGAGAGTTCATCTGCTCTTTGGCATCAGCGACAATATTGACTCCCGCTGTGGCATCCCGTGAATCAGATCGAATCACTGAGAGACGTGAGGAAGCTCAACATATCCGGCCGATGTGATGATGTTTTCAGGATCCTCGGCATGCTGCAAACATTAGATTGATGGTTGTAATGCTTGATGTAATGGTCAGCCATCAGAACTTGAAGACGCAATAAAAAACATTTGTTTTTCTCTGCAACAAAAAGTAGATGTAATTTTCAGTCATCAAAATAAGAGCTGTAGAAACGTGGAGACGCAAGTGGTCTTTGTAACAAATTCTCCTTATCAAGCTTGAAGCTAAACTGTCACCAGAGGGTCCATTATAAGTGAGAAACTGTTTTCTTATGAGACTTAATCGTAAGCCCACTGAGCGACGAAATCTACACTTTCACAACACACTGCATGTACATGTTACTAAGACTGTTATAAATACATGTACTGTACCTCAGCCCTTCTGAACAACGGAGTCCAACCATGAACAAGAGGGTTGACAGTGGTGAAGTAAAACCATTTGTTTGTAAGACCTGCGGTAAGGCCTTATCTTGTGAAGGTAAACTACAGGCACATGAAAAGGTACATAGTGGAGAAAAACCATTCTTGGGTGAAATCTGTGGTAAAGCATTTTCAGGTGGAGGTAGTCGAACCAGGCATGAACGGACGCAAACCAGTGAGAAGCGATTCATTTGTAAGACATGTGGTAAAGCCTTTCCTAAAAAATGTAAACTTCGGGCACATGCAAGGGTGCATACTGGAGACAAACCATTTGTTTGTTCAAGCTGCGGTAAAGCCTTTTTTAATCGATGCCTTCGAAACAGACATGAAAAGATTCACGACAAGACGTTTATTTGTGAAACCTGTGGAAAAGCCTATCCTAGCAAAAGTAAACTTCGGGTACATGCAAAAGTGCATACTGGAGAAAAACCATTTGTTTGTGCAAGCTGTGGTAAAGCCTTTTATGAACGATGGAGTCGAAACAAACATGAAATGACGCACAACGGCGAGAAGCCATTTATTTGTGAGACCTGTGGTAAAGCCTTTTCTATCGCAAGCAATCTAAACAGACATGAAAAAATTCACAAAAATGAGAAACCATTTGTTTGTCAGACCTGTGGTAAAGCCTTTTCTGAGCAATCTAATCAAAACGTACATGAACGGATGCACACCGGTGAGAAGCCATTTGTTTGCGAGACATGTAGTAAAGCATTTTCTAACGCAAGTAATCTACGTAGGCATGAAAGGATACACTCTGGTAATAGACCATTTATTTGTAAGACCTGTGGTAAAGCCTTTTCTCAACTATGCGTTCTGAACGTACATGAAAGAATGCATACCGGTGATAAACCATTTGTCTGTGTGACCTGCGATAAGGCATTTTCTCAATCATGGCATCTGAAAGTACATGAAAGAACGCACACGGGCGATAAACCATTTGTTTGTGAGACCTGCGGTAAGGCATTTTCAGAGAGCGGTTATTTGAAAGTGCATGGAAGGACGCACACCGGTGAGAAACCCTTTGTATGTGAGACCTGTGGCGCGAACTTTTCTGCGCGACATAGTCTAATTACACATATCAGGTTGCACACCGGTGAGAAGCCATTTATTTGTGGGTCCTGTGGTAAAGCCTTTTCTAATCAAGGTAATCTACATGCACATAAAAGAATACACAGCAATGAGAAACCATTTGTTTGCGAGACATGTGGTAAAGCCTTTTCCGAGAAATGTAATCTAAAAGTACATGAAAGAAGGCACACCGGTGAGAAACCATTTGTTTGTGAGACCTGTGGTAAAGCCTTTTTTGTAAAAGGTCATTTACAGAGACATGAAAGAACCCACACCAATGAGAAACCATTCGTTTGTCAGACCTGTAGTAAAGCCTTTTCTGGTAAATGTGCTCTAAAAGTACATGAACGGATACACACCGGGGATAAACCATTTATTTGTGAGACCTGTGGTAAAGGCTTTAATGTCGGAGGCAATCTGAAAAAACATGAAAGAAAAATGCACACGATTGAGAAACCATTGGCTTGTCCTTTTGTGGTGGTAAAGTCTTTTCAAATCAATATCATCTAAGCAGAGATGAAATGATGCACAATCTGCGACACGTGTGTTTAAGTCTTAATTCGCAAAGGCGATCTAAATAGACATGAAAGAATGAACACCGGTGAGAAACCGGAGACGTTGGGTGAACCCCTTTTCTGGCCGAGGCAGGCGAAACAGGCATTAAAGGATACACATCTGTGCGAAAACATGCTTTTGTGAGATGCAAACGAAATTCCCTATGCCAACAGAAAGGTGAAAACTACATTATGCCTGTTTGTAATTGTATATAATAATTGTATTTACAATGAATTATGTTTTCTAGTTGTTATACTTATTGTAATGCAGTGTCTCATGTTGTAATTTTCTGTCCAACCTGCTTTGGCCAAAATGTTCGGTTTGGTTATGGCAGGATATAATAAATGTTTTGTTTTTGTTATTCCTATTACCCATGGATTTATTTCTAACTCGTCTGTTCACGATCACATTCCTAACTCATGAAATAGGTCTGAGACCTAATGACGTCACCCTTTGTTTAAATGTGCGCTTTCCCATGTGGTAAACGGTCCCTACTTCGTCTGGCGTCCCAACTTCGCTCCCATAGGAAAGCGCATATGTGAACAAAGCCATTGCGTCATTAGGTCTCGGGTCTATTGAAACGATCCACGCCAAAGTGGACATGGCTGAAAGTATAGTAAAAGTGCTCTCAGATATTTTTCCTCTTCAATATTATTCCAAACACATGCAGGGATCAGGATATAAACTCATCTGGCTGTTTGCCGTTACTGTATGGGTAGTACGTGGTCTATACAAACATGAAGGGTGCACATCGTACTGCTGAAACACCTTTCATTCATCGGACCTATGGAAAACCCTTTCTGAACTAGAATTTTTTTTCTGATTAAACAAAAGGTTAACACTAGCGACAATTTGTTTTATGTAATTCGAGCGATTCAAAATGCAGTGAGCCACCAAGAGTTTACCATGGAGAGTCAATTTTTCAAGCCTCGGTCGACAGTACAAAACATGTCCCAATTGAACGAGTGTCAGTAAACAACCTATTGGAGCAAAGCGTACATTCTGCCGCCTTACAAAAACACCATATTTGATAACAAGAAAAGAAAAGGGCAAACATATACTCGAAGCATACGCTTACGAAACTATACTGGCCGGAAAAAAACTAACAATTTCAAACGTCCCGCGCTGCGAAGTTGTCGACCATCTCCCACAATGCACTGGGAAAATGAACTCTCCGTGAAACTCTCTGTGAATCGCCCAAATTGTGTGTTGGCTTGTTTTCCAACTTGCTGCATCTTATTGCATTGCTGTTTTTCATGGTGTAAATTTGTTGTTCTTTAAACAACAAATGCAATTTTTTTTTAAATAAATGTATCAAATGCAATGTATTTTTCTGATTAAATATAATCATTGCAAATGCACCTTGTTAATTTTAACATCATTTTCTTATTGTTAAATGCAACCGTTGCAAATGCACCTTTGTGTTAATTTTAACCTCATTTTGAAGTATTGTTTTGCAATTTTCAAGGGTATTTTTGGTGCCCTTTTGGTTTTGATGTTAAAGCGAATGTCATTTTGTAAATACTTTTCGTTAAGGCCTATGCAGTGTATTTGTTTTCATATTAAATACAATCATTTAAGATGGACCACATTGTCTCCATTTAAACCTTACTTTCAAGAGTTTTTAGGTGCACTTTTGGTTTTGATTCCAATGCGAGTTTCCTTAGTCATGAGCAAAAGTGCGATGTCATTTCAGGCAGAAACCTCAATATGTCACATCTATTTCTTCAGCATAAAAAAATGCAACAGTTTTTGATAGTAATTGTCGTTTATAGTCTTGTTTTGACGATTCTTTTGTTGTGCCAGTACATGGCAGTAAAAGCCACTGAGCAAATGTTTCTCACAAATTTTTGCGATGAGCACATTTTTGGTTCAATTTGAACAGAAAACCCTTAAACTGAAAGTGTCTCCCTGAAATGACAATAGACAACACGGCAAGTAATTGTCCGGAAAAAAAACATGTAAAATGTTAAATGTTTAAAGAGGTTCAGCTTTTTAATCAAATTAACCAAAAAGGGATGTGAAATAGTTTTCACACATTTACGATGAGTAGAAAGTTGGACAAACTATGTACCTAAGAAAATTCATCCCTTGGACCCTTTTATGCCACGTATCTGCGCCTCATCAGTTAGTTCCCATAGTTAGTTATTATTCATAATTACCTAAGACAGTTTTGCAATTGCTATTTATCGAGAGCCCGTCACCTGGCCGGTCTTAACCGGATGATAAAGACATGGCTGGCTGGTATTAAGCACGTTTCCAGTGTCGCATGAAATTTGGACTCCCATGAAATCCAGTGCCTTTTAACGTTTCATTGATTGAACGTTCACATTCCTCACTAGGCATGCACAATATACAATGTACTAGTGAATCAGTATTTCATGGTCCGAAATAGACCGCTTGCAGACGCGATCGATAATTGACGCGCGAAGGTGCGCGAAGGTGCGCGACGCCATGTTATGGGACAAAATGTGCATAGATAGATATACGCTTGTCCCACAACATGGCGTCGCGCGCCTTCGGGCGTCGATTATCGAACGCATCTGCAAGCGGTCTATTCACACTACACCTGCAGACCAGCTGCGTTTTGCGCGACATCGTGCAGTACGCGCGACGCGCACGCCAATCTCCTTAAGGTCGCCAATCTCCTTATAAGGTGAGGAGTTGTAGAGGGGCATTCTATATTATAGTCAGAGGGGTGTTTCATAAAACATGAAGTAAAATTGTTGAAAAAAAATGGTTGGCAACGTAGTAGTTTTTGCTTTGTTTCGATTTGGGAACGAAAAGGTATTTATGAATGGGAATAAATATGTGTTTGGTAGGTATTAAACACTCTGTTTAAGACCGGTTGGAGTCTTGAGTGCTGATAACTACCCTCCACTTCGCATCGGGTAATTATCACCCATCAAGACTCCAACCGGTCTTAAACAGAGTGTTATAAAAACCAAACACTTTTCTCCCTTAGGAATGTACACGATTGGATTCTTCCAATGGGCAAAACAAAAATTGCCGGGAAACTTGTAAGTATGATCTCTAGTGCACATTTGTGTTGTTTAGAAGAACAATAAGAGACAGTTGGGTTTTTTGGGGAGTGGGGGTGGGGACGGGACGAATATTTGTAAAACGGGCGGAATAGTTATACGTCTTAGCCCGGTTAATACTTCAGGCGAAAGCAAGTGCAAAGCGAAATTCATGTCGTCAACAAGAGTGGACGCGCCTTTATCGTACTGTTGACGTCACAACTTTCGCTTCGCTTGCAAAGTGGTATATAATACCCAGGCACGTAATTTGTGGCCTCTTGCCGTGTGTGCCCATTTCAGCTGTTGCAGGTGAGACTTTTGCTCGCAGAATATGTCCACATTACGGACACACTCTCACAAAATGTGGTCCAGCAGCTTTCTATACAAAAACCTCGTTGTCTTGGGGTTTTGTACGTAAACCTTATCAGTCAGCCGATCACGCTCAATTGACTTCGGCCAAACCGCAGTCCCATCATAAGAAATAAGTTAACAATGTTATCCGAACCAGTTTTTCCGAGAGTGTGTCTCTAATGGTTGATGGGCTTTTAAAAAGAACTTTTGCAAATGGGAAAGACACTTTGGAAACATCCAATCAGTTTGAATATGCTTCATGAATTTCTGAATAAACGAGCACATTTTTAACAGTATTTAATTACCATTATTTTTCGGTGTGGTGGTGGGGGGGGGGGGATGGCTGTGGGGGGGGGGTGGACTAAACAGAAGATATATCAGAATGGCGCAATAAGACCAACAGCGGGCGCAATAAATTTGATTAGGATTTCAAAATTTCTACGCGTCCGCGTCGTTAATTTGCATAAAAAGTGCCCCCACAATTTTTTGCAAAAAACGAGACCGTCTAGTTTAAAAATCGGTGGAATCGTGCGAATATAGCCGAGGATCATCTCCCTAGCTTTTGGGCTATTATCTAAGAGCAGATTTGATAAAATTAGGGTCCAAAATGGGTCCTATTTGCACGAGAAAATCATGTAGGGATGCCACTGGTAACTTTGGCAGTATGCAGGCTCAGCATTACCGGCAGGCTTCAAGCATTACGGACACACTCTCGCAAAATGTGGTCCAGCAGCTTTCTATACAAAAACCTCGTTGTCTTGGGGTTTTGTACGTAAACCTTATCAGTCAGCCGATCACGCTCAATTGACTTCGGCCAAACCGCAGTCCCATCATAAGAAATAAGTTAACAATGTTATCCGAACCAGTTTTTCCGAGAGTGTGTCTCTAATGATTTAACAGTTGCTTCTCGATACTGTTGTTTTGTCTCGATACGTTGAACTAGCTCATAATATATTTAGATAACTATGTTTGGGTTGATCGACACGGGTTCTGAGGATGTGTGTGACTTTATAGGGATGCATTAATCGCACCAAAGTTTGCCGAGCTCTCAGTCCGTGTAATGGAGTCGTATGGATAATGTGTAATACGCCATGGCTACCACCGTGGTTATAACTGCACATGCAATGTCGCATCTCACTCATTGTGGTGTGTATTGTGTGTTCGGCACAATAATATAGCCCTGTGGTTGGGCATGTGAACTAGACTGTGAAGGGACGCGTGCTGTACATGTTCAACCATGGAGTGCTGTATCGGCGTGCATTGTTAATTGGTTAAGACCCCGCCTCTTGACCTCCTAGATTTTGCCAAATCAGCGGGCGCTTTCTATATCGGGTCTTCAGTCATTCACCATTAGTTAAACTATGGGACATGCACTAAGGACCAGGCCATTTTCCCTCCTACTTTCCCTGAGAATGTACATGTGGCCCGCTGAAATTAACAGCCGGAGTTTCACAATTCGAGTTGGAAATGTACGAAGCCAGACCGTACGAAATGATTGGCCGCCATTTTGAAGCCCACAACCTGGCTATCCAAGTTGCCCGAGCTAGCCTATCCAGGGGCCGAAGCCTCAAGCCCTGTTTTGTAAACGCCCAGCGACTATAACCCACCCAGGGGTGCACAGCTCATTAATAAAAGTTATACCCTCAACATATTCTATATTAGGCCAAAAAAAAATATATATTCGGTCTCTGGTCAGACCATAGTTCCGGAATTGACGCGGCCACGCGGCTTTTTTTTTTTTCCCCTTTTTTTTCTTTTTTTCTTCAAGCTTGGATTGTACAGACAAGGTGGGTACTATTTTGGTTTTGTTGGTGTCCTCATGTACATTGGTGTCCTCCATAATTTGCCTTGGTGCTTTCGATCATTTGCCTTGGTGCAATTTCCCATTCCTTGGTGCTCTTTGGTAAAAAAAATTGAGGAGGTGCAGAAATAGAGGGCGCTGTTGGAGCTACCGCGGAACATTTTGGAAAAAAAAAGATCGACGCGCATGCTTAAAATCGACGCGCGCGCTGACCAGAGACCGACTTATTTTTTTTTTGGCCTTGGAGAGTAATTCTGAGAGCCATTTAATTGGGGAATTGAAGAAATATGGAATCTCAGGCCCGGACTTTTTCCCTTTAGTGTTTCAATTCATTTTGCCACCGATCAACGTAATCCCAAAATGCCTCTAAACCTGTTTTCCAGAGAGGGGGAAACACTGTGTGGACGTGGGCAAGTCCACACAACGTCGCTGCTACCTAGTTTGTGGACCTCTTTTGCTCTGAAGTCCACACAGTGAATGCACGCTTTTTTCAGTACCTCAATAGTTAATTACATGTATAATGGGAATGCGTAGAGCCCTACACTACACAATTGCCACAATTTGACCTGCATTAGAAATCCATTGTGATGCGATCAATGTTGTCACTACACAAATTACTAGCAGCATTTTGTATCATGTGGATTAGCATGTTTCATTTCGTTTACATTTCCATTGCATTCTGCAGATGGCAACACTGACAACCAAGACCTGTCCTGCGTGGACTCGGCTGATTCTGGTCATGGAGCTATTTCTTCCTGCATGAATTGATCAAGATGACTTGAGGTTAAAGACAGAGAAAAAAGGTAAGCATCTCACCGATATCTGTATCACACTCTGTACAGAGTGAGTAAAAACGCACTCAAAATGGCAGGACCAATTTTTGACCGAGGTTTTACCTGCAGCACTGCAAAATCGAAGTATAGAATGTCCAATGAATAAGCTTTCTCTTAGTACAAGAATCATTCAATTCACTTGTGTACTTTCCAAGTTAAGGCATTTTGAACACAAAACCCGTTTTAAAGTTCTGTCCACGGATCAACGTGTTCGTTCAGCAAAATGAAAACAATTTACATACCTCCCTTTGAGAATTGTTTTTGTTTTGCTGAAAGAACACTTACTTTTTGGAGGATGCATGTGCACGTTTACTTGTACATACATGTACTTTCCCTTTATACAGCCTTAATGTTTTATGTGAATTGTTTGTGCAGCATTTTAATAGCTACATGTAGGTCTATGGCGAGACTATTGGGGTAGCAGGGAGGGGCGGGGTATGGGAGGGGGGACGTGTCCCCTTGTAGATGTCCTGGCCCCCAGGTGTCTAACACCCAGCCCCACCCCTTTGAAATCTTGAATTTAAAATAAAGATTTATACTTTACCCAATATATTATTTGCCCTTATTATTGTAACATATAGATTTGGCTATAGTCTTTGGTTTGTTTGACTATACTCTATAGGTTAGGATAGGGTAGCTGTGGCTAAGAGCAGGATGAACAGATGACTACGAAGACTATACAAAGACACACTGGTAACGACTATGAGCTCAGCTATATGGAAAACTGGTTTATTTTCAAGAACTCAATATTCTACCGGTATTGTGTATGTACAGAACTATAACCTCAGACCTAGCCCAGGTTGGACGAAGTCTTCATTGCAATACGACTAACGTCCAGGACGAGACTTTTCTACATGAAACCATACAACATTTTTACCAGAGTTTTGTTATGTTTTACCTCGTTATAGAAGCTAATATTTCACGCCTACATACTCTATGTGTCCTTATCTGTTAGCACGCTGGGTTCAGGAATTCCATATGCGATGCTGACTGACGTTAATCAGGAAAATAAACTCCAAAGCAACGTTAAACTTGTACGTGTTTGTAGTCGCTTTTCATCAGTTTATTCCCAGAGTCGTACGTCATGTACAATGTACATGATATGTACAAATGTGCGTGCGTACAATCCGAAAGCGCGCACGCACGCTAAGCGCCCTCATTTGTTTAGTTTTGGTTGGAACCGTGACGTCACTCCAGCCAACCGATGTCAGGAAAACGCTCAACCAATGACCAAAGCCGAAACGTGTTTCTGGTAACTGGCGCGAAAACACGCTCGGTCATTGGATTAGCGACCGCACCTTCAAGTAAGTGCGCGTGCGTATGAGGGTGGTTACTAAGCAAATCGCGCGTGCGCACTGCATATTCATGCAGCATAGTCTGTCCCCCGGACCAGATGTGATAATGAGCGTCGAGAATAATTGTCCGGTCTAGGGAACCAGACTACACGCTGCACCGTACAGACGTACATGATGTACGACTAGAATAGACTCGGCGGTGAGAAACTGCTGATTGACGTCAGTCAGCATCGCATATGGAATTCCTGAACCCAGCGTACTAACAGATAAGGACACATAGAATACTACGACGTAAAAATTAGCTTCTCCAACAAGGTAAAAATATTGAAATTATTGGTCAGAAATGTTTTCGTTCGGTTGTGAGCACATGTGTACTCAGGACTCCCTCCGTAACGTAGGGAGGAAAGGGAGTCCACCAGGGCTAACCTCAGACCATACGGCTGCATCAGCTTATGGGTATGGCTGGGTACTAGAATACGGAAGTTGGAGACAGAAGACAGAGGTTCTGAAGAGTTTTGTAGATGAAGACTGGCCAGAGCATAGGGCTGAATCAGCTTATGGCTATGCCTCTGGTTTCCCAGGGAGAAGAAGAAGAACTCAATGAAAGTGGGAAAATGTGGACATTTTATACAGTTTCAGAGGGACCACTTGGGGTGAAAATAGGAGATGATGTCATATAAGGAAAACATAACTTATATGACATCATTTCTGAGTAAAGGTAGACTGACCATGGACTGACGTAATGGTCAGTCTGGGGGAGTACCCTTATGAGGTCACTTTCCCCTGTACAAGGGTTAAATCACAGTCTTGGTATGCTGTGGGTGTATTGCTTGGAAAAGAGTGACGTGAAGACCTTGGGGTGTAATGTGGAACACCTGTTATGAGAATGGTAGTATGTGTGCTCAGGGACAGTCTAAATTTCGGTCTTACATTATCTCCAAGTGCCTCCCTTGAAAAAACGTATGCAACCCAGCTGCCCCAACTAGAAGTTTAACCCTTCTGGCTCTAGTATTATTGCACACTTTACTTTCAAAATAAGATGGGCAAGTTCCAATCACATTCATCAGTGAAGAACCACAGGTGTACTTCATGGTGACACCCAGCTCAAAGTATTCATACTGTTGTGGGGGCACCCGGGGGTACGGATATCCACTGGGTGACACGTGCCCCCATCAGTGTCCCCCCGCCCCCGCCCCCTCCCCCCCCCCCTCATAGTTGCACCACTATATAGCGAGCAAGATGCTGAATATAAACAATTGACACAACACACTGGGGCTGTAAAGGGCAAGTATGTAGAGGTCAACGCGCACAAGCTGTATATTCATGTTGACCTACGTATGTAAATATATGCAAATGAGTTTTTTCCCTGGACATGCTATCTTCAAAACAAATTCCTTGAGTGTCCCTCTTCATTTTGCGGCTAACACAACATGCCTCTATACCTGTTTTTCAGAGAGGGGGAAACCATGTGTGGACGATGGCAAGTCCACACAACGAATTGTTACCTGGTTATAATGTGGACCTCTTTTAGAGATCAGGACTGCAATGCTTGTATACAATCTCGTACGAACACACGTGCCTTTGAAAATTGAGACATATACCTCCTTGCAATTTGTGTCCCGATGTGAACTGTATCAGCGGCACTATAGTTTATAGATAAGACAAAGCCGCAGCTGTTATTTTAAATAATGTGCACGAGAGTCATAAAATGCATCAATTAGCCATTAAGAGTTAAAGGTCAGATAAACAGTCGGTCGTATAATAATTGCATTCAACGTGTTTTGTTGTCAGTTTGTCATAATCCAATGTCGAAAAAGGTCAAAGGTTTAGGCTTAAAGTCCACGATTCCAATATTAACGGTTATGCGTACGAATTTATAGTTGAAGTTCACGTAATTACCAATAGACATGTACATACGGACATTCATGACTGTCAACATTATTGTGACTAAAACAGCTGTACCCGCACCTCGTTAGCTGCGCTATCGTATCAAATCCAGTTATTCTCAAGTAATTTCGATTTAACAACTCGGAGAACAAGGTAATTATATGGCATGTATTCCCATGATTAAATTTGTTAAAGTTTCTCTTTCAAAATACACTTCAAGTGAGTTAGTCCCTTCGTCGCAAGAACAGTTTTCATGCCTGACAGCAATGTAGTATACATGGTCATGTCCTCCCCCTAAAACTGTTCGGGGGTTATTAGGCTGGAGTCTCGAAGCCACGCCTCCCCGAAAAGCCTCCGATCAACTGCCAACAGAAATGTTGATATGCTAACATTTTTATTCCTTCAAATACAGCTACATTTACCAAACCAATTTCCAAAATAATTTCTCCAAATTGTTCTTGATAATTGTCAACGATCATTATGTCCTCCAACATTGTTTTCCCAATATTATAAGCCCGAAGATTTTTCATGCAGTACTGTACTATTATTTGTTTGGAGGTCTTTTTCTTCAGTTGCTATCTTATGGTAAAATTTTTGCGTTTAGGCACAATGGCAACCTCTGAGACAACTCCCTCTTTTGAAACCTCTGAGACGACTCCCTCTTCTGAACAGCAAGTCCGACTCTTAATATGGACCATAGCTCGCTCTACTTCAACAGTTTTGTCCAAATGTCTTAGCTTCGTAGAAAACACAAAGGTTTTCTTCGAAATATGTGAAAATGGCCTCATGATACCAGAGGCTGCGACAGAAGGTGGACAACTTAACATCTCTGTAGCAGAACAGAAAGTTTGTAATTTTATGAAAAAAGCCTATGAGCTGACCAACGTATCAGCGGGGCTTGATGCATCTCAGTGCACCCTCCCAATGTTCAAGAAGCAACTTGAGGAAGCCCATACCGGGAAGAAGTTTATCTTCTGCAAGGACATGGCCTATGCTATATCTGACCATCTGGAGTTCCTCCCGAAGGGTTTCCGGCATCTTTTCCTCATTCGGCATCCTCTTCGAGTCTTCCCGTCGTGGAAGAAGATTTACCTGCAGATGACAGACATGTCTCCAGAGGACTTTCACCTGGATGACCTGCCTCCGAATTTGTTCCCGAAAGGTTTTGGCTACCGGGAGATGAACGAGTTGTTTGAGCACGTGATGAAGGAGGAGCACGATCAAGAAGCAATCATCGTCGACGCTGATGACCTTCTTCAAGATCCTAAAGGCATCCTGTCAGCACTCTTTAAGGATATCGGCCTGCCCTTTGATGAGACTGTTTTACACTGGGAGGCAGGGGATGCAGTCAGTGAGCAATGGACCATCCCACGAGCGTTCTTACAAGGAAACAAGCTTGTTGGTTTCTACCAGAACGCGCTGGACAGTACGTGCTTTCTGAAACCAAAGCCACTTCCCGATCGCTCGTCAATTTCTCCAGACCTGTTTCGTTTTGTAGACGCCTCCATGCCATACTACCAGAAAATGTACAGCAAGCGCTTAACAGTATAGTGTATGCAATCATAATGAATGGGCCATACATGAATGCGAATAGTTATTGTGTCCTATACATATCGGTATCGGTACCGCATTTTGACCTTTATTTTTAAGCGTGCGCTGGTATGCTGGGATCATTTGCATTTATCCCAAAAGTAACCTTCCGAGTAAAAAACAAAAGAAGCTTACATCTGTTCGTGGATTAAAGATCGAACTACATTGAAATTAATTACTGTACGTCCGGCATACTGTCATTTGGAAGAATCAAGAAATGTATGTGATTTCCAACGATGAGTCAATTTACTGATTTTTTGAAATAAAGAATGCTCTTGTATAACAGACGATATCGTCATTCGTGATCTTAAGTATGCAAATGTTTTTTTTTTTTTTTTTTTAATTGTAATATCCACTGAGCAGATCAGCTGAAACTGCAACAGGCTAAATGAGTGAACGTGCTTCTTTGGAATTTGAGTGATTATTGGAAACGAACAAATTGCATGAAAAGCAAATAATCCTACAGGTCTATGCCTTTAAAGATATATTCAACTCCTAAATATGAGTCTCTTAAATATAAGTGAGTTTATATGTAATATTAATAGACTAATGAAGTAACAACCTAATGAACTTAAACATTTAATCCAGATCTAAATTTTCATATTACTGACAATAACTGTAATTATTATGACGAGAATGAATTCTTAGATACTTTTAACAGAAAGGAATGATATAAGCTGCTGTTTTGCAGTTACACCTGTTGAAATACCTAACTACACTGTTGAAGGTAACTGTATACAAAACACAAGAGGTGGTGGTGTTGCACTTTATATAAAACATAACTTAGCTGGTACAAATCGCATTGACTTATGTCTTAATAACTCTGATATACAATCTGTTTTATTCAACTTGTTAAAACCGGTAAAGGGAAAACATGCACTATCATTGAAATTGTCTATAAACCTTCTTGATGTGCCATGTAATAACTTCATTGCATGTATTGATACAATTTGATCTTGTACACGTAACGACGAGAACAAACCGTGTTACATTATGGATGATTACAATCGCCCATAATCAAACTTATTGTAATGTGATACTGATAATAGCATACAAAACGTTACGAATACCCTTTTATCTCATTCATTCTATCCTACCATAGATAAACTACAAGGACAACTACTAATAGCGCAACTCTCCTTGTCCTTGACAATATTTGTACCAATGCTTATCAAAACCATCCTGCCGGTGTTTTGGTGACGATATTTTAGTGAACATCTTCCCCTATTTTTAGCTATTGAAAACCTTAAAGAAAGAAATCAACCTGATAACAAAAGCGTGATTTAACTACAATAATATTGACAGTTTGTTTTATTCGTGATTTGAATGATATTGAGTGGGATGATAATGTCATCAAATGATATCCACAGTATGTAAAACTCTTTTTGTTACGTGTTAAACACATTTATAACAAAAAAATCCTTTGCATGTGGTGAAATGCCGTTATGATTAACTTAAATCCCCATGGCTAACTGACAGTATTTACCATTCCTTTAGGCGTAAGAATTATTTGTACAGAAAATTTCAGGAGAAACCTATACTTCGCACAATAATTTTTTTTATACCCGCTACAAAAATAAACTTAACTCTCGTATTAAATTATCAATGAGAAGTTTTCTCCACAAAAATTCAATGAAGCAAAACACAAATATTACAATAACTTGGAATTTTATTAATTATCTTCTCATTATGCGTCAGCAAAATTCTAGTTCCTCTTTAGCCAAGATGATACTAAACTTAATGATAAACATAGAAATTGCTGAAGCGTTCAATAAATATTTTGCTAATATTGGCAATAGCCTTCCTAGTGAGCTACCATTATGTAACATTTCTTTCCGTTCATTTTGAATGACCCCAAGTGCGGAGTCATACTTTTTGTCTCCTTTTTACCCCAGAAGAGATTGTGGATAATCTTAACGAAATTCCTTCTAGCAAGGCCACTGGAATTGATGGTTTAAGTTCTTTTATCATGAAACAGGCAAGGTAGTCATTTGCTAAGCCTTTGGCTGACATCTTCAATAAGTGCTTGAGAGCTGGAGTATTTCCTGATGGTCTAAAAAAATAACCCAGGTATCACCAATCTACAAAAAAGGTTGTAAGCATGACATTGGTAATTATAGACCCATTTTGGTTTTGTCCACATTCTCCAAATTATTTGAAAAGACACAAGATCAATATCTTTTATTAACAAGCATGATATCCTGTCCGATGCTTAATTTGGTTTCCGCCCCCCCCCCCAAGATCTCGGCCATGAGTGACGAAAACTTATGAAACTCGGTTCATGCATCGAACAACTTATCATGAACATCCCCAAGAAATTTCATGCATGACTATAGGTCAAAGTGTTTTGGAATTATGGATAATTAATTTTTCATGTCCACGAATGGTAATTGTGCCCTGCGTACACTACGTGTATGGGGAAATTCAGTTTTCACGGCGCATTGCGCCAGAATTTTTTTAATGTTTTTTTTTGTATCAAAAGATGTGCAAGGCTCGAGGCTAAAAAGTCATAACAGCTCGGGTCGCGAAAATATTTTTTTCGAGGCTATCGCGGAAAAAATTGAGGTGGGGGGCGGATTCCGCCCCTCCGGCCCCTTTAGGATTAAAAAACGTGATTCAAACTTGAATTAAAACCAATTCATTGAATTAACACCTAAAACTATTTTTTTTTCAATATCTATTTAACCTGAATGTGCGCACTAAAATTTGCGCAATTTATTTGAACAAAACATTCTACATACGACCACAATAATTGGAAATTTCAACGAATGTATAATACATAAAAATACACAAATCAGTCAAACACTTTCAAGTTTGTTACCAATCCAATGACCCTATGTCTCATTTAAAATTGCTTACGTTTGTTACTCATTATTTCAATTCCACAGTCATCGTCTGATGTGAAATCTCACTTTCTATTATAAAACACTGATCGAACAGCAACGTTTTATTATTGTGTTTCGTTTTGCTTTTTTACACCGATCCTACTCATATTTCAATATCTGAAATAAATTCAGGTGAATATGCAAGCAGCCTGGGCTTTAGACAAGTGCAATCCATTTCCCTGTTTTTTTTCATATAAACGAAGGTAAATAAAATCAAGGCAATTAAAAAAACCCTAATACATTTAGTCGAATTTCTAAGGTTGCTACTACGCAGTTTCAACACATTTGATAAAATATTGATCAGAACTGACCGACACAGAAACTCAGTTTTTATTTACCACATAAAGTGCAAAGCGCATGCATGTTTTTCAGTTGCATTCTATTTTAGTCCATTTTCCTTTCTCATTTGTGAATGAAACGAACTATTTGCTTACCTTTCTTACTTCATAAAACATCTCGGTCGCTGTTATTTTTTTTCTCTACAGCGGAAACAATGTTACACATGTACATTTCCTATGCAGAGAATGTTTTGCTGAAAAGATGTTTTTAAAGCACGTTCAAGTTCACGAGTGCACACATCTCCATTGTTGTCCCATTGTGTTCATATGATAAGCAGATACATACATAAATAACCAGTTTCGTTTTGTAAACATGTCCATGTTACCCGATCGAGCTTGTACAGCATCTTTGTTTCGCTTCTTCAAGTGTGTCAATTGAAGGAGTGATATCCGGACTCCTCGATACAAGCCAAGTGTAGCACCAACACACCAAGTGACAAAGTACAAATTCTTTTCGGTCGAGAAGTCAGGTGTAGTTCATGACTGTGGGTGTCGGTAGAGATGCATTAGTGGCGGATTTGGATAAGACCGTGAGTGCAAGCAGCTCGACGAACGCAAACAGCCCTGAATGCTTTCCAGCAGTGACTATCATCCATTTTGCCATCATACTTCCTTATCGTAGCACAATCTATATTGCCACCATTATCTGGTTGCCCGCTACCCCACCCCAGGAAGGGCGCACTTCCTTCCTGGCCGTCGCATTCCCAAAATCCTTCAACTTCTTTGTCATTACAAGCAATCCAGGCCTTGTACTTGCTGTCCAACTCTCGTGCCATATCTGCCATGAAGTTCATTTCCTCGTGCGAGCGAGGAGCGGCCATCTTGCCACCTATGTCTTGGCAAGCCGACTTGGCGTCATCCCAAGTATGCGGTGAAGGAGTGAGGCGGTAACAGTCCTCTCCCGACAGTTGCCACTGAGGGGGGCAAGAGCATTCGCGAGCGAGCCGAGAACGACAGGTACCTGACCCAAATTGAGCATTGATCGCTGAAGTTATTGCTACAATGCCAAAAACTTTGAAGAAGTACATGATGACTCGTTCAGACGATGGTTTGGAGAGGATCTATTTGCTAAATCTGTCTAGACAGTTTCCCCATTGAGGTCAGACGATGCCAATGCAAATTGATGCATCAGAAAGTGGTGAGGTTTTTCTCTGTAGTCAACTAATGAGAATCAACAAGAGATCTTGTTGCCGTGGTTACATTATATCAGCGTCCGTTAAAATAGAGAAAAGAGCAGAGAAAATAGTCTCCATGGTAACACTTCCTGTTTGCTGGTTTCAAACAACCATGAAGCAAACAATTTTAATCAATGCGGGCCAAGCCTGTATGCGCTTGCTGGCTGACTTGGCAACAATAATAGTCAGTCAGTCATAACCAACTTACTCTAATTGTACCTCATTGTTGGCCAAATTAACCACGAAGTGGAAGATATATAAATTTTAATATGAACCTTTAGGTTTCCTTTTCATTTTTCAAGGCTTGTTCGCCGTATATTTATTGACAAAGTAAACAGACACGCATAAACAAGGGAATAATAATTTTGGTGAAGCAGTTTTAAACGTCTGGTTCAAAATCGGTTAGAAACAGGTCCTCTCGAAAGGCCACCAGTTTTCATTTGGTATATAGAGTCTTCGCACACAAAGTTAAAAATTCAACCTTCATGTTTCACTTCTTTTAACATGAAATTGACATGTTTACCCAACACAATAAAATACATCGCATATCGTTCCTTTCCCACTTGATACAACATATTCGAACTCCTTCTCTTAGAGCCAAAAATAAAACAAAGAAATAAATAAAAATAATTTCGTATTCTCATTTTATAAAACTGAAACTCGATTCCGTGTTCTGACCAAAAAATCACAGAAAAAGATAAAATATTCACATGTTAATGTAAAAAATAACTGCCAAGAGTGACTTTACATACAATACAAATATAACACACCGTCAATGCATAAAAACAAGAAAACTACATGTGGTTATTACATATGAAGTAGGCTACGTAGGTTGACAGAGTGATCGTGACAAAATGCTAGAGGGATAGAGACGGGAAGGGAACAATGGAAAGACGGGGAGAAGTAGGCGCGTACAGAAAGTTTGTTTGGGGGAAGGGGGTATGGGCTCGAAGCGCGCCATGCGCCAACGGAAGAGGGCGCCCTTTTGAGGCTTTGGATTGGACCATAGACATATAAACTTCATCACCGAATGTTATTTTATTATGAACTAAATTCTCATAAAGTTTGAAGTATACGGATCCAGATTGTTAGGCCTAACTTTTATGTAGTGATCGTGTGACGATCACTAACATCTAAAAGATTCCAAATGTTAAAAAGTGGTTTGCAATTGTCAAGGCATTCTTGTTTGCTTCCAAAATCGGCTTTCATATAGGCAGTCACAAAATAATAATTATGGCAAAAGTAATCAATTATTCTTGTATTGCCTTAAATGCCTTGAATTAACAAGTACAACGTAAAACTCGTACAACGATTAGGGCGATGACAATGTCACTTAAGGCTATAACGCCTAAATCATTATTATTATTTTTATTGATTACAAAGTGAGAATTTCAAATTTATGTGTGTCCCAAAATAGCTTGAAATATTGGAAAATATTTTAGTACGGCGGTTAGGTGATGGGATTGTGCCTTTGATTATACAATCTTGGCATTTGACTCACATTCATGTCATGAGAAAGATAATTAGATATAGGTAGGGCCCTCGCAGATTTGTGCTTTGAAAACAATGTAAGTACAAAAACAAGCAATGGCAGCCGTTTCGAAATTTTTGAAAATTGCTTGTTATTCTACCTAATTTTATTCAGAGGACAAATCTGCGATGGCCCTAAGACATACTCTGACTTGTCTCATCAAAGGCACGATCCCCCTATCTGCCCAACTATTTGAATTGTACTCTGAAATGAAATCTACAAGAGAAGATCCAAAGGAGCAGAGGGGCAGGGTTACACCATCTATCTAGGGGTGTCAAAGTGAGACGTTACGTTATCAAGATTGCTTTAAAGCATATTGTTCACCAGTGACGTTTGGTAGTGACTATATCCAAAAATAGTTGTTGATATAAAATTATCCATGAATATTTGTATGATATGATTCAGCCATTGGGGTTCCATATCGGGATATTTCAACGCTGTCGAACCCTTTGCTAATACTAAACGTGATTTTTTAACGAATGCGATTCAAAACAAGCAAAAGTTGATACACAATATTTATTAACATCCTGCCATCATAAAGTCAGAAACACCTGGAAATTAAGTAGATCTTTAGTAGACATAGTACTTTCAAAATTGGTATTAACATCAATTATGCATGTTAAATTTGAGTTCCTCGTGCATTAACAATTAACCTTTGTGTAATTGATACATTTTCAATTTGTATGTTTCATTCCAACTAAAAGCCTCCTACTTCCTTTTTGCACGTCTGCAACCCTTTCAATTTTTTTTTTTTTGGTGTTGGTCGGTCAATGTCTCATTTAAAAGTGAATTACTATTGTATAGCTACAAACCTAGCTATTCAGAAAAGGAATCAGTTTTTTGGGATGAAGTTAGAAATAGCCTCGCGGAACGCAACTTTAAACACGTTTTGTCACTTCGGTACATAATAAAACACTAACTACATGCCCTAAAACTTGCACATTTTGGCCTAACTGCAAATACACAATACATCTGCGCCTAAAAAAATGACTATATATTAAACTGACAAGCTTCAATTTTCATTTTCAATTTTCAGGAAAGCTACATGTAATAAACCATAATGTTTTAAACTTTTCAACGAATTCACAATAAATGGGGGAAAAAAAAGATGTTTAACCTTTTTTCAAGTGTTGTGAGTATTGTCAATCAAGATCGGCCATCAAATGAATCTTTCATTTATTAAAAAAAACCACTTGTTTGCTAACTTTTGTCACACATAACCTAAATTTTTAAATCCACAGTCCGTTCCTGATGCAAAATCTCAATTTGTGCTTGATATATTATAACGACTAATAAAAATGCAAAATATTTATTTGGTACATTTTGTTCTTCAAACTACAACGATCCAAAACACACCAATAACAAATAACTTCGGACAAACTTATCAACGAGACTAAATTATTTAAACAATCAAGAAAATGTACAATGTGTCATAATAATTGTAAGGTTGCGATTACGCAGTTGCAACGCTTTTGGTAATGTAATGATATTGGCACAGAAAAATGTACCTGACCTAAATTGAGCATTGATCGCTGAAGTTATTGCTACAATGCCAAAAACTTTGAAGAAGTACATGATGACTCGTTCAGACGATGGTTTGGAGAGGATCTATTTGCTAAACCTGGCGAGACAGTTTCCCCATTGAGGTCGAACGATGCGAATGCAAATTGATGCATCAGAAAGTGGTGAGGTTTTTCTCTGTAGTCAAATAATGAGAATCAACAAGAGATCCTGTTGCCGTGGTTACATCAGCGTCCGTTAAAATTGAGAAAAGAGCAGAGAAAATGGTCCCCATGGTAACACCTTTTGTTTGCTGGTATCAAACAACCACGAAGTAAACAATTTTAATCAGTGCGGGCCTAGACTGAATGCGCTTGCTGGCTGACTTGGCAACAACAATAGTCGGTCAGACATAACCAATTAAACCTAATTGTACCTCATTATTGGCGAAATTAACCACGAAGTGGGAGATATATAAATTTTAATATGAACCTTTAGGTTTCCTTTTCATTTTTCAAGGCTTGTTCACCGTATATTTATTGACAAAGTAAACAGACACGCATAAATAAGGGAATAAGAATTTTGGTGCAGCAGTTTTAAACGTCTGGTTCAAAATCGGTTAGAAACAGGTCCTCTCGAAAGGCCACCAGTCTTCTTTTGGTATATAGAGTCTTCGCACACCAGATACTAAAGTTAAAAATTCAACCTTCATGTTTCACTTCTTTTAACATTGACATGTTTACCCAACACAATAAAATACATCGCATATCGTTCCTTTCCCACTTGATACAACATATTCTAACTCCTTCTCTTAGAGCCAAAAATAAAACAAAGAAATAAATAAAAATAATTCCGTATTCTCATCTTATAAAACTGAAACTCGATTCCGTGTTCTGACCAGAAAATCACAGAAAAAGATAAAATATTCACATGTTAATGTGAAAAATAACTGCCAAGAGTGACTTTACATACAATACTAATATAACACACCGTCAATGCATAAAAACAAGAAAACTACATGTGGTTATTACATATGAAGTAGGCTACGTAGGTTGACAGAGTGATCGTGACAAAATGCTAGAGGGATAGAGATGGGAAGGGAACAATGGAAAGATGGGGAGAAAGTACGCTCGTACAGAAAGGTCATTTTGTTTGGGGGAAGGGGGTATGGGCTCAAAGCGCTCCATGCGCCAACGGAAGAGGGCGCCCTTTTGAGGCTTTGGACGGGACCACAGACATATAACTTCAACACCAAATGTCATTTTATTATAAACTAAATTCTCATAAGGTTTGAAGTATACGGATCCAGATTGTTAGGCCTAACTTTTATGTAGTGAACGTGTGACATAAATTTAACATCCAAACGGCTCGAAATGCTCAAAATGTGGTTTGCACTTGTCAAGGCATTCTTGTTTCTTCCAAAATCGGCTTTCAAGGTCAGTCACAAAATACTAATAATGGCAAAAGTAATCAATTATATTTATAACCTTAAATGACTTAAATTAAAAAGTAAAACGTGCAACCTGTACAACGATTAGGGCAATGACAATGTAACCTAAGGCTATAATGCCTAAATCATTATTATTATTATTTTTATTGATTACAAAGTGAGAATTTCAAATTTATGTGGGTCCCAAAATAGCTTGAAATGTTGGAAAATATTTTAGTACGGCGGTTAGGTGATGGGATTGTGCCTTTGATTATACAATCTTGGCATTTGACTCACATTCATGTCACGAGAAAGATAATTAGATATAGATAGGGCCCTCGCAGATTTGTGCTTTGAAAACAATGTAAGTACAATAACAAGCAATGGCAGCCGTTTCGAAATTTTTGAAAATTGCTTGTTATTCTACCTAATTTTATTCAGAGGACAAATCTGCGATGGCCCTAAGACATACTCTGACTTGTCTCATCAAAGGCACGATCCCCCTATCTGCCCAACTATTTGAATTGTACTCTGAAATGAAATCTACAAGAGAAGATCCAAAGGAGCAGAGGGGCAGGGTTACACCATCTATCTAGGGGTGTCAAAGTGAGACGTTACGTTATCAAGATTGCTTTAAAGCATATTGTTCACCAGTGACGTTTGGTAGTGACTATATCCAAAAATAGTTGTTGATATAAAATTATCCATGAATATTTGAATGATATGATTCAGCCATTGGGGTTCCATATCGGGATATTTCAACGCTGTCGAACCCTTTGCTAATACTAAACGTGATTTTTTAACAAATGCGATTCAAAACAAGCAAAAGTTGATACACAATATTTATTAACATCCTGCCATCATAAAGTCAGAAACACCTGGAAATTAAGTAGATCTTTAGTAGACATAGTACTTTCAAAATTGGTATTAACATCAATTATGCATGTTAAATTTGAGTTCCTCGTGCATTAACAATTAACCTTTGTTTAATTGATACATTTTCAATTTGTATGTTTCATTCCAACTAAAAGCCTCCTACTTCCTTTTTGCACGTCTGCAACCCTTTTAATTTTTTTTTTTTTTGGTGTTGGTCGGTCAATGTCTCATTTAAAAGTGAATTACTTTTGTATAGCCCCAAAAATTAGCTATTCAGAAAAGGAATCAGTTTTTTGGGATGAAGTTAGAAATAGCCTCGCGGAACGCAACTTTAAACACGTTTTGTCACTTCGGTACATAATAAAACACTAACTACATGCCCTAAAACTTGCACATTTTGGCCTAACTGCAAATACACAATACATCTGCGCCTAAAAAAATGACTATATATTAAACTGACAAGCTTCAATTTTCATTTTCAATTTTCAGGAAAGCTACATGCAATAAACCATAATGTTTTAAACTTTTCAACGAATTCACAATAAATGGGGGGAAAAAAAAGATGTTTAACCTTTTTTCAAGTGTTGTGAGTATTGTCAATCAAGATCGGCCATCAAATGAATCTTTCATTTATTAAAAAAACCACTTGTTTGCTAACTTTTGTCACACATAACCTAAATTTTTAAATCCACAGTCCGTTCCTGATGCAAAATCTCAATTTGTGCTTGATATATTATAACGACTAATAAAAATGCAAAATATTTATTTGGTACATTTTGTTCTTCAAACTACAACGATCCAAAACACACCAATAACAAATAACTTCGGACAAACTTATCAACGAGACTAAATTATTTAAACAATCAAGAAAAATGTACATTGTGTCATAATAATTGTAAGGTTGCGATTACGCAGTTGCAACGCTTTTGGTAATGTAATGATATTGGCACAGAAAAATGTTTGTTTGTTTACAACATTACAAGAGCGAAATGCAAAACGAACGTTATTCAATTAAATTCAATTCTAAACCAAATCCTTGCTCGTTTTTAATGAGAACAATACATATTGCCTTAGATTGATGACTTCATATACATCCCGGCTGTTTTATTCTCTTTAGAGCGGAAACAATGTTACCTATACATGTTGGTGCACTGGATGTTTTGTTTTAAAAAGTGAATGTTTTCCCGTAAGTTCAAGTTCAGGTTTGCAGACATCTCCGTTGCTGTCCCATTTATTTATAACATGCCGATGCATGCGGAAATAACCAGGTTTTGTTTTGACATATGTCCTTGTAACCCGAGCTTGCACAGTATTGTTTACCTGGCACATTCTTTCTTCAGTTCTTCAATTTTCTCGATGAAGGAGTGACATCCGGGCACCTCGACGCAGGCCGAGTCACAGGCGCAAAACACGTTCGGTGACTAGGCTCCTATTCTGTGCTGTGCTTGAAGACTCTAGAGGCAGGTTGAGTTGAGAACGCGGCCGTGGGTGTTGGTAGAGATGCATTATTGACGGAGCTGGATTAGGCCGTAAGTGCAAGCAGCTCGACGAATGCAAAAAGCCAAACGCGGACTCATATTGTCACAGTCATCGTCATCCATTTTGTCATTAAATGTAGCCGCTATTTGACAGCAATCTTGATTATTATTTTTATCATCTGGTTGCCCATCATCCCATTCTAGGAAGGGTTCAATATCTTCCTGACCGTCACACTCCCAGGTTCCTTCAACCTCCTTGTCAGTGCAAGCAATCCAGGCGAAGAAGTTGCTGTCCACCTTTCGTGCCATATCAGTCATAAAGTTCATTTCCTCGTGCGAGCGAGGAGCGGCCATCTTGCCGCCCATGTTTTGGCAAGCCGACTTAGCCTGATCCCAAGCTTGAGCTATCACAGGAGTGAGGCGATAACAGTCCTTTCCCCACCATTGCCACTGTGGTGGGCAAGAGCATTCGAGAGTGAGCCGTGAATGACAGGTACCAGACCCAAATTGAGCATTGATCGCCGAAGTTATCGTTACAAAGCCAAAGACTTTGAAGAAGTACATGATGACTCGTTCAGACGATGGTTTGGCAAGGATCTGAATGATGCGAATGAAAAGTGATGGTCGCGGCAGAAAGTTATAAGCTTTTCTCCGACGCAAAATATAGGTATTAACAACAGATATTGTTGCCATGGTAACATTTCAGCGTCCGTTAAAAATTTAGAAAGACGACGAGAAAACCATTAGTCTCCACGGTGATCGTGCCAAGATCCGACCTGTCTCAGTTTTTGCCATTTCGAGAAAAACGCGTTTGAAGTTGGGCCTATTTTGCATCCACCCTTTCACCCAGAACACTAATTTTGATTGACTCAGTTTTTATGTATAATAAAGATGGATAGCTGAATTATGACTTTAAATTGTTTCTAAGGCAAAAACTCATCATTACCAGGTGAAAAATAGGCGCCAAATCCATGAGTCGCTTCGTGAAAATTTCATGTTCATATTTAATGCACACGAACGGCGACCTATCTAGATAGGTCACTTCATGAAAATTTAATTTCATTTTTCATGCGCGCAAACGGCGACCTATCCAGATAGGTCACTTCGTGAAACGAACAATTTCAATTTCTCTGTGGCTGATAGTGACTTATGTCATATGCGCATGCGCGCGCGGACCTCTTCACGTTAAGTCTTTATGGAGGTTCGTTGCAATCTGTTGTTTTTTATATTATTATTATTGTTATTAGAGATTAATAAGCTCTTACAAATTAAAACGCTGTTATAGTGAAGGAAATTAGAAAATGAATTCCAATATATACGGGCTGCATAGAAACTTGTCGAATACATTGTGTATACTTCCTAGTAATAATTCTTGAAAGAATTCATTGTAAAGGTGTACTTTTATTCCATTATTTTTTTATTCTTATCTGTAAAAAATCGAGAAACAAAATCCGTGGACAAAACAGGTCTTGTGTTCAAACAAGCCTCACAAGTTCAAGTTACACTGAAACAGAACGATAAACGTACATGTACACTCTCATAATCTTCAAATCTTTGTTTTCTATTTTTTTTTCTTCAAAGTGTACTTTCTCATTATTTAAACCTATTATTCCCTAAAAACAGCAATTTTTGCAGGTACTTCTTAAGCCTCCCCCTTAAAAAAAATGATATATCGCAATGACATACATAAAAAAAAAAAAACTTCGGCTGCATTTTAATTAACAATGCTCAAAACGTCAAAACTTAATATAATAACCTTTATGTTAAAAAAAATGCTTACATTCATGCTCCAGGAATCGATCACTTTCATTTCAATGAAGCGCTTCCAAAACTTCATTCAATTATGTAGAGGAATGGTGCTCTGTATAAACTTCTGGCTGCAATTAACCACTGAGACATCCACATTCTGTAACACAAACAAACCATACCAATTACGAATCATAATATTAAAAAAGCAACCTGAGTTTGGGCATTTTATTTAATAAATATTTTCCCAAAAGGACAGTCAGTGAATTAACGTAAATATCAATCGAGATGTCATTAAAAAAGCATTAGTTCGGAATCGAACCCCACTCATGTGTTATTCTGACTGATTATTACTACCCACTACCGTCTACACTAAAGTACGCTAATAGACTAATTAGCGTAGGTTTTTGTGCTATCATACACACGAGTCTCTGCAAAACATGCATTCAGACAAAGCCCAACACGAACATGTTGCAATATCAGTATCAAAATATAGAAGGAATATACTTACAGACGTTTACAGAATCAGAAACTCGGTTGAAACTTGCTACGGTTTTGTTCAGCCATCAATGACATGTGTACGCCGCCATTGTTTCTGACAACGCTAAAGACTGGCCCCTAGTTACTCAACTCGCCAATGTACAATGCATTGATGCCTCAAAATGACTCATTTACTCAGCTTCAATATTTATTAAAATTCACAAGACATCTACATAAAACCGTATAGGTTAGGTAAATTTAGATAATTCACAATGAATAAGCCTTTTCGGAGTTCCAACTGCGCGCATTCGTAACCTGTGACAACGCACATTGTTTGTCTCAAATGTCCTTTGACAGTACCCACAATGCACAAACAGCCTTTTTGTAAAGTCAGTGGCGCGATGATGTCACAGGCCATTTGAGAAAAATAATGCGCGTTGTCACGGGTTACGAATGCGCAGTTGGAACTCCGAAAAGGCTTATTGAAAAAGGTGAACGACACTTTTAAGTGTATCGAAAGGGATGAATCGACATCGGCCATCAATCGACTATACTAGTAAAGACAAATATTTGATAGTTAACGTTAAGTCACTCATAACATACATTTTCAAATCAAAAGTATGTTCCCGGTGTAAAATCTAACTTTGTGTTAATTAAGCAACAACAATTCAATACCAAAGTATGCAAATAAAGTATAGGTTTTCCGGGCTATTTTAAAACATTTTTTTTCGTTCGAATTCACCGATTACTATATTCAAATTCGTCCAGCAACATCGATATAGTTCACTTCCAAAGTTTAATTTCGCCTTTTGTAGGACAATTTCAAATTCAGTTCAAGCAAATTCAGACAATGAGCACACGTTTCCGTCATTGATGGAGTATTCGATTTCGTCTCGTCTACACCAAACATTGTTATTCAGAAATCAAACTCGTCATATTGATTTTTATACGAATTTGATCTCTGAATGCTGCCATTCGGCAACAGCTTAGACGAATTTGATCTGAAATGACCAATATTCTCGACCCGGTGACTAAAGAGGGTGACCAAACTTTAAAATTGAATGGTAAATGACTCATTTGATTTTGTTTAAAGCGTATGAAATTTTTTTTTGGACGAAATTGATTAACCCTAACCGCCCCCAATGCTACAAAATACCACTGAGTAGTAACCTGTAGTATTAATTACTTTCCATACAAGTGTGCACAGCACATGTAGTATTCTGTGGTATTTGGTACTTGACCCCCAACCAGCCCTTTGGGGGTTCGGGTTAATAGAGTTGTTGAATTTGAATGAAAAATCTTTTAAAATAGCCGGGGAAACCTATATTAAAATGTTTACATTTTGTTTTTAAAACTTCATTTATGTACACCTTATCTCAAATAGTTTAAGCAAATTTACAAGCAGACCTGGCTTGAGAGCCTGTTCAATTCATTCCTTCTTTTTTATATATTTTTAAGGTTGGGATCACGCAGTTTCTACACTTTTGGTATAGTATTGATAAGAATTAACGGACACAAATACACAGTGTTTATTACTTTGTTTACCACAATACAAGAGCGAAATTAAAAACGCATGTTATTCATTTAAATTCTTATATAATGCAATTCCTTCCTCCATTGTAATGAGAATGAAATATTTGCTTACCTTGCTTACTTCATAAACATTTCGGTCGCTTTTTTGTGCTCTAGAGCGGAAACAATGTTACAATGCATTTTCGATGAAGTGAACGCATGTTATTCGTTGTACAACGTCTTTTATTTCAAGTTCAGCTTTGTAGACATCGTCGTTATCGTCCCTTTTTTCACGACAAGCCAATGCATCCTGAAATAAACAGATTTCTTTTTGAAATGTCCATGTTACCCTAGCTTGGGTTATTGTTAACATGGGTTATTTTCTTTAGCTCTTCTATGTTCTTGATGTTGAAGTAGTGACAGGCGCAAAACTTGTTCGGTGACAAGGCTCCTGGATTCTGTGGTCGAGGAGGCAGGTTGAGTTGAGAACGCTTCCGTGGGTGTCGGTAGAGATGTATTAGTGAAGGAGCTGGATTAGGCCGTGAGTGCAAGCAGCTCGACGAATGCAGAAAGCCAAACGGGGATATGTACTGTCACAGTTATCGTCATCCATTTTGTCATGATGTCCAGCCGCCATTTGACCGCAATCTTGATTATTAGTATTATCTGGTTGCCCATCATCCCATTCTAGGAAGGGCTCAATATCTTCCTGACCGTCACACTCCCAGGTTCCTTCAACCTCCTTGTCAGTGCAAGCAATCCAGGCGAAGTAGTTACTGTCAACCTTTCGTGCCATATCAGCCATGAAGTTCATTTCCTCCAGCGAGCGAGGAGCGGCCATCTTGCCGCCCATGTCTTGGCAAGCCGACTTGGCCTGATCCCAAGTTTGCGCTACCCGAGGAGTGAGGCGATAACACTCGTTCCCCCACAGATGCCACTGTAGTGGGCAAGAGCACTCGACAGTGAGCCGAGAGTAGCAGGAACCTGACCTAAATTTAGCACTGATCGCTGAAGTGATAGCCACAATACCAAAAACTTGAATCAAGTACATGGTGATGCGTTTGAATAGGACGATGACAGCAGGGTTTTTAGCGAGACAGCAGAGTTTAACGACGACAGAGTTTAACGAGAATCAGATTTGTCCCCAGTACAGTGTTTGAACAGTACGTGAGGTTGAATGATGCGAAATTATTACTGGTGGCCAAGGCAGAAAGTCCCTGAGTTGTTTGACGCAACATATATTGATCAAAGGCGGCACACAATGGATCTTGTTGCTATAGTCACACGTTTTCGGCGTTTTCAGGGACGTAGAACATTAGTCTCCATGGTAACACTTCTGTTTACTAGTTTGAATCAACCATCCAGATATAAGTAGCCATATTAATAAGTGTGGAGTGGGGACTTGGTTGTACGCGAGGTATTGATATTACTTGCTGGCAACAAAAAGCGTTCAGTCTTGACCTTGTAGTTTTAATTGTACCGCATTGCTGTTGAATTTACCACAGCTGAGAGCACTGGGGAAGACACGGGCTGTTGGAGGCATTCAGAAGCTATAATTTAATAAGTATGAGGACTAGATGGCAAATTGCTAGACACATATTATTTTTTTGGTGGCAAGTCTTGAATTCTTCCAAACTGATTTGAAATTGAATTTGGAAGCAGTCTAGCACTTCTTGACAACACTTTTGTTGGCTAGTTTTAATCAACAATCCACATTTAAGTATCCAATTTTAATAAGCGTAAAATATAGGTTGCAAGCACTGGAACTTGATATTACTTGCTGGTAACAAAAAGCGTTCAGTCATGACCATGTTATATTAAGTGTACCGCATTGTTGTTGAATTTACCACAACTGAGAGCATTGGGGAAGACAACATTAGCTGGAATTTAATAAGTATGAGGACTAGGTGGCAAATTGCAGGACACATATGGTGGCAAGTCTTTAATTGTTCAAA